GCCCGTTCTGAGGCCCAGGCCCAGGGCCAGGGCCAGGATCGCAAGCTTTGCAATGAAGCTGTGCAGGGCATATGCCAGGCTTCCAAGTTTGAGCGGCATTCCGGTGTCAATAATGTTCATGCCAGGCAGCCGGTTGAACGTCGCGGCTCTTCGCTATCTAGAGCCCAATTCTTTCCGCCCTCGCGGAGACAACATTTAAGTTTTAACTGAAGAAGACAACCAAGCCAGTAAAGAGAGGCGTCGATTCTTATCACCGGGTACGACATACACAGTATTTTTAGATCGTCTATTTAATTTTCTCCGGCTCGTCACAATTACAATTAATACATACTCTACTGGGATTCCATTCTGCTGAGTCCTGCATGACAGCTGTTGCCAGTGCGATTGCCAGCAAGCAGGCCGGCATTGGGCAATTGCCTCCCTCTCGCACTCGTACAACTCTTGCCATTGGCATTGCGTCCGTTCAACCAAGCCGCAGCGCCCTTCTCACAAGTCTCTCACTCGACCTGGTCGCCAAATTCATGGCGGTGCGGGGTGCATGCATGCGCAGGCCTCTTCTGGGGCTCCTCTCCCGAGCCCTTGGTTTTGGGGAAGGCAGCGCGGGCGCCTTCATTGATGGAGCCAGTGTGAGGGCTTTTGCAGCTACCACTCAGCCTACGGGGCGCACAGGCAGTGGCAGCGTAACCAATGTGAGTGGTCAAAGGGAGCAGGAAGCAGCAGCGGACGAAGGAGCTCCCCCACCTGACAGTTCGTTTGATGGTGGGGGGGCGGCGGGGAGTGCAATGGGGGGTGAAGGGCAGAAGGAGGGGGCTGTCAATTCTGAGCACACCCAGAACTTTGACAAGGAGAAGGGGCGCGAAGGAGGAAAAGCAGCAATTGGGCAGAAGGGCACCCGGCAGTACAGCACATTTGCAGCTGGAGCCTTGCATGCAAGCCCCAGAGCAGCCCCAGTCTCGCACACTACGCGGGTGCACAGCTTGCGAGCATTCTGCAGCGTCGAGACGCCCACCATCGACAAAGAAAAGGCTACATCAGACAAGGACATCTTCAGGTCAGCCCCAGGGGGAGCCGCCATGGAGGATGAGAAAGAGGAAGAGGACCCAAAGGAAACTACTTCAGGGGAGGGGGAGAAGGTGCAGGGCGAGGGCAAGCCAATCGGACGAGAGATGGGTGAGGAAGCCTGCATGTCACCAACATGTTACGGTGTTGAGGGGACTGCCTTCTGGGTTGCTCTTGTTGGTACACTTGGTCTCTGGTGACTACCTTCCTGAGGATGATTGATGAATGAGGCTTTGCAGTGTTGGTCCAGAAGTCTCGAATGCTGAAATCTTTTGTGATCACAATTTGAAACTTCACTGGTAGGGGACATGAGTTGGGCTTTGGGACATAACTCATGGGTATCATCAACAGGAGAGCAGGACGGAGGAGAGCAGAACGGAGGCAGAGATTGCACTCGTTTCACAGTTCTGTGTGCATAACGCAGGGACTGGCAGTGCTACCAACGTGAGTGGAGCTGGCACTGAGGGGTCAGGCGATGTTCCTGCAGACTCGAGCTTTGATGCAGGAGGCAGTATGAACATGGACGATGGAAAGCACAAGGGGGGCAGGTGAGGAGACAATGAGATGTACATGTTGTGTAGAGCAAGCCAGAGAACAAGTGCATTTGACATGTGCTCATTAACCCTTCTCCAACTTGCCAATCGACATTTGAGATAGTTCTTTGTTCAGGTTAATCAGCAAGAGCACCTTTCTTTCAAGCTGCTGTTCAATCAAAGGGCCTCCACGCTGCTGATCACCTTCCTATCAAGCTGCTGTTGTTAAAAAGGACCTCCACTTTCTTGCAGGGAACACACACAGAACTTCGATGATGAAATGAAGACCAAAGGGGGTTCAAAGAAGGCAGTCAACTGATTGGCGTGTCTTGCACAGAAGTATGATGTTAATGAGTGAGATGGGCAGGATATGTGACTCCACAGGACCCTCCTGAGCACATGAGTTAGTTGTATCATAAAGACGATTCACGCTCAATGATATTTGCACGCTTCAAGGGGCCGCCTTTTTGTATCATACACCAGGCGAGAGCTCGTTAGGCAGGCCGGTAGTGTGCGAACTGCACGCTGTGCTATTACTAAACAACTGAGCTATCTGTGAAGCCTTGCCAAGGCGGCTAGTTGAGATTTCAACTTGCTGGATTGCTTTGCACTGATCATCTCCTGTCAGCTGATAACGTAGATACGAGAGGCATTTAATATGACACACTCGAATGGGCTTGGAAAGTACGGTATGCCTGCACATAAGTTGAATACGACACCAATCTGTGAGTCTTTGATCCTCCAGCGAATCAGGTAATCTTAATCAGGATGGAGCACTGCAACAATAGCGTGGGAGCTTGCCAGGAAGCAAGTAGCTCAACAAGCTGCAGCCGAACATGGGGCGATGCTATCATGTTATGCGGCACGAGTTGCATGACCGCTTCTTTTGACCTGTTAGCCATGTACTCTTGAAGGATCAAAGTCAATCTATACTAACTCCGGGGCCCTAGATGCGTCCGAGGGTTATGTGATGAAAATGTTTCGCGCCATAATAAACGCCTTGTTCCTCAGGCAAGCAAGAACCTTAACCTGCGCGTTGACGAGAGGAAGCTTCAACTGGATTATTGTGTGACGGCTTTGCTTATACACGAGCTTCGCATTGATTATTGCAAGATAAATGCATGCAATATAATCTGACTTGAACAAGTTATGAGTGATCGACGATCGCGTATGGTGACTCACATTGAAAAGGGAGTAACATCAAAAAGAGCTGTACACTTTCAAGATGCTCGAAGCACATGGCCGGCGTATCATCTAGATGAATCTAGAAGTTGGAAGGACTTGAAAATGCTTCGAGGGGTTGCTTGTGCGGCGGTATATTGACAATCGCACCGGTTGAACGAAGCCGTGATGGTGTTCGAGCAGCACATGTGCTCCCCTTGATCGGAGGAAAAGACTAAAAAGAGAGTCGACGATTCTGTTACGTTAAAGCTCAGCCGCTGGATGAGATACCGGAAAGTCCAATGCAGCAAACGCAACACAAACGAACTGATGTCACAGGCCTAGTGGAGACAGTGGCACGCACTCTTTGGGCGCCGTTCAAAAGCAGCGGCAAGCGCGCGCCTAATTCGTAGTGTTTGCGAGAGATTACTTACAATCTGTGATTGTAGTGTGACATATGCACTATTGCAAATTTTATGTCCTTCATGCAATCCCTAGATATCGTATCTACAATTATGATCTAAGATTCAACCGCGCAGCAATGTATTTACTGATAACTTGACTCTCCTCACGAGCTCAGTGGACTTTCACGATCCGCCAAGTTGCAGTCCAAGAATTCGACTTACGTTTGAGGAGGATCGTCTTCTAAACAACTTCAATTATATTGCCAGCTATTACTACTAAGCGATTACCCTCCACTTACATGAAAATATGTAGCATCACCATCAACCTTCCATGTTGCTGGCCAATATCCCTCGTCTCGAGCTCGTGTCAAGCTTTGACACCGATGGTTCGTCCTCACTACAAAGGAAGCGGAAAGACGAGGCTTGAGTATCTGTCTTAAAGTGTCGTCAAATTGAGGCACTTCGGAAGGATTGGAATCAGAAGGACAAGGTTCGGCATGGACCTCCGTCACCAGGAGCAGTAACAGTCTCAGTAACGTATCTGAGCCAGCAGAGAGCTTTCATTTGAGATTCGGTCTCTTTGAAGTGCCACAATCATGCTACATCTTTTTTCAACCCTTGATTAAACTCACAGTCTTCATCAGGCTGTGAGGGGTTACTTACTTGCTTTTGCTGCATACTTCGGCAGCGGTACAAAAGCTCCTGAATGTGCTTGTTGACCCGGTATCGACCCAGCTGCGTGGGGGACAGGTACTTGGCACCAGCTACCCGTCCAACACACTGCATGTGTTGTACACAAGTACACGCAGACGAATGCTCAGAAGACAACCGGATTGAACGGAAAGACGGCTGCCGGTTGCCATTTACAAACCAATCGTACACAGCAGTACAAACTCGATTTCAACGAAACACCTCATTGCAACACTTAATCAAGCAATCTGTACTCTCTGCAAGGCATGACGTACCTTGGGAGCACCACACCAGCACTTGAATGGCTGATCCATCTCATACTCGGTGGAACAATAGAAGAATGCAAGCTCGTCGCCAGGCGCAATGTCTATGAGGGCTTCAATTTCCATCTTGTCAATGTTGACATGGACGCTGGGAGAGCAGCTATGGTTCATGTACACCAAGTCACTGTTGAGCTCAAAGTGTTCGTTGACGCCGCTCTGAACGCTTGTGTATTTTTTTGCCACTCCCGTTGTAATTCCTTCAATCTTGCAGATTGAATCACCAGCCTGCGCAAGTTATTCACAACTCATCAGATCGATTGTAGGCCTCCCATAAGGTGCCTCTTGGAAAAGAGTCCGCAGACCACGTTGGCAGGATGTCAATGATCAGAAGTCCCTTCAAGAACCTCAACAGACTCGCCAGGGCTAAAGCTGCTAGGGTGCTTCTAAGAGTCAATGCTTTTGATTCACAAAGTCGACTGTGACTCGTCTCTTCTGCCTTCTTGAAGTGAGCACCTGATGATCGTCAGCTGCCCATTTTTGAAAGACAAATCCTTCTGCCGCGCGTTTGCTCAGGTCCCTCTACTGAGGAAGGGGTTCCAGCTTTTTGCTTGTCATCCTCATTATGAAATCTGACGGAATGAGAAAAGTGACAGGGTCTTGAAGCGTCTGTCCTTATAGAGCTGCATGTCTCTAAAACCGTTCTGACAGTAAGAAAGGTGCATCCAGCTAGATACTACGTCCTCATGGTACACATCCATAGTTCCTTAAGATCTGTTATAGTTTCTTGCTTGTGGTCCAACTACCTGTACATATGCACAGACAACATCAACTTGAGACAGGGGTCACTTCGTAGACTTACCTTGAAATCTGCAACTGCAATCAACTTTGCACTAAAGTCTCCTTTGCCTTTGACGATCTTGAAAAGCTCAGGATGCAGGACCATATTTCTGTTCTCAAGCGGGGATTTGGGGGACACAACCAGTGCACTTGAGCTCACTCGCTTTGGAGATACAAGCTGCACAATATTCGAGCTGTTTGAAACAAGGATCCTACGTCCAGTTCGGAGATCGACATCCTGGCTGCCATGAGGACTAGCAATAGCCACAGCGGCCATAGCGCTTCAGCTCAGTCAGAACCACCTTATCAGCTTCCGCAAGGACGAGTAGCTGCAGAATCCTGCGCCTGTGTGTCACAGCGGCCAGTATCAACTGGTTGCTTCCTTTTGAGATTCAGACTTGCAGCTAATGACCGAAGGACGAAGATATAGATAAAGGTAACAACATGAGACGCTCATGTTGCAAAAGCTGATTGTTTTGGTTTTGCCTAAGTCGCCACTTCTTAACAGTCTGCTTCGTATGAAAGGCTGAACTTTGACCTTTGTGCAAGGTGCATCCTGCTGCTAGCTCACCGACTGAAAACATTTCAAGGCTTGCACTTCTGACATCAAGTCTTCTAGGCTCTAGCTCCGTCTTTGAATACACCTTCTCCCGAGCAACCTGCCAGTTTTAGTGGAAAATTTAGTCTAACTTAGTCAGTCTGTTGCTGAATGAAATTAGTCTAAAATAGATGACACTAAAACTGGCAGGTTGCTCGGGAGAAGCTGTAAGCTTCGAATAATTGAAATCTGTAGGACACGCATAGTGGAGCTAGGTAGCTGCCAAGGTGCTGAAGAGACCAGCTGAGACTGGAGCTTTACTGCTCCTCTGCTCAGGCCCCAGGGACCACTCGCATTAAATAGAAACCTCGATTTGAGAAACCCTAGTGCCCTAGGTAGTACTGGGTACTAGTACTACGTATCCGGTGGTTTACGGTATCTTTTCAGAAGAACCTGGCGTGACATCGAGACAGTGAGCCTAGGTTGTGCCTGCGTGTACCTGCGGTAACACCCGTGCTTCAACATAGGACTACAGTAAATAGCGCCATGGTCCATCCCTATGGCGGGCCCTGTGGAGAGGTGCAGCCTGCAGGTACCTATCCTACGCCGACGGTACTCTACGTGCCTATGCCGCCACCCAAAGTACATCCCTATTTCACCAGAAATGCAACTGCCAAAAGTGTGATTCACATTGCTTGGCCGCCCAGTTCTTGCTGGATCGTTCATGCCCCGGGGGCCGGATGTGAAGCAAAGACAGGGCTTTTGTCGCCGTCGATGAGATTGATCGGGGGATGGCGAGTTGGTGTGCATTGGACCACCACTTTCAACGCAGGTGTTCAAACTTTGAACACCTGCGTTGTGGCCGGTGGATCACGTGGTTTTGTCTCGTGATGTCACCTGTATCTCGCAATTTAAGACGTACCCGGCGTGGGACGGGGAGGTACATGATACATCACAAGGGCCTCTCTCCATCTCTCCAATTGGGTCAAGGTCTAGATTAGGGTTCCCCCCTCTGCAATGCTGCATAAAGGTAGTCAAAGGATCTCTGAAGCTGAATCTTTGCTTTCCAACAGGGACAAACGACATTTCAGACTTTTCAGAGCCATCTTGGAGCAGTTCTGTCTGCTTGCATCCCTTGACCCCGCAAGTGCAAAACAGAGCATTATAGGTTGATTCTAGTAGGAGAAGTTTAAAGGCACTTTGATTGCCACAGCGGCACCAATGGCATTCCTAGGCAGAGGCATTCCCAGTATAGTGCAGACCGCAAAAACTGGGCAGTCCCTTCCCTCGATTCGCATCGGTTTCACACCTGACATAGTGGAAAGGTTTTCCACCAGTGCTCATAGGGAGGAAGAAGCTTCTGCGACATTACGGAGTAGTGCCTCTGTGGATCTTGTGATGCAAGAGCAGGCATCTTGTTCTTCTTCATCAATTCCATCCACAGAAACTTTCGGCCGACAACCAGATCAATCACCAAAGGCTAAGTCCTTAGATCAGAATCCTGCGTTAGCTCAAAGTTCTGTTCCATTTTCAGCCCGCCAGTTCTGGACAAGCACGTTCCGGCAGGCTGCCAACCAAGCGCAGCCCTTAGGCAATGGGCGGCGGGCCTATCTGGTCGACACATTAGCCCTGGTGAGTGAATAGGTGGACTCAATCTGGCCGAATTGAGGTCTCAATCGTCAACTAGGTTTACCAACCACTTTTTTGAATATAGAATGCTTACACATGGCTTACCACCTGCAATGCTATGGAGAGGACTGCCAACAGATACCGCCTTGTCTTGACCAGGGTATCTGAACGCGGTTGATCGTTACTCCCTTCAGGTTCGGCGGTTAGAGTCAGAAGGACTGACGGCAAAACAAGCGGAAGCCATCACCCATGTCATTACTGAGGTCTTGAGTGACAGTCTGGAGAATGTTGCGCAGAACTTCACGTCCAAAGTGGAGATGCAAAAGGTGAGGGCAGATAAACATTATTTTAGGGTTTTGGTCACAATGCGCTTGATCAGGCTGGCCTAGGCTCGCTTGTTTTCCAATTCTCAAAGGTCGTGCAAATAACATCGTGTATAGGATAGCTGGGCAGGATTCGTGTTTGGGTTTGCTGCTCGGCCCACAATTGTCAACTAAGGTTTGAAATCTGTTGCAGCACGACTTGGCGCAAGATGCTGCAATCCAAAGGTTCAAGAGCGAAGTACAAAGTGCTCAGGTGAGGCAGTGGTCCAACTCTTTGCCTCAAAAACAGTGCCATTCACTCGTGGGGGAACACCTTGAACACCTTAAGCATGGTAAAGCTTTGAAGGTAGTGATTGCAGTATTTTTCGTTAGTGACTTCAAATCGAACATATGTCCATGTTCTTAATGAACCTCATCTCCAATTGGGGGTAGGAATGGATCTACTGAGTAGGGGCGTGGGCATAGACGTTGAGCGTTGACAAGCTAGTAAAAGTGGGCCATTTCATCAGGTCATGCATTTCTTGCTGAAGAAATCCTGCTGCTTTCAGGAGCACCACATTGCAAGTCTGCAACGAGAAACAGAGCGATTGCGCACTGACATCGAAAAGATGAGGAGTGAGCTTCGGTGAGTCCAAGGGGGCGTCGAAGGCTGTCCGGAAGAAAGCAGAGCTTTTCTGGCCCACTCGTTGGGCTGTTTTAAAGATGCCCAGATCTTTGCTAAGTAATCTTCTTCGGGCTTTGATTTTAGTCGTCAGGTTCTCGCAAGCGCTTGGAGACGTTTTGTGCCCTCTTTCGATTGCTCGCTATTGCCCCCGACGCATGTCCTGCATTGAACTAGCCATCCAATTCCTGTGAATCGATTGTGATCACAACATTCTGCTCTCATCAGGTACGAAATCGACAAAGTCACCGCTGGACAAAGATTAGACCTGAATCTGGAAAGAGGGTGAGCTCACATGCCCTTAGGCCTTTGGAGGTGATTTTGGAGTCTACTTATCGTTGTTCCGGTACTAGCAGTCCTTCCGGTACTAGCTGTGCCATTTGTTCGTCATCAGCTCTTGCAGCATCGACGTGTCAATGCTGTTGTTGACTGGACTGATTTTGAGAGCCTGCTTTTCATGCAGCCGGATCCGAGAAGAGTTGTCGAACCAGTCCCAGGAGACGGGGAACATCGCCACGCGCCTCGACAGGGTGAGTCTGTCCTCAATCCATATCAGTTGTTCTTCATGCTGTACCGTTCTTACTTTCTGAACGGGGATGGAAGCGATCAGACAAAAGTGACGAAACATCCTGGACCCAACTTGTGTAGGAAAGTCAAACGAGGACCTTGGAAAAGCTGCAACTATCAAGATCGAGTTCAACTCGTAGAGAAGCTATGTTCGGAATCAAGAACGAGTTCCGTGCATTGCTTCTCACTACGAGACTGGTGGGAACCCTTTCGGCCATCACATCACCGGCAACTGCAGTCATTGTTATCCCTACATCGTTGCTTGCAAGAAAATTGTATTTCAGTCTCGTTCCTATGCAAAGTCGGCTAACGGGGGCCGTTCTCTTCGTGCAGGAGCTTCACGTCCTGAAGACTCAGTTGGAAGCTGCGAAGTATGACGTTATCAAGTACTGCCTAGGTGAGTATTCAGTGCCTAGCTGATACCAGAAGTGGACAGTTCCAAACGGACAGTTCAAAGGTCGAAGCATCGTGTGAGACTCTTCTCTGGTATTAGATCCTGACGGAGGGTTGGAAAGCAGCTTGTCCTTCAGATCTGCTGGAGGCCTCTGGATTCTCGAACTCACAAGGTAAACTTTTGTCTCGTTGCAGGTGCCATCGTCTCTGTGACTGCTGTTGGGCTGGGAGTACTAAGACTCGTGTTGTAGCATACAATCACGAACTCGGAAGCACTAGAAGTTGGCGCTTTGATTGAGGGGAGGTCATGATATCGCAGTGATATCGTTCGTCGAAAAGATGACTGTCAAAAGCATGCAGACCAATTTGATCGCAGTTTCCTGGGCATGGCATAAGAAAAAGGAGATATTTCAGCACAAAAAGTGTTTTTGCCGCCAATAATTGACTTTATTCTGATAAGCAACGGATAATGATTTGACTGGTTGGACTATCTTCTCCAATTCTGCTGGCCGGGGTCTTGCTTTTGATCCCTGCGCGATCATTGGCGTCAGGCTTTTGGCCAGCATCGATCAATTGCTTGTGCCTAATTCTCATAGGTATAGTCGTCTATACGTGCCATGATGCAATGCATGTTCGACTGCATTGAGGATTTAAGCTAATAGCTGCGCTGGCTCATGGTGATACCCTCGTTTGAAGCTGCTTAAGTTCACACACACGTGCAGCCGTGCACAACACCGCTCAATGAAAACGAATGCCTGTAAAGAGATCATGGCAGCCTACTTCAGTTACCATAATATGAAAGCTGAAACATGAACATGATTGCAGCTATGCTATGCCACGTGCTTGTTTGCCCGTTACCATGTGTCAAACCTTTGTTAATTTGTGACTTCAGTCCCCGAGTATTATAGGGTTCGTACCAAACAAGTCATTCCGGATGTCCTCATGCATGTCATCTGATCACACGTTCAGATGGACTGCATTGCCCCGTCAATCCAAAACTGATGCGTCCACCGATGTCGTAAGACATCTCATCTTCCATGACTGCCGGGGAAAACTCGGAGCCCGTTCCAGTTTTACTGCGGCCACCAACATGTGGGAGTTCAAAAGTTGATCTCAGGATCTAGCTTGATAAGCTTGCTCCGAGGCGCTGCAGGTGCGTCATGAAGTGTCAATTTTCCAGCTCGCCCTCCATTCTCGTGGTGCAAGGAGAACCTTGTCGGTCGCCCAGCTCTTGCTCTGGAGCTGCATAACGAGAGCAGGGAGAGAACTTCTTGACTATTTTTGGTATATAGCTTTTAGCACATCTGCAGTAGCAGCATGCAAATTGGGAACCCGCTGTTACGGTTCGTGAAAGCCTCGGCGCAACGAGGAGGTTGCATCATCCGGTCCTTCCACCTCGAACAACCCGCAGCAGAAAATATGTGAAGATGCTTTTATCTGCAGAACCAACCAATTCATCTGCTTTTGTTCACCAGAGCACGGGATGTTAACAACGTGTCCTCTTGACAAACCAAATCCAAGCCACTTGCGGGAACTGCTGTTCTCACCTTTTCCAAGAACGTATCGTAGTACTCGGTCATCCACACAGCGGCCTCCAGTTCCGCTGCATCGATTCCGCTCTCATCCTTCTCCAGAATGAACCCTCGCAGGCCCCCACTAAGCGCCTCTACGAGCCGGAGCGCGTGCACGTAAGACTGCAAAATGTGCGCAGGGGTGGCACCCCGGTGCAGGATGACGTGGACAAGCCGGTCTTGGTACAACAGCAGGTACATTTCTGCGGTCGAATGAGAACGCTGGTAAGACTTGGGTGGCTTAGCAGCTGACTGACTGAACACGGGCGCTCGGAGGACGGATGTATTAGAGTGGGCACAGGTGCGGAGCGCGTATGCTTCGACTTCAGGTCCGAAGATCCTGTTCCGGGATCTCTCTGGATCGCAAATTCAGCGGTAAAGTCAGTCAAGACTCAAAAGCACGAAAGACGATCCGTTGTCGTCTCGAGTTACAGAAAAGCTGCCGCATTGTTCGCCCTCATGTCAAAGGCGATGAGCTGATGAGATGCTCGTATGCGGCAACCTGGTTGAGGCGGGCAGACGTGGTCAAGGAAGTCAAGCATGCAAAAACTTGGTCCCGACAACGAAGACGTACTTCTACGCAGCAGAAGTGCCTTTAAGTTGATGTCAGACCCTGCTCGGGTCCTCGTATCCTGAAGAAGGGAAAGCATTGAATCCACAACGATTATGCTAGAGTGTTACATGTGGTACTGACAGCATGCGAATGAAAGTGAAGCTCGCAACAACGAGGGCAAATGCTGCCGAATCGACGACGCCGCACCTCCTCTATATCGTTGCTGGAGCAAGTGGAGGGTCTCGGCGCACGGCCCCAGCCGCAGAGCCGACAGGCGGGCCCCCAGCACCACGTGGTCCGAGATGGGCGCCGAGCGACGGAGCTGACGTGGCAGCGGCAAGACGGTCTCCAGGCCGGGCAGCTCATGGGGCTCGAGAACTAAATGGAACGTGTACGAACATTTCATTAAGGAAGTTCTTACCTATAAGATACGCCCGGGGACCGGGTAGAGTTGGTATGGTGTTAAGGTTAGGTTTAAAAAGGGAGCACGTCACATTTCTGAATTACGGTTTTATTACGGCCACCGCACTGGGTACTTCCTTATTGGTGTCAACTTTTGATGGTAATCAACTTGGTGGATAGAGACGGCACCAAAACCGAAGGATTGCGGTGGCCTGTGCCACTGAGCTGTGCACAGTATGAGACTGCTTGCAGCCTTTAAGAATCCTGTGGACGGAGGACGCTACGACCGCGCCATCATGCAGCGCCGCTCGAGGTGCGGCTTATCGATCAGGTCGATGCCAAAAAGGTTTGCGAAATTGGAAGTGCGGGGAACGACGAGCACGCCCTTGGCCTTCCCCGTCGCTTTTTGATGCCTTTCCTGATGCATTTGGACACATGCGTCTTAAGCAGAGAAATAAACTGATATTACTCAGTGAAAGGATCCACGAAAAGATGGACGGAGCTGTCTCCACGGGGCTCGAAACGAGATGCAGACGAAGTTTCCAATCTGCATCCCGGCAGGTTCTTCAACCTTCCAGGCTTACCCACGGACTGCCCTCGCTTCTCATCATGCTGGTAACAGGGCAAGAGGGCAGACTTACCTGACTCGTGCGTACTGTCCCGGAAGGACTGCAGGAGCAGGGCCGCCCGCTCGGGGCTGATGCTGGTCAGGCACAGGCTGCGCACGGCCCGGAAGTTGGCTGCACGAGAAGAGACGCTCGTTCAATTTAGGAGAACTTTAGAGTTTACGGGTTTTCAAGACCTCGAAACCAGAGAACCTTGCTCGGCAATGAGGGCCGCTCAAACCGAGGCAAGCGAGCGCTTCAAGATCGCGGCTGTGTGACTTGGATCGTGAAGCAGTGCGCTGAGGTGCGAGGCTACCTAGGTAGGAAGCAGAAGAAGTTCGAGATTGACACCAGCATCGAACGCTCTTTTTTAAAGCCTCTACAATACGTTCGCTGAGATAGGCCACGGCTTCGAAACCGGGGTTCAGATAAGAGAACTGATGACAAAGGTGCACGTAAGAGCAACATGCAAGCAGGGCACGTCGGAAGGTCTGCCATAAAGGGGACGTGGTCGGAGGGAAAGGTGCGCAAAACGAAGCTACCCACCGTACATGTGAAAGGCGGTGAGCGAGAGGAAGACGGTCCACATGAGCACCACGTGGCCTGCCGTCCAGCGTGCCACGGCCATCCCCAGGAGCATGCCCGTTATCGTCGCCAGCGTCTCCTGGCTGCCCTCCTGCACACCCATTCATATTTTTCTGTTCTTTCTCCCTTCGTTTAGTGACTTCTCTTTCTGTCTTTAGCTCCTCAATCCGCAATGTTTTCTGCAGGTTGGGGCCACGCACTTGACCGATGCCAGAAAGCAAGCATGATTGGTTGGCCGCATTGACGCTTGCAGTATCCTCGGCCGCTCCTGCCGGCCGAAGGATGTCCTGGCCTGGATCTCTAGGCGTACGCCCTCCCGAAAAGGCTACTTGGTCAACAATGAGTTTGAAGTGGCCCGACACAACTTCGAGTGAAACGACGAACTCGAATCTGAGCCACGAAATATCTGATCACATCAGAAACTCAAAAGAAAAATAGGACGTGAGTCGTCGAGGAACCTTCCGAGAGACCAGCAGCACCGGAGCCTTAATGAGGGGTGCAACCGGCTCAATTGGAACAAAGGCGGCGATAAATGCTACCTTGGCCGAGATGTCTGCGGCGTTGTTTCTGAGGGCGAAGTGCTGCGTCAGTGCCGCTCTGGTAGCTCCGCTCGCAGTGCCAGCTGCGAAACAGGCAGTGATCACGTCAGGAAATGGCAGTCGTATTGAAGAAGCCTGATCAACTCAAAGGAATGGTCTTACACAAGCTCGCTTGGACGTCAGTAATGGGGCTCTCACTTCGACGAACCGCGCCTTCAAATTCCTTTTATGATCGAAGGCGGTTTCGAGGAAGTGCAAAGGCGCCTTGTGAAGCGCTTCCTAGCGAGAAGACAGTGAACATGTCACTACCAAACGGACCATCGTTCTGGTACTGAAGTCGCTCCCTATCGCCGACTGGGACCAGAATAGAAATATTCAAATCACAAATTGTGCCCTTTGTCCAAAGTCAGCAAAAGGAAGAAATTGGCCTGAAGTCGACACCAGAGAGTAGACCTGAGGACTTCGAAGAAATTGTTGGCACGAAGGTCTGCCTCCGGGCAACTCCAACCGGGGCATTGTTCACAACTCAAGTCGTTCTTCAGCGCAGCCACTTACTGACGGCTCGCAAAACGCTCCCCAGGCAGAGCATCGTGAGGAAGGCGTTCGGGAAGAGGGGGGAGAGGAGGTCCAGCAACATGGCTGCCCTGCCGCAGACACATGCCAGCGAGCTGAGTCGTGCATCTCAGATTCAAACATTAGTCGTGATCAAGCGTTGGCGACAAAGAGGATCGCAAAGTCGTCTAAGTCCATTCGATTACCGATTACAGAGTCTAGGAGACAGATTTCCCCAAGATGATGAAAAGGAGAAGTCAGTGCTGAAGTCAGCACTACTCCGATTTTCAGGGCTGCTGCCAAAGTTGTAACGAAGAACGTATGCTTGGATCTTTGCTGACACCACATGTGACGTTCTGGCCGTTCATACAGTATCAAAAACACACTGCACGATGTACACAAAGAGACAGAGGATATTTTTTATTTCAAGGAATATGTGAAGAATCATCCGAAGAATCGTCTGCCAGTCCCCTCACCTAGATCATTGATGAAGTCGGCAGCTAGTCTCCACTGCTTTGCATTGCTGTCCAGACTGGACCCTTGATACAGGGTGAATAGAATGCCTGCAGGGGTTGGAGAAGGGTATCTCTTTCATCTGCTCTTCTAGACTCACAAGGACCTGCAGGCACGTGAAGCTGCTATAAAGGCTTTGTTCCAGCCTGGCTCCAACCTGGCTCCCGTTTGGATCCAAGGGGACAAACTCTTTGAAGCTTGTTCTCTGAGGTGACTAAGGGGACAAACTCTTTGAAGCTTGTTCTCTGGTGTGACTAAGGAGAACTGGCACCTGCAACACCTACCTCCCAGCATGCCCGTAAAGTCCCGCAAGAACCACTGCATGCAGAACAACTTAGATTGGTCAGGCGAAGCTGAGTACGTAGATCAGCAGAAGGAACCTACAGGCACTATCCAATCAACTCTAGAATTGGAATACCTCTCACGTCAGAGATTGGTGTGAAGAAAGACACCTCCTGCAACGAAGAGCTGGTCTCCCCAACGTACCGTGCACCTCTATATGGCCTGGTCAGAGGGTCCTTTATGATGGTAGCTGCATCTCACTCTCACCGCTGCCATATTTGAAGTGGTCTCACCTGAAAAGTAGCCCCAGCAGCGGTCTTGGAAGCCTCCCCAACCCCGAAGCCAGCCAGAAGGACCTGGAGTAACAGGCAAGCACATAAAGGATCAAGCCATTTTCCAGGGAGCGCAGCAAGCAGGAGTCGACTTTCATTGATGACAGTCCGAGAGAGGCCAAGCAACTACGCGACAGGCTCATGGTTGATGATGTGACCGCCACTGGTTGCTCACCTGCGTCGAGATCATGCTTCGTATGTAGGTGGACAGCCCCTGCAAAGTGTCCCACACCTGGAAGGAGACATAGTCTGGCGTGACACTGGACGGATACCCCTGGAAAATGAAACGACCACTTGTTAGGATTCATCACAGAAGCTTCTCCAACAAGCGCATGCTAAAGGGCTTCAAAAAGTAGCAAGAGAAGCACAAGAGGAGCAGATCATTGTGTGGCTCCAACCGATGGAGTTGCTGGTGGGTTCTCTGGTGGTTATTCTCAAAAACATACCTCTGGCAGAAATGCTGAAGCAACCTTCTGCAGAGCCCCAATGCTGGCGCTTTGGCCCCTGGAAACAAGAAGGAGTAAAGTACAAATTCCTACCCAGGAACAAGATACCAGCAGCTGTGGAAGGTTGCTCAATTGCAGAGCGATGTGATATCATGTTGATCACGCCAGCTATCAAATGAATCAGATTTCTGAAGTGAGTGCCCTGCCAGTCTGATGCATGCAAACTGGTCCATACAGAGGGGCGAACCACTAATCACAATCTAATGCAAAGGGTATCGTAATCAGTCTATATTGCATATTGGGTCGAAGACCCAACAGCTTGGACAGTGCTCGTAGAGCACACAATCTTACCTGGCAAAGACCACCTCTTGCCCGCCCTTCTTCCATTGCCAAAGCGCTGTTGGGCTTCCAGCACCATGGCTTCGGTACTCTTCCACTTGCATCTTCTTCACGAATAATCCGTGTAGACAAAAAACGTTTCTTTGCCAGCTCTGCTGCTGCAGCACGAAGTTGCAAAGCAATTCTTAACAGTCAATGAATTATTCGAGGACACCATGCAGATTGCAATGCCGCCATTGGCATTTGCCTTGGTACCATTTGAACATGGAAAAAGCTGGTGTCTGGTAATAAACTTTGTTTGACGGGGATATAAGACCACTTTTTTATCGTCCTGATTAGGAACCGCTAGCTCACCCCAAGAACCGGCACCCAGTCGTCAAGCGACGACAGGTTTCAACTGCATCCCGCGTCGTGAGAGCCGTCAAAGCGTCACGGCACTCGGTCAGTGTATAAGCGCCTGTTTTTAATGGTTCTTTACAAACCCTTGCACGAAGCACTGTGGCAGTGCAATTGACGGCAGGCAACTCATGCTTGCACCCTGCCCGCATTCTGCCATTTCATAGCAAGCATGCAGAAAGGGTTGGCGTGAAGCAGCAGCTGACATGGCAGGGCCACTACGCTCCACTGCAAGGGAATGCTTTTCTGACCGCCCTTTGAGGATGCTTGAAGTAGGATACCACAGCGACTCGTTTGCCTAAGAAGGAAGCTATGGCGAGAGGTAAGCTTGAGGAAAACTCTGACCTCCAGCTCAAAGTTTGTTTCTTGTCTTGTGCAGCCACACAGCATTGCAAACCTGAGTACGGCTCTCTGGAATGGTTCCCAACACAAGTTTGGAGGAGGCCTTGTGCTTGAGCACAAAAAGTAACTTGATTGAGCGGCTGGCTTGTGTTTCCATCATTGGCATGTTGGCCACAGGCACCTGAAAAGCCCACCACCCAACCATTAAGTGCACCACGGACTTGAGGGTCCCTGAGGCTTGCGACTGCCTGGGTGCAAGCAGATTGATCTTCCAAAGCTTCTTGTTTGCAGAACTGCCAGGCTTCTACTTTGACACCGAGAAGAACCGCTACTTTCCAGTTCCCAGAAATGGAGCAGCTGCCGGCAGAGGCATTCCTGCAGATGGAAAGAGGCCGCAGGTCCGCGCATGCCCCTTTCACATGGACACTTCATGATCATGCAAGTTCATATATGTGCTGAGGTTCCTTGTCTTTGAGTCAGCTTGTCAGAGCAGTTGTCAGCCGGGAGTTCAGCAGATGGATTGTATCTCAAAGCTTTCTTATTTGTTGATCTGCATGTTCGAAGGATGATGTAGAGATACGGCGAAGGTAGCTCCTCCTTTTGATCACAGGTGGAGGTGAGCTATCGTCCCAATTGAGAGATGTTTGACTGGCAGGCGAGGCTCCTTGTAGGGGCACTAATCTGAGCCCTTGGTGTGCATACAAGCAGGAAGGAGGCAGGCGATCTAATGCTATCAAACTTTCAATCCAGGTCACACCAGAGTCTGACAGGGACGGTGGGCCCTCTCGAGAAGTAAAGCCCACTCTGCCGCCATCACAGTTCAGCCTCCTGCAAAGACGAGAGCGGTCCGGTGCATTCGTGTATGGCAGAGACGCCCCTCATGGACGGCGCTTCACTTCTGCCAGCTGGGAGGCTGGATTTCGAGATTACACGGTGAGCTGCCAAAGTAACCTTCAGTTCGTAAGTACAACAGTACGCATGACTTTGATGGAACGAGGTCATTGCGAAAATCATAGCTATTGAGTATCAGTTGCTGACTAGAGATTTGCAAAGCTCTTTTCATAACCCAAACCTCGATGGTCTTCCAAGTCTAAGCAATGAAGGGTTTTCTGGCAGGGCCAGTCGTGTCAGGAGGGAGTCGAAGAGCTGATACTCTTGTTCATGAATGGAATTCATGATCGAGGAAGAAATGCCAACACGACTGACAAATACTCGTGATACTGCTCGACTGCAAACGACCGTTTCTGTGGAAAGTTCAATGGAGTTGCGGCCCATCCCGGTTTCAATGCTGTTCAAATTCAATTTGTTGCAGGTCTGGGGCTTTGGCAACGACCCACATTTTGGCGCATCGGCTGATTCGAGTCTCCATGGTGCCGGCCCGTTCCTCCAAGTGTCCCACGGTTCCAGAACGATTTTCTTGGCAGGCGACGAGCATGGACTGAACGCACTGGAGCCGCGTGGTGCGTCTGAGGACCCGCTTTCGATCCACGGTGTCAAACTTCTCGACAGCAGGCCCGGTGCCTTCCTCGAGGAATCTGAGAATAGTTCAGAAACGACAGCGATAGATAGTGGAGCGACTGGAAGGGAAGATAACACGACTTCGAGGCAGGAGGAGGAGAGCGACTCTGAAGGCAGCTCTTCAGATGATGACCTCGATCGGAAGCGGGGATTCTACTTCCGGGGCAGGAGACGAAAGCCCTGGTTCCAGAGGAAACGGAAACGGAAAACTCGGGGCGTGTGGCGTGACACCGGACAGGGTTTGCAGCGCATCGACGTACTGCTTCCTAAAGTGGAGGGGCGTGCGGAAAGAGAGGGGCGGGGGGCGCGAGGGGAGAGTTCGACGCAAGCTGGAAGAAAGGAGAGATGCCCGGTGGATTTGGCCTTGCTCAGTAGCCTCCCCCTCCAGTCACGGGTCACGGCACTCCGGTCCGCAGGCAGGGCCGAGGAGTGGGGCGGGGATCAGCGGTTCATGTGTCCTCTTCCGCAGCCATGTTTCCTGTTTAAGGCATGGTTTGGTCGAGGGGCTTTTGTGACGACTCGTGTCCCCTTCCTTACCTGCCGAGGCCTTTGACTTGGTTCAAAATTTTACTTTTCGCTGACCGCAGGTCCAATGTCACAATTAGGTAGTTGTTCCTTTTTTGTTACATCCGAAGGCAGTCGCTCTCTTCTGGTTCTTTGCTTCTTGGATCCCTCGACTTTTACTTGTGGCATATTGATGCCCAATTGGGCTTCTTGAATCACGTGCAAGCTTACGCTTATTCTCGCATCAATTTCCTAGATTCTGTTCAACCTTCCAGAAGTATGATGATGCTACTTCCACAGGACTAGCGCGCCATTACTGGTTTTCTGCTGGCCTTTTGGAGTTATGGGGTTTTGCAGCTCAAACCTTCTTTCCTTGACGCGCCCTACTCAGCGCCACCACACTGGGGTCCAACACGACGGCCGGCAGCTTCCTGCTGCTGCACAGTCGGGAGGGCGACACGTGGACGGAGCCGGACGTGGTGCGCCGGCACTACTTCGACAAGGAGAGCATCTGGACCGGGGACATTAGCAGCAACGGGCGGCAGGCCGTCATAGGTGAGCTCGAGCGTGGTTTCTCTTGCAAAGTCTCTAGTAGATGCTGTAGCTTATACACAGAGGAAAGATCAAGTCGTGTCGCGGAGGAAACGCAGTCGACCTTTCCGAAGTCGACGGCGAACGCTGAGCGGCCCGCAGAGTCGCTCGCATGTGAGCGGCAGAGAAAGGAGCTCGATGCAGGACGCAGGCAGGGCTAACCGCGTGGCGGTTGCTTTGATTGGTTCGTCCATAGCGGTCTTATAGGCGATGGAGCACCACAGCAACGCAGTTGCGCAAATCTTGCCAATGGAAGCGCGATAAAGGAGGACGGTAAACTTGCTGCTGGATTTTGTCCTTCTTTTCAAGAGTTGTCGCGAGTAATCTCCGTGTAGTTGCGTGGTGTCTTTTGACCATCATTGTATTTGGAAGATTGAGTTGTCCATCTTCAACCTTGAGGGTCGGCAATGTTTTAAAACAGGCGACCGTCGAACTCTGCAGGCGCATCCACCTTGGGCTTCCGCATCCAGTTGGAGACATGGGCGATTCGCCCCCTCGCCCCCTCGAACGGCAGTGCAACCTTAGCGCAGCAGTTCGACAGCACGGTAACTTTCATTGGCCTCTTTCGACGCTTCAAAAGGTCCTGCTTCTTCCCTTGCTAGGATGCAACTGTCTTCCCTCGGACAGAAGGCATGTTCGATATGAACGTCGTTTGCATCCCAGTCGTTCGGAGCTAACGAAGGCATAACTCCTTTCAATCCTCGATGCCCTCGACCTTCTTAGAGTCTCGTATGTCGTGCCCTCGACTGCGACGCTCCTGCTGCTCCTTTTCCCGCCCTTTGCAACGCCATGTTCTCGCGGCACACGTTCGTCAATTTCCGAGCTTAAGCTGGAAGGCCCGCTTAGATTGCCGGTACGTCGAAGTCATTAAAGACGTGACAGTCAGGTTCGAAGCTTCAGGTGCTCAGCATTTCTGTTCCCATTCCGTCCGAGGCCGACCGTCTTTGAGAATCCCTCTTTCCTTTCCGGGGCCGACCGTCGTTGAGAATCCGTCTTTTGCTTCAGGAGCCGACCGTCTTTGAGTATCCGTCTCCCGCTTTCCTGCAGGGAAACCTGGTCCTGTCCGGCTTCCGCAACGGTGCCATCTCCACCGTCGATCTCCGCCCCAGCTCCGCCCTCTCGACGGCTCCTCAAAACCGCAGCGGGGGGTCAAAGTCGCCAGCCACGGCAGCCCCCTGCAGATGCGCTCCTCCGTGTGCGACCTGCGGCTGCTTCGCACGGACGAAAACTTTCTGCTCGCGAGCGCAATGGACGGGAGCCTCGTGCAGTGGGACCGCCGTGCGGCACGGCGCCCGGTACGGACCTTCCCCGGACACCGGAACAGTCACACAATGCTTAAGATGGCGGTCGACCCGGGCGAGAGGGCCGTCATGTCAGGTGAGCGGTCCAGCCGTTTTACTTCCCAAAGTTTGCAAACGGCACCAGGGGCTTCGGTCAATCTCGTGGACCATGATGGCAAGTGCAGCACAAGCGGGTCGCCGCTTGAAGCGGCTTGGACGCGTGAAGGATGGTCAAAGAGCTTTGAGAGGCTGTCTTTGCCTGAGGCGAGTCACGCCAGTCCACGCATCTGCAGGAGTACTTCTATGTCGTTTTTGTATGTCTTTCGTCCGGGTAAAGGAGGAGGAAAGCTTGATTTGAAACCAGATGTACTGCTTTCCTTCGAGCTTTGTGCTTAAAGCTTGCTCGTGCAAGTTCTTGTGCTTATCTCTTCTGTGACATCCAGCGGTTGAAGAGACGGTTTGTATACAAAGGGAATCACGCTTTGATGGGCCAGGTTATAAGCGTAAACACCTTGAAGGGATTTCTCTTGCCACTGACGCTGCGATGGCAATGCAGTACATCGGCCTCAATGCACTTCCTCGATAAAACCTTTTCGCTCGGAAAAGGCTAACGTCAAGTTGGGAAAAGAGGCGCTCATAAATCTGGTCCTGTCAACACACTTGCGCAGCCAGTGCATTTAGTCTTTTTCTGAATGCAGGGGGCGAAGATCGTATGGTGAGGCTATGGAGCCTGTCAAGCGGAGGACTCCTTCAGCACATGGGTCCTTTCGAAACCCCCGTCACTTACCTGGATTGGCTCCCTTCTGATAGTGCTCTCAAACTGGGAACGACATGCACATCAAACGAACAGTTTCCAGACCTCCTGTCCTGGAGTGTATGGATGGGCGCGCAAGGCTCATCGACTGGCCCCATGCTCGCCACGCAGTTCTGTGATTTCAAAACCAACTGATGGTAATTCACCAAGCCGTTCTGGTGAAAGCGTCGTTTTGGAGCAGGCTTGCGTTCTTTACTACCCTGGTCGCCGTCGTCGTTCTATAGAGACTTTTTGGTTTCATGTCGGAACGTAGTCTGAACAGCCTGACACAGTGCCAGGCGAACAATGAACGTCAATGAACGCGTTCTAAACGTTCGTCATCACGCAGTCTAATGCGGTTGAGCACAAGATACGGTCCAACATACTGCTAGCGTGGCCCCCGATGAGCAGAAACGACCAGTGTGCAACTACAAAAAGTGTGGGATGCGAGCATGGACTTTTGTAGATCTATCTCGAGAGTGCTCGCGTCTAGAGGTAGAGCTTGTAAGGGAAGGTCTTGTCGAGCCGCGCCCATGAATCTCCATGCTTTCTTGGGCGTCCACTGTCAGAGTCGTTTTCTTTATATGCATGACCACTGTCACGTATTAAAAGTCGAAATTAGGACCATATCCGCGCGTCCAAAGTGATCGTGGTGCACAGGTATATATGGATAAAGCTTGTTCACACGGTTGAGGTGCAAGCCATGCTTAATTCAGTTGAGAATTCGTTCAATATTCCCTATATGTGCTTGGCATGTATAATAAAAGAGAGTACGTCGCGGCGCTGGACGTACATCAAACCGATAAGTTTAATCGTACCTAGTCAGCGCGTCGTTGCCTTGAGTCTTGACATCGACATCTCGCAGACAAGTAGTTTGCTAGGTCGCATGTAAGCAACTTCTGATATTATTCTACACATAGCCTACTTGGAGAGCCAGAAGTGCTCAGCTACTGTATTTCTTTTTACAATGCGACGTAGCATGTGCTCATGTGCTGTTTATATTCCTGTCCCGCCCGCATATTTTGCCAGCAGGAGCTTTTCATCGGACGGACGCAAAAGCCCCGTTGAACTTCCATCGGACGGTTTTGAACCCGGTATTGGCAAACACTTTGTATGTCCTTTTTGGGTTTTGTCAATGGCGTCCGCCAGGTTACGACAATGGCGGCCTGCAATAGCCTTCTCCTTGCGGCGCCGGCCGCTGTCACCTGCAAGGCCTCGTCTAGACTGTCTCGGGTGTGCTCTAGTATCCTAGGTATCCGGAACAGAGAGAGGTCTCTGAAGTTCTGGTGTCGTGCGACTAAAAGCCGCAAAAAGTGCACACCTTGGGTTAGCTCAATGCTTAGTGGGTTGAGCAGGATCCGGGCAAGTGGATAACTGGCATGGGACTCCCTCGAGGGGACAGTGGAACTGGAAGGCTAGATAGGTACCTGAGACTTCCTGAGTACTTACTAGGTACTTACCTACCTGTCTTGTACCGGTACGTTACGTAGGTGCTACGGAACCTTGTACACTGTACAATGCAAAGACTGTACCTAGTATGTCCTCCACGCCTGACAGAGGTCTAACTCTTCCACGTGGACTTGCACGTGAAATCGTGTCAGGAATCCTTGCCGGCGACAGGGCCGATAAGAGCATGTGCGTAATTCAGCCGTTCGATGGTGAACAGAAGTGAACAGATTCCATCTTCGATCAAAGTTCAGCACTGCCGTACGTCGCCCGTACGACGCGGTTTGTCAGACTCTGACATCACCATCGGTTGCGATACCCTCACGTCATGAATTTGGGATTCTGCCGCAGCTGGTTTGCTTCTGCGACTTCCCCAACGTCCCCTGGTCGGCGTTTGGCGCACCGGCCTTTGTTGGGGGCAGCTCCAAAGCAATAAGTGTATGATCTTCTGTAGTCTTCTGACTCGGAAATGTATGGCACTGTTCGAATGAATGCTGCCGGGAGAGAGTGCCCCAGGGAGTACGACCCCGGGCAGGGCCCCAAACTTCAAAGCGTCGCGTAGAAAAAGGCTGATCATGCTTGTCAGCCTGTCAGGAATTCTGCTCAGCAGCTGTAAGGCTTACATAATCGCCTAGGTACGGTAGTAGGTACAAAGCTTCTGTCACGAAAGCGCGGGCACTTTGCGCGTCATGGACAAGGGGTGAAAGAGCTAGCCTCCAGGAGGAGCCTTATCTTGTGATGCTACGTCGCCATTGGTTGTCGAGCTGAAAGTGAGCGCGCAAGCCTTCGTAAACGATCCGTTCGTTCCACATCCTGAGAACTGTTGATTCTTCGAAGGCGGAAGAAAACTTTGAAAAGCTGGGTGGCTTGTCGCTTTTCAGGTCGCGGCATGCAGAGTCGTCCTTCCTCCGTATCATTCATATCTGAAATGGGGCGTTGTACGTACACGCGGTGAAAACCCTGAGATCGTCAGCAGCACACGCCTTTGAAGAAGTTTCACTCACGAAGCAGGATCCTTGGATACCCTGCCTAGCCAGCGCCATTTCTTCGTACGTTATATCTGTCGTCTTCTCCTGATTCCATGGGTGTTCAAATCAGACAAATCTAGCTTGAGAGGTGAAGCATCGTGCCTGCAATCAGCTCAACAAAGCCCGATTTTGAGAGTCTCTGTCAGATTCTTGAAAGCGAGATATATTTGCGATAATCAGGTTGAGTTTGCAGAGTAGCGCAGTCAAGTCTCACTTACAAGGAAAAGGGAAGGAAAGAACCAATCATGTGCCGGGGTGCGCCCACCCTTGGTCCGCTGCGTGGTTCTAGACTGGGGGCGGAGCCGCTGGTCTCTTCGGCCCTGGACGCTTTTGCGGTGAGAACCCCAATGCAACAGACCTTTCCTTGATATGATATTCATACGAAGAGTAGAAGCTCATGCCTGTGTTGAAACAGTTAGTGGCTTCCATCTGCAATCTTGCCAACACAGCAGACTGGGGATATGGAATGTAACACAATGAGCCTTACTGTCTTTTGACCACTTGTCAGACCTTGGTCTCTGTCAGCAAATGGTCCTTCTGTTGAAGAGGTGCAAGTCGTGTTCCCAGTCCTAGCAAGGGTACCTGCTCATGGTGATAGACAAGACTTTTGGGATCTTTTGCAACCCTTCAACACATTGCAAAGGGACTGAAAGCACCTCTTGCATTACTCCCTCTGCAGCCCCTCCAGCCTATCCACGCCCACCCGTTCCTCCAGCACCCCTCTGAGGCCTCTGCGATCGAGGATGCTCTGGCCAGGGCGCAGGCAGAAGCTGCCATGTGGCGCGCCAGCTTCGAGAAGGCGCAGAAGGCGGCTCAAGAGACCAATGAGCGCTACAGCGAGCTTGTCCACGGAGTCACCAGAGCTGAAAGCGTGAAGCCAACCAGTATACTGACTGCGCTTCCAGGAGCATTCTCCCATGCTCCCCAGTCTTTCACTGGCCCAAAGGAAGAAGGGGGGACCGTCACGTCCTGGCAGAGCAGGAGGTCAGAAGACCCCTGGATGTCAATGGGGGAGATGCGGGACCAGCCTCAGAGCAGCACCAACAAACAGGACCAAGGTGAGCAGTCATTCCCTGTCTCTGGAGGTGTTACATCCAGTGAATTACCTTTTAGAGTGTGTGATATACCTCAAATTTTCCACATACAGACATTGTCAATGGCAGGCAAGGCTGATGTACCCCATGCTTAGAGATGATTCTAGCTGAGATCAACCAAGTGATGGACTTCCGACCCCTTGTGTCTCTGCCTGCCCAAGCTGCTATCGTTACACTTCTGTATTAATTGCATTGGCTTTTACCCCCTCTGCAAGCTCTTGGGACTTACATGTTTCTTGCCCCTCGGCGAACATCCCCTGCTTTTCCAGTGCTAAGTCTGCATCTCCTGAATGAAGGGTAACAGCTACTCTTGGCACATCTGCTGGCTTGCATTGTCTTTGACCTCCAAAACGCTCTCTTGGAAGTGGACTTTTCTTCCCACTTAAGCAGTACTGCTAGCTTTCCCCTCCTTCCCTCAAAGTTCCATCCCTCCCCCCTCCTTCAGCCCCAGTTTCATCCTCCTCTCTCTCTCCTCTTACTCGTATGCCCCCCTTTTCTCATGCTACAGTGTTACCCCCTCCTCTTCTTTGGCCTCAGTCTCACCCCCCTTTGTTCTGCCTTGATCTTTACCCCCCCCCCCCTTTCTCCTGCTGCAGCGGCCCCCCCACCCCCTCCGAGATGGCCTGGAACCTATCCAGCGTGTTCGACGACTCCGACCCCGTCTCCTTCAAAGATATCGCCGCCGGTCTCGGCGACCTCGTCTTTCCAGCTCCCTCTGTTGCCACAAGCCTGGGCCCTGCCAACTCCGAAGTCACGAGCTCCCCGCTCATGACCCTCCCCCCCGTCGTAGATGAGTGCATGGGGCCTTTTACCAGTGCGTACCCAGCCCCCCTCGCTGCTTCTGGGGGGCTTTCCTACGCCTCAGAGGATGTCCTGGGCTTCCGGCAAACAGCAAGTTTTGCGAAGGGGCCGATGGGCTGCACGAGGCAGATTCTGACGGTGCCCCACACAAGGCCGACGTGGAACTCTATGACTTCAGTCAACCCCACCCCACCAATATACAGCACGGCGGTTTCCGACATGACCGAGATGCTGAAACCGCACGCCTGCTTCCGGGGGCTCAACAACCCTTTTGCGAGCCACCATGACGACGCGAGCGCCTACGGCGAGACGGTGCCTGGGCTGCAGCTGGTGACAGGACAGACCGGCCAAGGTTATCAGCACCCGGGAGTGACAACGGTGCGCAGGACGCGGCAGCCGTCTGCGAGGTCCCCACGCAACGTGAGCAGCGGGTGCAGCCCCGCAGCAACGGCGGCGCTCGAGGCGGCGGCAGATGCGCGGGGCAGGGGGGACAAGAGGGTCACGCCCAAGGTGAGCTGAAGGTTGCTTGTTAGAAGACTGAAGGAGAGGTGGGTTCGCTTAGAAGGGCTCTCGAAGCTGGCAGCTTTTCTTGTTGGAGCTCATTGTCAGTGAGCACCCAGCTTCAGACCTCGAGACACGTACTTCTATCTGCAGACAATGGCACGCAGTTGCTTCTTTCACGTTCCTACGGTCGCATCTATGCTCACTCCCAGCTTGTAGACAATCCACCTGGTTCCTTTCCATGCCAGACAATGTCGTCGTTCGTTTTTCATGTCTTTCTCTTCCACATACACGACCTTCACTCCAAAAACACACGTCAGAGAGACTATGCCAGTCCAAACCGCTCTGTAAGTATCTGGAAAGTCACAGCCTTTCAACTCATGACCTCTTCTCCCCTACTCCACAGAGAGAGGCCCTCTCCCCGACCCCATCCGTCGGCGGCGCGACGCGCCGCTGTATGTCCCCCGGTTGCACCCGGCGGCCATCTTACGGCTTCATCCCCGGGGCCAAGGACGGCGACAAGGGCGGCGCGCGCTGGTGCCGCGCTCATGCTGCAGACGGCATGGAAGACCTGCGCAACCTGAAGTGCTCCCACGTCGGCCGAGGGGGAGTGCCTTGCCGCGCCCAGCCGTCATACGGCTATGAGGGCGACAAGCGCCCGACGCGGTGCCGGGCGCACGCAGAGGACGGCATGGAGAACGTCAGGATGCCAAGGTGCGGTTCCGGGGAATCCCCCTTCTTGTGCCTTGGCAGTGAAGGCGGCATGGAGGGCCGTCAGGACGGGGTCTGCTCTGCTGCAAAGCGAATGCTCTGCTCTGCAATAACTTGGCCCAGCTCTGCAATAACTTGGCCCAGCTCTGCTTCTCTTCTCAATCCCGTGACACTAATCATTTTAACCCCTCGTTCTCTCAGGTGTCGTCATCCGGGCTGCAAGCGGCAGCCGTTGTATGGGGAGCCGGGCCTGGACAAGAAGCCGACCCGCTGCCGCAACCACGCCCTCTCCGGGATGAAGGACCTCCGGGGGGCCATGTGCCGGGGCGACGACGGCTCCTGCACCAAGCGCCCCTCGTGTGGTTTCCGGGGGGATCCCCGGCCGACCCGCTGCGGCTCGCACAAGGAGCCGGGCATGGAGGACCTCATCAGCGCGAGGTGGGGGGCTGAAACGGGCTCTTTGAGTCGGCGCGCTTGTTTTCTCTGGAGGAGTATGAAATCCGCTCTCGTTATCGTCTGCAGCTGGTCGTTTGGGTCTCCTAGACTTGGACAGTGCACGTGTGGAGCTGACTTCTTATTTCTTCGACTCTCGAGGCTTCTCTGAGCTATGCCCTATCTTTTGGGAACTGCAAAACGTTTCAAAGCTTCCTCGTGTCCGTCCGCTTCTCCCCACGAAGCGGACTCTTCCACCCAGAAGCAGATTCGCCCATAAACTCCGCTTCGCCCAATCTAAGTGCGCTGCCTTTTGCACCTTCTCTCATTCGTTGTTTCCCTTCTCCTCGCAGGTGCAACTTCGCGGACTGTCGCACGGTCGCGTCGTACGGCGTCCAGGCCCCCGGCAGCCACGTGATCCGCCGCACGCGCTGCAAGGCGCACCGCACCCCCGAGATGACGTGCGGCACCAAAGGCCCCGCGTGCATGGCCCCGGGGGGTTGCGAGACGCGCCCCTCCTACGGCTGGCCCGATAAGTTTGACGGGGAGCACCCCCCCCGCCCCGAGCGCTGCAAGAAGCACTCGCTGCAGGGGATGGAGTACATGGGGTCCGCGGCGCGGGCCAAGAAGAAGCGCGCGCTCGAGACGGCGAAGCAGGTGGGGATGGTAGAGCCAAACTTCGTGGTTGCTGAAAGGGAGGAAGAGAGAGCCTTTTGCTGCAAAGGGGCTTGTGTTGGACAGCGAAGTTGAATCTTGTTTCAAAGCGCCACAGTCCAAGGAGTCGAAGGCCTCCTAGCTCTGTCTTAAAGACTCTCCGAAAGCTGCACGTAACTCGTGCTGCAATCCTGTTCATAGATACACCTGTTGATCACCGACCTAGCAGACCTTTTGCCTCCTTTGCTGACCGATCTCCTTTCCCGACTCCAGGAGCCTGCTCCGGTTGTTTCTCGCCCGGCTCGCCCCACCAGCGCCCGGACTGCGGCCAAGCCGCTCTCCCTGGCCCCCACGCCGCGGCTCCGCCCCACCCGCAAGTGCGCCGCGGCCGCGGCCCCGATCATCGAGCCCGACGAAGACGACGACATGGACGCCGTAACAGCGCCGCCCGGGGACTTGGCCCGGGCGTGGTCCCCCGAGAGCCGCATGCAGGGCTCCCCCGAGGCGGAGCGCGGCCGGCTGGCGGAGGAGCGCGCCGCGGCCGCGCGCCGGAGGGAGCGCGAGGAGTTCGAGAACCTGGGCGACCTGGCGTCGCTGCAGGAGCTGAAAGAGATCGAGGACCAGGCGAACGATCAGATGTGGGGCGGCAACGGGCCCAGCTCGCCGGAGCTCGCGGGCATGTCCGATTTCGACAAGGACTTTTCGTCCAGCTGGGGGCGGCCCGAGAGCCCGGAGAGCGGGGGCATCCTGGACATTGTGGACGACACCCTGGATACGGCGTGCAGCTTTGGGGGCAAGGGAAGGGCGACGTACTGAGTTTTGGATCCAGGCGGTGGGAACCGGGGCGGGGTGGTTTGATGTACATATCCGCGTGGGTGACACTTGTGTTTGAGTTTGCATCGAGTCGGTTCGTGAGTGGATTGCACCTTGTAAAGTACGATAAAATGGACGGGTTGTGAACGGGTTTTGGAAGAAGTTGCTGTTGTAAGCAAGCACGTCAAGGTGATCCTCTACAAGAGTCAAACGGGTCAAGATGATCCTCAATGACAGGCAATCAATATATACTACACGCCTAGGGATCTGCTTCTGAGAAGCTGGCCAATATCGAGATAGAGAGAATCTTTCTGCAGTTTCCTAGGCGTACTAAAGACTGCCCCCAACTCAATCGGGCCTGTACAAAAGGCTCGATACTCGTCGTTTACGTACTTGAAGGGATATTTTGCATGTAGACAGTACTTTCGTGACATGATTGGCCCAAGTAGCTCAGAATATTCGCGCCGTTTCTTGACGAGACATCTGGTCGATACCGTACTACCAGCGTGATTTACACATTCAGATTCAATGAAAGTTCACTGGAAGTGGCCTAGGTCGATATAAGCTAATCTGGATTACGGGCCTTATGATTGCGTGAATTGAAGTGCTTAGTCGACAGCTCTAATTATTCGCCGTAACATCTGATGTGCTCAGCTTTGAGATCTGATCAATCATCCGGGTAGACGTGCTTGCACCGAGTGCGGCGAGAGGATGCCGCATAAGTAAAGTATATATACGCAGCTTACTGCAAACCATCACGACTTTTTTCGCAAAAGAGCATGTGGTCCGACCAAAGTACGTGGAATGCTTTGGGACGATCTGTTCCTTAAGCCGCAAGTGCTGGCGCATATGTCGCAGTCACGAGTATGCAATCTGCGTCTCTCTACCATATGATCTGTTGACACATGAGAGTCGACCGATGCTTGCGCATGGTTGTTGCCAAGTGAATATCCAGGACTTGCGATCATTCCTAGGCCGTTGGATACAAACGTAATTGCACATGGAGGTACGCCCGGACTTGGCATGGGGAAGACAATAGCGTCTCGTAACATGTAACGGTTGTTCGCGCTGTTGAACGTGCTTGTATTGCGAAGGTCAATTCAGCGAGTCCACCACCCCCTCTAAGACCTCATCTTGCCTGGCTGACCGTTCCAACACCTCCAGCATGCGGTCCTCGTCTTCTAACTTGGCAACACGGCGATCCTCGATCGACTCGCTCTCGTCTAGCGATGCGCGCTCGTTTGACGCTTCCGAGATGCCCCTAGCATCGGCCTTGTCAGCGACCAAGGTACCATTGATGTCCGAGTCTTCTCTATGTACACTGGTTTGCGAAGCCTTTACATCATTTTGTGGCCCCTTCAAAGAAGCATGTCCGTCTCCGGCTTGTGTTCTTTCAACACCCGATGCAACGGCACTAGTGGAGGGCTCGTCGACTTTTGCCCGACTCATCTCGACATTTTCGACGGTTCTTCCTAAGTTTTTCTCCCCCCTTTCGTTCAACTCGATGCTTCCGTTCGTAATTTCCTTTTTACCGCTTGAGCTCCCGCTTTCAACTCTTCGGTCGTCAGGACACCCCTCGGATTGTCGCCCAAGGGTTCCTCGACCCTCGGATGGCCCGCCCTCGCCTCCGGTTTCAGCAACCGGCTCTTTGGCCTCGTTCTCGTTTCCCCCTCCTTCCGTTTCCCGGCTATCACTACCCTTTTCTCCCGCAGCTCCCCACTTCGCACCGCTGGCATCCGGATCCCGAATCCCCACTCCCCGAGCGACCTTCATCCCCCGCTTCCACAGTTTCCGCACCTGGATATGCTGCGAGTCCACCCGGGGGGGCTTTTCCGGCAGCGCGCGCACCCCCCTGAGCGCGTGGTACAGCTCCTGCAGCAGCTCCAGGTCCGGCTGCTGCTGCTTCACGCGCGCTTTCGCCGCGCGCATGACCAGCTGCAGGATGCCCTTGTCCGCGCGCACAAATTCTTCGCCGCGGATGCTCTTGTACAGCTCCACAATGGCGGCCCACTGCTCGGAGGCTTCCATGATGCTCAGCACCTTGTGGTGACTCGCCTGCGCCAAAGAGCGTCAAGATATTCAAGAGAATTTTCCGAAAGTTACAATCATCAGGTCGATATGATTATGGTCAAAAGCTTGCCATTTTGACCAAGTTCGAACCAGAAAGCAAACACTTCGAAGTGGATCCTGCTCTTAAGCTCTCAAAAAGTGGTCAAGAGGGGAGGGCTCCACAGAAATTACTTTCGGGCTTCTGGAGATGACCGAAGAGAACGACAAAAGGCAACAGCGAAGTGTGAAGCGTTGCGCTCTGGTTCATCCAACAGGAACGTCAATACATCAATTGCGTGTCCCACAAGAGAGGGTTTCTGTTTAAGCTCAAGCGCTGCGTATGATTGTGACCATTTTGCAGGCAGGGATACTATTCCGTTCTGAACAAGCCCGAGTTGGCAAAGGAGATGCGAGCAGGCGAGAATGTGACCTCAGCAGCATCAAGCTTACCGCTCGGCAGGGGACCCCGGCTTGCTTAAGCTGCACCAGGAGCTCGGCGGCTTGTTTCCACTGGCGGCGGCGGCCGAAGGAGTGCAGCACGGGCATGAAGGCGAACTCGCGGGGGACGACGTGGGGCATGGCGGCGCGCATGCGGTGGAACATGTTGATGGCCTGCGGGACGAGGGGGAGTCGCTATTTGGTTACGAGAATTCCATGTTTTCCTGAAGCAGGCGTAAAGTCGAGATCAAGTGAACCACGAAGATTTCGCAAACCCATGAGGTTGGCGTTGACAATCATTGGTCACTTAGCAGCGCCACCACACCAATCAGAGTGTTTCTTGAACCTGAATCTTTACTTATAGTGTCAGCCGCCTCAACCCCTCTCCGTTTCTTCCGCTTTCTCTCGCCAGCGCCCTTGATATATACCTTCTACGAATCGTGGTATCTCCAATTCTGTCTGTCGTCGACTCGAGAGAGACCCTCCACGCCAACACCTGAACTTGCGAGTTCGAACATTCCTCTCGCCAAAGTTCTTTCCGATCGAACACCCTCTCCTCAACTAGGGCCGCAGAGTCTTTTCAAACTCCAGACCCCACAAGCCACTACTTCATACCCTGAACATTCCTCTCAAGTCCGAGCGGACCCCCTCACCATGGTGACCTTCTTGTCGACGGCCATTTTCTCGATGGCCCCCTCGAACGTGCGCTTGTCCAGCCGGCACCCTTCCTCGTGCGCCTGATCCACCACCAGCTCCACCTCGTCCCACCGCCGTTTCCGCGTGAGCGCCATCAGCAGTTTGTTGTACTGCTCCTCGACGGCTTCCCGGCTCATGACCCGCTTTACCGACGCGAAAAGCACGCGCGCGAGGCGGTCGCCCTCGTCTGGGTAGTCGAAGAGGAGCTCGTACGTGATGTGGTCGGGGGGGACCGCCGCCTGGAGCATGTCGCCTACAACCTGCCCGGGGGAAGAGCCCGGTCAGTAATGGGAATAGGCGGAAAGGAGGACGAGGGGAAATACATGATGAAAAGACGAGGAGACAGGAGGGGGAAACGAAGCCGTGTGCAATCCAGTAGTCGGCCCCTCAGCAGACCTGAGAAGCGGCCGCCAGAATCGAAGCCAAGAAGAGCACGAGAAGACAAATGAAGAGACGAAGAAAGAGAGCAAACGAGAAAGGAGACACGAGAGACAGAAACAATGAGGATCGCGATCAGTATCTTATGCTCTGACGATGCTGGTTGGCGGTGCAGGATTGGAAGAGCCCAGAACACTGGTTATGCTAGCGAAAGAGAGGGAGCACTGCTGGACGGCAGAGTACCGAACGGCAAACACCAAATGGCAAACTATCAAACGTTCTCCACAAGCTCGTTTCCAGTCTAGAACTGGCAGCTCTTCAGTATATTTGTCCGGCTGAACATTGAACAGCTTTTCGGACCCAGTACTCACCACCTCTAGTTCCTCCGTCCGATGTCGCTCGGTGTAGCCCCGAATGAGCGTGTTGTACGTGAACACGTCCCGCTCGATCCCCCGCTTGCGCATCTCCTCCAGCCACGCCGGCGCGGCCTCAAACTGCCCTCCCGCGATACTCGCGCGAATCAAGTAGTGGTACGTCTCCTTAGTGGGCGTATGGCCGTTCTCCAGCATCTGAGAGGACACGAGAGTAACGTCAGCAGAGTATGGAAGAGCTTGACGTCAGCAGGATATGTTGCAGGTTGATGCTGGGAAATCCTGAAAAGGTGACGTTGGGCGAATATTCGGCGGGTGCTGCTAGACGATACGCCGGGGAAGTGATGTCGTCAAGTGTCTGCGAGAGTGACATCACAATGCTTCTTTGATATTTATATTCTGCTGTGAAACCGAGTCAAATTTAAGAACTCTCTTGGAAGGATGATGGCAAGACGCTGAGATCGTGTCTGCGTAGACCGTGTCTGCGTCGACCGCGCCCGCTTCTAACGGCATCTTAACAATACTCTGTGAAACAGCAGACAACTGCTCCAATGTTGACACCTGAAATCTCAGCCTATAACAAGATCCGGGAGACCCCACAGCCAACATCCTCACGACTCCCCATCGTTTTGAATGCCAGGGAGACCGTCCGCGGCTCACCTTCCTGTACGTAAACTCCGTTGCGCGCACGTCCCCCCGGCCCGCATACGCGCCGATGACCATATTAAATGTGATTGAATCAAACGGCACCCGTCGCTCCTTCATCGCCGCCAGCCAGCGCGTCACCTCCCCCGGGCGCTCTGCCCGGATGCACGCATCGATGAGCACATTATACTTGGTGGTGTCGGGGCGCTCCCCCGAGGCAATCAACTGCTCCAGGATGGCGACCGCCTTGTCGTACTCAACGCCCTTGCCGTAAGCCGCCATCAACCTGCGAGATAATACTGGCAATTAGGGATTAAAAACCTCGGGGATTTGAGCTCCCAGCCAACACCAGGAAATGCAACCCATAACAAGTATCTGCTCCACACCCGTACCCACCCTAAACCCCCCGACTAAATCCACCCGTCCTAATGTGTTCAGCTTACTATTAGGGAATTGATATCTCCGCCTGGAAGCGAGAGGGGCGCCGCTCACGTTGAAGGAACGCGGCAAAATGCTGTTTGTCGTCTTTCTGGGGACTGGGCTGAAAGGGATCTAATGCAGACTTTTGGAGGCAGAGAAGCGAAGCACTACAAGCGGTAGCGGCTTACCAGAACGTCAGCCTGACCTTTCAGTTTACACCGGACGACAGTAGCGTGCAGAGAAACTACCACAAAACCAATACTTAGTACACGTTCCTAAGGCAGTCTAAAACGCCGCATTGATTGGTTGATGGTTGCGTGCAAACGAGAGAACACGACTACAAGCGGGCCGAAAATACGTGCGAGTGGCTCACGAGGTCCAATCGTTGGGGTGCGGCTTGATGCCGGCCTTGACCATCTTGTCGAAAGTAATCTGCGCGTCCACCCACTCGCCCTTCCGCGAGTGGATGTTCAGGATCTCCACGAAACTCCGCTGCAAGACGAACCGGCCAGAGTAAGCGTTTCAGTCGATTGCATTCCCAAATTCCTCGGTAAAGACATGCTTGGAACATGCAAGAAGTTGGCAAACACGAGACTTGCCCTTTCTTTGGTCGTTAGCAGAACCAACAGGGAAGTGCGCTCTTCACAGCCCAAGATCCGGCGAAACATGTTCCAAGTCAGGAATCCAAGTCAGGCGTCACATAAGTTTTACCAGACTTGAAAAGACAGGACATGAAGTCAAGACAGGACATGAAGTCAAGACAGGACATGAAGTCAGACAACTGCCCCCAATCATGTAGACTGCAGCGTCCAACGAAAAAAAGCGCAAAGCGTCCACACCCTATCGAGGGCCGGTTCCTGCGCCTTGAGCTTCCTGGCGACCTCCCAGGCGGCACCTACTGCTCCCTGTCGCCTGAACAGTCCGGCAATCTCAGTGAGCGCCGTCGGGCTGAGCGGGAGGCCCTTCCGCTCGGCGATCTGTAGCAGCATGCTAACAGTGGCGCCACTGTTCTGGCTGGCGGCCTGGAACACCTGCAAAACGCGGTCGAGAACAGGGTTAGCGACAGGTTTGGGCCAAGAGCAAAGGTACTTCCGCTGCGCAGATTGACTTCATAAGAACACAAAATGCGCGTGTTAGGGCGAGGCTGAGGGGCTATCGAGCGAACTCGCTCAAAGGAGTCTAGAACAGAACAGTTCCGGAGTGGTGGATTGGACTGTTTGCAAGTCTCTTGGTAAGGTGATAAATGATTGCGGCAAGACCTCGTCGCCTTGTCCAGCGTTCCATGAGCAGGCCACCCGCCTTTCAAAACGTCGGTGCTTCTCATTAGGTAGCGCATAATACAAAGGGACAGCTGGGTCAGGGGAAAAGGCAAAATGTAAGGCCAGACACAGGCGTGAATTCCCCTGCTACATAACCCCTGAATAGCGACATCCCCAAAGCACACAGTTCCTCTCAGCGCTTCACATCTCTGCAAACGCAGCTTAACCCAATGTTTGACCCAAGCGCTAGCCTCGACCAGATTCTGCGTGACGACGACCCAAAGCAAAATCTACTCTCAGCGCTTGACTCAACTCCAAAGCACGCAGCTTAACCCACTTATTCCTCCCGGCCACGTTTGAGATTACCACCCAAAAGCGAAATACAACATTACTCCCAGCGCTATACCACGCAGCTCAACCCACTTCGTAAAGCAATCGCTCACCCCAACCAGGGTCTGCGTGGTGACGACCATTCCCCGGCCCCTCATCCGCATAAGAGTGTCCACCGCCTCCTCCCATCGGTCTACCGCCGCGAAGCCGGCCGCCAGTGCGACGTATGGCGTCGCCTTCAAGCCGCCACTTACGCCCGCAAGTTCGTGCTCCATCTCCTTCAGAAGCGCACGCGCCTCGTCGACTTGGCCGTTGGTGGCGAGCGTGTCGATCATCAGATGGTACACGGCCCTGGAAGAGTGTTAATCGTCGATTCGTCAAATTCACTAATGAATTGATCATCATCATCATTTGTCGTTCAATGGTGGCAAGACTTTTCATCTCACGCCAAAGAAAGGTGGTGAATCTTCCCTCTTCGCCAAAAAAGATGGTAGTATATCAAAGGCGAGGACGAAGACAGGTGTCGCAAAGTAGCGTCAGCAGATGGGACGGGGTTCAAGAGATTCCTGTTGACGTGACCTGACTTTGAAGCTTCGAAGAAGCTAACAGGGCGATTTTGGGAATGGGGCTGTCGAGTACCTGCTCGACAGATACTGCGGATATGAGTGCGATTTCATAGACAGCTTTGAAAGGCGTGGAGATCTTAAGCTCGGCTTTCTCGGGCGAAAGATTCCCAGTGTCAGCGGTGCAACTCTGGGTCAGATCACCGTGAAAACACATGATCACGGTAAGATCAAATGACCAGGACTACTTTTCCGAAAACATCGTTCACCACGTTCCCCGGTCCGCAGCGATCTAAAATGCTTCAGGTCAGGAAAAGAAGGCGTCAGGAATGGCAAGACTGCCAAGTTGGGACGGGTGAAGCTGGATTGAAATTGAAGGTGGGTAGGGGGTGCGGAGCAGGTACTCCCGAGGATCACTATGTTTGGCGGCGTATTGTCTCTGCTATAAGAGAAGATCCTGACCTGTCCGGCTCCACGCCGTCCTCCTTCATCTGCTCGAACCACGCGCGCACTTTGGGCAGGTCTGGGCGCGCCATGTCCATCAGCGTGCCGTACGTCACCGCGTTCGGCCGCAGGTCCGCCTCCAGCAGCTCCTCGTAAAACCCGAGCGCCTCAGCTTTGCGGCCCGCTTTGGTGAATGCGCCCATCAGATAGTTGAGCTGTGTAAGCGTGGGCTCGAATCCCGTGCGCCGAAAGTCCTGCCGGCCAAAAGTAGGCGGGGTCAGGGGGTGGGGATAACACAGCTTCGAAAAACAGATGAAAAATGCCAATAACAGGATTTAACAGAAACTCTCTATAAGTAAGACCGGCTTCTGATAGGAAAACCGATTCGAGTGCCAATTCTACTCTCACTGGTACAGTTGCGCGGCCTGGACGCAGAGGCCCACTCGACCAGAGAAAATGTGCATCAGATCAAGCAGGGGTTTCATTCAAATTTAGTAGCAGTAACCGGTGACGCACGCATTTGCTCCTCTTTGCCGGGTACCCGGACAATTCTGCGGCCTGGTCGCAGAGGTTCGTCCAACCAAAGACCGAAACGTGATCGGATCGTGGACATAATTCATCTCAAAACACAGAAGCACTGAACCAGTGACGCGCAGAATACTCTTCTTCCCGCACCTGGTACAATTCCGCGGCCTGGTCGCAAAGCCCTGACCGGCAGCAGCCGTACATGCACGACCGGAAGATCCAGCCGTCGATAGCGGCGCCCTTCTCGCGCAGCCGCCGCGTCTCTGCAAAGGCCTCCTCCGCGCGCTCCTCTGCGCTCAGCTTCGGGATGAGGAACCGGTAGTAGTCCTGGCAATCAAGTTTGGAAGATTATAATATGTTAGTATGCGTTATGATGGGTGATAGTCAACCAGTTGAACCAGTTTGTTACGCCAGAGGACTGTAAAAAAGAGATCGTTTGACGATGGTCGGGAGGAGGGGGAAACCCCAAACATTCCAAGCCCACCCAATGTCTGTCTGCTGGCGAAGGCAATATCCGAGGAAAAAGAGGTACTCCATGTCATTAGAGAACTCTTGCGAAGGCAACGAGGAGGTTGATTGGCACAATGGCTGCGTGGGACTGGTGCTTATAACGAAATACGGGAGAACGGGACGCCTTCTCTTTGAAAAACTGAAACAGGTCTTCTAGTTTCGTCGATGCGGGAATACGTCCGGGAGGCCTATCAGTAGGACGTGTCACAGCAGAAGGTCGCTTATACGAAATCGTATCGTAGCTTGGTCCTCGTCGAACCATGATAGCGGCCCAACCTTTCTGAGGCCCCCGGTTCGGAGGCTAAAACGATTTCATCGAACAGAGCGGAACATTGGATGACAACTTGACTGATCATCTCTAGCTCAACCAGCGTAGATGAACCCCCAACTCGAGTTGAAGAAACCAACACTTAAAAGCTGACTCGCAAGAAAGGTGGAGCAGGAAGTATCCGCCTACTGCCTGGCTCCCTTGGCGTCTTCTCTCGCGGCATGATGATCAAAAGAGAGCACTGACAGAAGATGTTGCAAAACGGCGACACCACAAATGGCCGCACTATGTTGGGCTGTACCGGCGGTTTCACAGCGCAGCCAGTTAAATCAGCAACAAAGTCGACTTGCGGGAGAGATGCCGATGAGCGAACCGCACCATATTGGGCTCGAGCCCCTCTTCGTCCTCCAACTCGTGCAACACGTCGCGCAGCTCCGAGAGCGCCTCGGTCCTCTGGTACGTCGTCAGTAGGACGCGGTAAGCAAACCTGCAGAGGATCAGTTTTCAGGAAACATTTCCGGGGGGGCCAGGGGGGACGAGCCTTGTCTATCAGACGAGCGAAGGGAGTCAAAGAGGGCGTCTACGCAACGTCATCAACCGGCCACTTTTAGGAGGGCCCAGTGCTCGGGGTACAAACTCCGGTGCCAACACTTCGGCGACAGGATGACAGACAGCCGTGCTTCGATGTTGCCATGTGACGGCAGCGTTCCGGGTCCCAGGACGCCCCATTCTAAAATGAGCAGCCCACGGGTGTCAGGGCGGCACAATTGCTCAAAATTAATCCAACACAGCCCGGCCCGTCGATAAGCATAGAAGTCGCCATACTGGTGCAGCAGATCGACCGAGCCAAACCAACGGAATCTGGTCAGGCCACTCCTTGCAAAGTAGACGGGGTCAAATATTATCCCAACACGCATAACCCGACCGTCGGAAGTACTTGCAAATAGCTTACTGGTCTAACTTGACGCCTTTCGCTTTGACAGCCGCCGTCACGTCTGCGGTCACCTCCGCCAGGTCTGCGGGGACCTCCTTTTGCAACCCGATCAACACGCTGGTCACCATGCGGGTGTCTATCGCCAGGCCGTCCGCGAGCGCCCGCCGGAGGAGCGCCACCGCTGTGGTGCCTCCCAGGGGACTGCTGCTGACGCGGAATAGAAGCGCCCTGTACAAATGTGCAAAAAAGAGCTGATTGCTAGAATTGGGGCCGCTCATCTGAAAGAGAGGAGTGAAGTAAACCTTCTGTCCTGCAATAAGAGTATGTTTTCACGCGAGCAGCCCCGACGGGACAGAAGCGCCCAGCAGGAGAAATTGCTAATCATGCCAGAAATTATGGTTCTTAATCGTAAGGAGATCGTGTTGTATAACAGATCAAGAGTGACCTCATTCGAGTAGCTCCCGTACCATTGCGAGATATTGTGACCTTTCAGGACCGATGAGCGCCTTCTTGTGGGAGTCGAAGCATGTGAAGCTTACAGGTAGTTGATGGGAAGCGGCGATATCTCAATCGATCGTAAAGGGAGGGACTGCTGTCCAACCAGAGTCAACAAGTTGAGTTTTCCAAACACTTGATGGTGTTTTGCTAGTCTCGCCTAAAGCGGGGTGCCAACGTTCAGCCCATCATGCCCCACTAGGACCACAATCTACGTATCACAGTCTTCGTGCTGAAAATCTGTGAAGGGACTCCACGACAGCTCTTTTCCATTCACAGTCGCGCTAGAGATGCCGCAGAAGAGGGGTTCGACACTCTCCACCCACCCCAGAAGGGAGTCGTCCCCTTGCCCAATATCGTGCCCCAGCTCCACTAGCTTCAGAATGGCGTCATACGCCTTTTGGTAGTCCCCAATCTTGGTGCGCGCTTGCACCAACGAGACATACATCTCGGTTGGCGGCGTCAAGTGGTCCGAGTCCTGCAACATGCAGCCCTCATCAGGTCTACATAAACTGGTGAGAGGGGAAAGACATGCGCTTTTGAACGACCAAATCTGTGCGTCGAAGACTCTGCTGAGAATGCCACAGAAAAGATGAAGTCACCCTCCAATTTTCTTTGGACGGTGTGGAAAAAACAACTTGACGAGGCCCAGAAGCAAGCGGAACTTGTAGTAAGGAGGTGGTATAGACCAAGTAAGATATAACGAGGCCCTTGCAACCTAAAGGCCGAGCGTAATTCGTGCACGGAAGCGGAGTGCAGTTCAACGGATACAGACATGCGCTAAAATGGTTATGAGCGATACAACTTACTAACATAAAATTGGAGTGCCGGAGAAGCTCTTTGAGTGGTTTCCACGTCAGAAGAAAGATACTACTGGTCGGACAAGAAGAAGAGAGAAACAGGATGAAATCAGTCGCACGTAACCCACCTGCATCTGCTCAAACAGCTGCACCACAACGTCTGCCTTGGACAGCGCCTCTGCCGTCTTGATAACAACCCGGTACGCTGACGTGAGCTCCTGCGGGGCCCACTGCTGCTTCCGACACCACTCCAAGACCGGCTGGAGCTTCGTCAGCGCCTTCCTCTCCCCAATCTCCTGGATCTACATGGAACTCGGGGGGGAATGGGGTTATGCTCGTTTTTCATTGACCACTGAACTAGGCTACTATATGGCACCAATTGTGAACTTGAGCAGAAGGGGCTAACTTTGAAAGTGACAGTCCCTTAGGAACACTTGTGATTGAATTGCTACAAGTGCCACCAAACGCGCTTGGCAATCTCCTCGAGTTCTGTCACGGGAGGTATAAACACAGATTGACCGGAAGCTGATCGTACTTCGCAAGAGCCCATCATGCGTAAGGTTACTGAGATTCAGAAAGTACTGAGAATCGCTTTTAAGTCACTGGCATCATATGCTTTGCCCAACAGGTGTCGTTGTAAAGCATAGCAACAGGAGGCCTCACCAGTTGAAGCACACACTTGGGATCCAAGCTCCCCTCCCAGTGGTCCAAGTATGCAAGCGCTCTTGTCTCATCAGTTTCCCTCATGAGTCTTGTGAGCGCCTTGTCTACAAGCCTGGCCTTAGCACCTTGGGGAGCCAGATTGTCCCAAACCCCTCTCTGAAAACGGTCATCTACAGTTGGGCCAGCTTCCAAAACCTCTAATCTTTCCGTAATGCTGTCTGCAGTGGTTGAACCGGGGTCCATCGCTTGGGCGAGGTCGCTAAACGATGCCTCTAAGCTGTAATCACTGTCCTGGAGCGCATGCAGGGCTTTTCTATGTTTCCTACTTCCGCATCTGGAGTCTTCGGTTTCTAAGTAGCCAAAGGATAGAAAGCCTGACTGTACACTGGATTGGTATGTCACCCGTCGACCACTCCCACTGCGATGACCGGAAACACGGGGATAACCCCGACACCCCTTTGGTGCTCTACGCATAAGCATGTCCAAACTCACAAACACTTGATCGTATCTGGTGGTGCAAAAGGATGAAGTGTTGCTGTTGCTGGGGATTGCTTCGCAGGGCCATACAGCATGCGCACGGGCCGGTGTCCTCATACTTGAAGGCACGCAAACGCAACCACTGGGGACCATGGTGGAGTGGAAAAGATGCTGGCCGCAATCACTTTGGTGCAGCCTTCGAAAAGAAATACTTTCAACACCGACACCACCAACTTTGTTTCCGCTGCATGAAGCGTGATCTTCAGATGTACATGTATCACGAGCAGTGGTGGTACAGCTCAACTGGATGAGCCTCCAGTGACCCTATACACAGACTGAACCACCTCTTTGGAGGAGCCTTTTCTATGGCGCCCGGAGCAGAAGCAGCTGGGGGGGAAATGAGATCATGACACTGTCGTTCTTGAACGCTGGCCGTGCGCAAGGGAAGGAGGAGTACCTAATAGTATTGGAGAAAAATGAGGAGCACTCAGCAGAATGTAATCTTATGGGAAAATTCTGTCCATTGGCATCACCAAATCAAGAACAGCTGGTCACCGCTACAGTACCGGTTTCCGCTTCTCCGGCTTCATACTAGGATAGGCGGGGTCTGAGATTCATGCCGGTTGCCGTTGCCGGTTCCCCGATACGCCGTGAAATTCTGCGATGCAAATCAAAATCCTGAAATTCAACAGCTTCAAAATAAAAGTCAAAATGCCTGAGGCTGGAGCTCACTGGAGGCTGACGCCCCGGAACAGTGAAAGCTAGTGCAATGCAGGAAGGGAGGCTGCTCAGGTTTATGTCCAATGGGTGCAATGAAACAGCGGGCAAAGGCGCTTGGCAATGTGGATGGAGGCAGTTTGGGCTCACTAGCATCTGACACAATCACGGGACTATTCCCATAATCGGCACTCTGCAGCTAGCGCACCATCTACTCTCTTCTTCAACCCAAGTTCGATTCTGAGCTTACACACTAGAACGTGTTCACTACACAATCAATGCACTGCACGAGGTGGTTGCGCTTCACAGGCCCTTTTGCGGCAATCAAGACCAGCGTAAGCACAACTAGAGGCGGTGCCACGAGCAAACCACAATCTGGGCCACCAAATCCTGCATTGCTCCTCAAGGCAGAGGCCCATTCCAGCAGAGCGATGCCTCCAGTGCGCCGCAGCTCCCGCTTGGCGAAGAATCAAGAGGAGGCCAGCCTTGCTGATGAATCAGTGCTCAAGGAGCTGGCTCCTAACCCCCCAATCCCCACCAAAACAGGGCCGACAAGAGACGCCGAAGCACTGCAGTGGGCAGCGGGTTTCAAGCGGGTGGCCGGAGTTGATGAAGCGGGGAGGGGGCCGCTGGCAGGCCCGGTAGTGGCGGCCGCCTGCATTCTACCCCCCAATTTCGAGATTCCAGGGGTAGATGACAGCAAGAAAGTGTCTGAAGCAAACCGTGATCGGTTGTACGATATCATCACCAATGCGCCGGGGGTGGAGTTTGCAGTCTCAGTGGTGGATGTGGAGACGATCGATCAGATTAACATCTTGGAGGCGGCTATGCTTGCGATGGCAAACGCTGTAAAATTAGTGCGCGCAGACTTTGCCCTTGTTGATGGGAACCGGATACCGAAGCAACTGGCTGCTAGCGTTTCAAAGGCAATAGTTGGGGGAGACGCGCTCTCCACCTCAATAGCTGCAGCTTCAATCATTGCGAAAGTGACAAGAGACAGGCTGATGTGTGAATTCCATGAGCAGTGGCCAGAGTATGGGTTCAAGGCTCACAAAGGATATGGAACAGCAGCTCATATGGAGGTGTTGAAACGCTTGGGGCCTGTCGTAATACACAGAAGAACGTTCCAGCCTCTGAAGGGCTGGTTAGAGCAACGGTCAGCAAAGTAGTTCGTCAAAATCTCATGTTGACACGGGATCAGAGGATTGGCACAAGAGAGGGCCTCTACTCAGTCACCAGTACAGTTAAATTGCTGGTCCAACAGTCTAGCCTGAGGTCCTTAAGAACATGGTTTCCTACTAGCTAAACAGTTCATAATTCAGAAGGTCAACTAATGCAGTGTCTTCTTAGGAATTCAAATTGTCTTGTCCTGCTTTTGAGGACTGACAACAATTATCGTCCAAGAGTCAGAAGTCTGTTCATCAGAATCTGGTCGAATGTGCTCAAGCAGAGGCGCTGCCAAATATGGCCGCCAGTGCAGCCCCTAAATTAGGGACAAGCTCATGTGGATACAAGCAACCCTTGTCAGCAGAGGCTATCTTTTACAGACTGATGTGATGGCAATTAGCATCATGTTAAAGTCACGGCCCTAAGACAGGTGCTGTTGATCAAACGATTACATACATGCACATGCATTTCATGTGACATCTGACTTGATCGAATCATGTGTTGGAGAAGAGCCTGCGGTGGGTATGTCAGAGCTGCACAACTTAAGCTCGTGGGCATGATTTAAGCTTGATTGAGAAGTCTTGGTGAAAATCGTGCACAGAAAGTTACAGTCGTTGGAGACGCACTTCAAGCTCATCTGACACGTGAATGACTTAACACGGGCTGGAAACGTGGTGTCTTGGTCGGCCGTGACGCGTCTATACAGCATTTACCTCTAGCTACAAATGTACATACTTTTCTGCATGGATGCCATGCAACGTACCCATACAACCCCTGACTCTAACAACTCACCGAGTCAAAAGCAACTGCGGTGGACGTACCTCGTACGAGTAGGATTAATATTACCGTCAGGTGTTCAATTGCGAACGAACCCTCAACTCGAGGCCCCGCACCATATCAAACCATGACCAACGCGGACCTTTGATGGAATTGACTGAGACGACTTCTGCATGCAGCCAGAATGATTCACTAATCTGCCAAACACATTACGTGAACGCCTTCTGGGCTAAGCAATATAGCATGAATACGAGATCTGGCCGGGCCTGTTCCGCTGAACGGCTCGACTTCATTCTGGATACGGATTCTTGAAGACGGGCAGGCTTCCATCGTACGTGGACTTCGCCACGTCACCGCGGGTGATCAACCGGGGGCCCACTGGCGGGCCTCCCGCCTTCGGCCGAATGTCCTGCTCAGACGCGCACGGCTTCGGTTTACGACTTGATCAGAAAGCACGGGACTTGAGAATCTCCAACTTTTGGACGAGCAGAATCGAAGCGTCAAGCCTTGACACAAGGGCGCATGAAACTGGAAATAGACGTGTCGTCCAACGTCTACTTGAAACTCGCTGCATAGCTATGGGCGAAGAAAGTTTCGAGAGGATACTTGAAGTATCTGCCACGTCCTGACCTGGTCGAAGATTGCGATCGGGATGGCGAGCGTTGCGCACGCGTTGGGGGCGTCGACAATCCCCGAGATCCTTCCCTCGCACGGACAGCAGGACAGCAACAAGTAGATCTGCACGCCCGAAGACGCGGCCAGTCATCAATCTCCTGTTCTTATCCGTTTCAGCCCCTCTTGAAAGCGTTAGATTCTCATGATGAAGCCCACTTCGAGTCCGCTTGCGGGACTTTGTCAACTTTCTCAGAGTCTTTAAGTGCAGGAAACAGCAGGCAACAAACATATTGTTTTTATACAAACCTTAAGGGAGAGGGATGCGATGCGAATCGCCGTTTTGAGGCCGACGAACGGATTTGTTGTCCGGGCAAACGAGGGGGCATTCCGGCCGCAAAGAAGCAGTCGGGACAGAGTTGGTCAAAGAGTCGCCAAGAAAGTTTCCCGAATCGACATTCCCCAAAGGGCAGCGCTGTCCTCTTACCGGAGGAGAGGAAGCGCGTCTTGCAGCGGCGATCCGGCTGACTGTGTTCAAACCATCAACCCACCAATGCTCGACCTAAAATCCCTCCACCTAAAAGCTTTCATCGCTACGAACCAACGGCTGAGTAGCCACTCAGTGCATGTCGACATCACTGGCCGCTAAGCGACTTGCGCCTCTGCGTCCTCTAAGGTGCTTAGTACTCATTCATTGGACCTAGGGTAATCAATTGCAATAAGTGAGCGAGCGAGCGAGTGATGCGCCTAGCCCTAAAGCCGCTTCGAACTCACCTGCGCTTTGGTGTACCCGAACTTGGCGAGGTACTCGATGCAGTTGAGCACCGCGCGCTTGTAGGCGACGCTCGCGTCCAGGAAGTGCTGCCGCCCCGTCTCGTCCACGGAGATGCCCTCGAAGACGAGCCACTCCGAGAAGCGCGGCTCCAGCGGGCCGATCTCGAAGAGCGGCATCACGTGCAGCTTGGTGGGGCCCATCGGGGTCAGGTACTGCGCCATGCCGCCGCGCAGGATCGACACCCTGCGCGAAAGTAGGTCGTGAAATCTGAGGCTGGAAAGTGTGACTTTGCTTTTCTTGGTTTTTGCGTGTTTTGATCTAGGGTGGCGACGCTTGAGGCCCCATGGTGCTCCTTGCAGGCGTTTGGAGGACTTGCGAAACCACTGTGGTCATGAAGAGAACCTGGACAACGATTTCTTGCAAGGCCGAGGCGACTTTCTTTGGGAGACAAATCAGACGTCGCCAGGCCCTCATCGGATTCAGCGGCTACGGTTCGAACCGGGGAAGGTTTCCGAGGGCTGTGAGTATATTCGAGATACGGCAGGAGGACGAAACAACTCGGAACGGTTGAACAGCAGGTGGGGCGACAGGACACTCATTTGCACAACGGCCGCTTCTTTCGCTCTTGGTCTGACACCTAACGAAAATGATGGCGGTGGTGGGGGATCCCCGTTGTGATGTTCGGAGGGAGAGCAGCGCCTGATCCGACGCACCGAGTCGGGTTGAATAGCATCCAACGAGAACAGGAGTTGAAAATGTAAACAAATCTGAGACGATCCGCAGCTGATTCCTTGACTGAATTCTCATTTTCCAGACACTCTCGGGTGTCTTTTTCAAGCAATTGCACCTCGTGTACACTTATTTTGACCGGACAATCATCCTCGTCAGGCACTAAGCCTTCGCAGCATTTTCTTTTCCTCTAGCCGGGCTTCTATCAAGAGTGCTGAAAGGGAGCCAGCTTGCGAAAAGACTCGTCGAAGGCTCCTCTACCTCATCGACGTCGACTTTGAGATTCAGCAATCCAGTCTCCATCGCTCGGAGCTTCTGTTGGCAGACGAATGTACAGACGTATGGGGAAAAACATCTTAGGCACTTTTGTACGGCTCTAATGAATTCTCTTTAACCAGCTTGGTTACCGCAACCTTCCCTTCCCTTCAAAGCGAAGGAATGGAAACAAGCTCTCTCTTTTGCCAGCGGCTCACTTGAGCTCCAGGAAGCCGCTCATCTCGATGGCGCCGCAAAAGGACACCTCCCCGTCCCCTTGCGAGAAGTGCATGTCGCCCATGCTCAGGTTCGCGCCTTCCACAAACACCGGAAAGTACACCTTACAACCGCGGCTCAGGTTCTTGATGTCACAATTCCCGCCATTCTCACGCCCCGGCACTGTCCGTGCAGCTTCGCCCGCAACGCGATCCCACTCGGCACCCTTCTCAACCTGGGATAAGGACAGCGATTGGTAAAATGACATAATAATCCGCTCGAGCGGCTATCTTTCGAGCACCATGTGTCAGACCTTCCTTTCTAATTCCAGAAGCGTTTAGGACCGGAAAGCCCTTCTGCGAAAGGAAGATCTGAGGGCAGAACTCCTTTGCTACTAGGGCAGTATCGGGTCCGACAGGGAGACGGACGCTTCAGCCGAACACTTACACTTCGAGAGGTGCGCTCCGTTCAAGGTTTCTTTCCTTTTACGTCCCTGAATAAAGTGCAAAAGTCGGTCACAAACAGAGTGTTAATGGAAGCCTCACCCCCCAAGTCTTAGAGACTACCTAAAGGAAAGTTGTGCACCAGGTCCAGGGGCCAGATACATACCTTCCCGAGGCAAGCTCCCGTTGGCGTTGGCAGGTTTGCGAGCGGGCGGGTGTGCAGGACGCCCCCCAACGTAATGCCATTCTCGCCCTCGTCCACCAGGGCCTTCTCGCGCGTATTCCAGATATCCAGCAGCTCCTTGGAAGGCGCCGTGCCGATCAGACCTGGGGTGATTGAGTTGCAAAACTGTTGAGGTAACCAGACGCGCTACTTTGTTATCACGTGTAGAATCGATTTGTTGTGTTGCTTGCCGGAGAAATGTTCGACAGTGTTCAAAGCTGCCCGTCGACGTTGACTATTTGAAACAATTGGGGCGCATACACTATAGGCGTTAGGTGGAGCCCATGCTGCATACTTTTGAATGCCTTTGGAACACAAGATTTTAGCTGCATCTTTATAGCAGGAAGTACATTGTTCTGACTTGAAGTGCTATTCTAGAGGGCTTGTCACATGTCGAGAATGTCTGGCTATGAGCGACCATCAAGAGCAGATCACAGATAACGCTCGACTTGAAGGGTCTGGTGCCAGTGCCGCATTCTTGCCCAGAAATCAAGAGCTTATCTGCCCCCCCCGTCAAAGCCTGTACTGGTATGCTAGGAGAGCCTCACTTCTGCTCTGAAATAACTTCCGCATGAAAGGGCTTCTCCAGCGGTATGATACTCTGGTTGTTTTAAGGATTCCTCAGGAAATACTGCGCAAAACTCAATGTAGCATGATGTCTCCCCCAGCTTGCTACCATAAGCGATCCTCCAGGTGAATCTGTGGCGGTCACCACTTCTTGCTCAAACTGGCAACCTTTCAAGTAGGTGGTAAACCAAATCATTTCTCATTACAAAGTCACAAGATGCAAGATTTTCCACCGACCTGGGTGAATGAGCCCCGGGAAGCGGACCCCCGGTATATGGCGGCTGTGCGCATAGATGCCGTCAAAGTGCCAGACAGCTTTGGTTGCCTCCGGAAAGTGGTCCGTCAGAAACCCGCCCCCATTGTCCCTGTCAAATGTTCCTGTAAACCCCCATTCATCGCCAGGTAGGGCCCCCAGGTTACAGATCTCGACCACAAGAATGTCGCCCGGAAGTGCAGGGTTGTCTTCCTGGTCGTGAACCCTGATTGGGCCACTGAGGTAGTGCACTTGGGACAGGTCGACCTTTTTGATGTCTTCCGAGGAGTCGTCGTCTTTGATCTGGCCGCCTGAGGAGAGAAATTGGGTGGGCTTCTGTGGCCTCGGTGGTGAGTTCTTGGTGGGCTTTGAAGGAGTTTGCTCCATTATTCAACATGCAGAACGAGTGGCTGTGAGAGGTTTGATGGCTTGGCATTGAGTGAGAGACGTGCGTAAAGCTTTCGCCATGGAAGCTTGAAATTCTTCACAAAATCTTGATCAGGAAAGAAGGTTGCCCCTTGTGTGGAAGGCCTGCGAGTGATTGTCTAATGTACTTCAAACTGTCAACGGACCCCCCTTAGGCACACCCTCTACAACGTGAATTTGACTAAAGGCCCCAGGGTACCATCCCAAGCCAAATTTCTAAATGCTTGCAGGTCAGCCACATAGGCAATGCAGCGGTTGTGAATGAGGAGTTCGCCAAGATCTGGTCTGTTGCACCATCCAACACTCCAGCCATTAGGCCAATAGTTCTTGATTGGCCTTCTATTGCACAGCTTTGCATACCCTTCTACTTCCGGAGGCCGTCTGTAAGACCTTCTTGAGAGGTGAGGAAACAACGTTAAGTCAGTAAGATTTGAACCAGATCACAAGCGAACATCTTCATCGAGTAAAACCCAGTATTGAAAAGTCATTATTGCGGAACAGTCACATTTGAAAGGCATCACACCCATCAGGACGGTCACGGCTGACAGAGCAACCACACCTGTCCAATCGATGGTTTCCACCCGGAAGAGTGTGCCCTCCTTGACTGTCTCCACTGGGGGGATGTCTGGGTGCCACCTGTTGTGCAGCGGTTTCTCCTGCTCCCAGGGCTTCTTGGCAACATCAACACTGATCAGGGGGGTGGGGGTGTTAGGAGCCATAATGCTCAGAATGCTGAGGGGCGAAAGGGCGCTCAGATCAATCAGCGACGAGCTCGTCTCCTTTGCTTGTCAACAATGCAAGGTCACCAGACTAATAGACCCTTTAAAATGCTGTTTCATAGTCCCCCCTCCTGAATGGCTGCATTATCCTGGCAGATTGACCAAGATGCAAGGAGCTTCTCAGCAAGAGCAGTTGCCAGCTCTCCTGCTGCTGCACCAGCTTCTTCTCTGCACATCATACCCATCATATCAAGGAATTTGTGGGTATTTCTTTTAAGGTCGAACTTCCCTAATTCGGACGTGCAAAACCCTAATACCGTAGGAACGATTATGTCGAAGACGTCTTCATGCATAACTTGAGCGTCTCTTCATCTTTTTGAGATTCGTCTTTTGCAACATGACGGGCATGTCAAATGGATGCTAGGAAGCTCTAGTCGGCAGAAAACAACCACTCTAGCTATGTGTGGTGACGTGTGCAAAACATGCCTTTTCAGGCAAATTCTGCGCAGCGTTCGGAATCACGTGTGATTCCGAACGCTGCGCAGAACTGCCTGAAAAGGCATGTTTTGCACACGTCACCACACATAGCTAGAGTGGTTGTTTTCTGCCGACTAGAGCTTCCTAGCATCCATTTGACATGCCCGTTATGTTGCAAAAGACGAATCTCAAAAAGATGAAGAGACGCTCAAGTTATGCATGAAGACGTCTTCGACATAATCGTTCCTACGGTGTTAGGGTTTTGCGCGTCCGAATTAGGGAAGTTCGACCTTAAATGCATGTGCAGACCAAAATTGAACCCTAGACTGCAAGGAATGGCCCTCGTCTCGCCGGTTCAATTCGCCGAGTCACAGGCGTTGCCAAAGCGTCAAGCACATCTGCGTGCGCACTTCCTCGCGCGATTCAATAACCACGGCGCCTGTGCGAGCACCAAAGTGCGCTACGTTTTTTCAAAGCTGCCGCTACGTGCCACTTCTATATCCGTTAACAACACCGGTAACGAGGGGGTCCCTGAGCAAGGTCTAGGCGACACTAGGGCTGCATGCAGGGTTACAGAGGTAAGCATGATGGGTTGCAAACCAGTGCGAAAGCGTTGCAACTTTGCTGCAAGGTGGTCGCGGCATGAGCGCCTGGCACTGATCTTACCATATCTGGAGAGGCTGCTTGAGAGCCTGTATCGGTAAGTATTGCAGGGGTCAAGGGAAGTGCAATGCGAGCGCTCCTTGTTTCAGAATGGAAGGTCTTCGGAAAAATGCAGGTCCATGAGGTTGAGTTTGCAGGAACCAAGAATATAAAGGCTGCAGTGGAGCTGGGCTGCTGATCAAGTCTTAATCCAAAACAACAAGAGCGCTAGGACGTGTCGTTCTCAAGCCCTTGCTTGTGCTTTTCAAGTCGCATTTCAGTGTCACAACACGGTTTGTAGAAGCTAAGCCAGGCGGAGAAACACAGTTGCTACGATTAGCTGGGAGTCACTTCCCGTTTGCATTTCCAATTTTGCAGAAATTTCAAGTTTTGCGGTGCCAGTCAGGCAGCGAGCTCTATCGGAGGACTACGACGAGAAGGCGAGACAGGATTCATGGGCAAGAAATTTGCACAAACGCTTGAGCTCAAACCGGACAAAGCCCTTATTGATGAATACATAGAGTATCACAAGTTAGTTTGGCCTGAGGTGAGTACACTCTGCCTGCAAGTTTGATGCATAACGCACCACCGATTCCATTTGACATGCCGACTCAGAAGTTGTGGTCTTCAAATGCTCGTTAAATCAGATTGTGTCCCCACTGATAATGGGCATCTTCTTGGACAGGTACTCCACAGTTTGAAGGAAATTGGGATTCTGGACATGACAATCTGGCTTCATGGGAATCGGTTATTCATGGTCTGCGAAGTGCCTGAAAGTTTCGATCCTTCGAAAGACTATCAAACTTATACAACTGATGCAATTTGTCAAAAGTGGGACACTCTAATGAAGGGCTACCAACAAAAAGTGCCAACTGCCGAAGAAGGTGAATGGTGGGCAAGTATGCAAGAAGTGTTCGACCTGAACACGCAACTTAAGGCCTTGAATGCTTAGCTCCCATGCAAAAGTTTGAGTCCAGGACTACTTTTCTGTGTATTGCTAAACTAGGTATAGCTAGGGCGTAGTTCATGCATACATCTGCACCCTAGTACGTACTGATATACACGGGTGTGCCATGTGATGCATCTGATATGCATAAATGCTAAAACGCATCGTACGCAGGCCCTGGTCGATCTCACGCAGGCTCGATATCTAGCTCACCGGCGGCAGCTTGCCCAATGGCTATATCTGGCTCAGGGCGTTGATGATTGCAAGTGACTGTCCATATTCAGACTGGGGACATGCAAAAATATCATGGTGTGTGCAGTCCATATAATCCACTTAATACTTGTATTTACGAGTAAATGTGAGATCCATCATGTACCGTAGACCACAGTGTGCACATATGTTGTGTTGATCATGTTTACATGCCTAAGTCCGGTTCGACAACCTGGCATCCTGTAGACGCAATTGAAGTACGGTATATCAGGTGAACACATGTATAGCTTGCAATCTGGATGGCATGCGACTCATTCGTGCACTCATAAGCACTGCATGGCGGCTTACCTGGACCAACTTGGTTCGATGACTCTGCAGGAGATTGTGATATGGACAGTAACTTCGGTGCAGGTATATGGGCCTGATAATTCTAGGATGAGTCATATCAACAACGAGATAGAAGCGGCACCGACCAAGCAGGCTTCTGCCGATTAGTCATTACTGAACTAGCAACTATGCTGAGTCAGGTTTTGCAAGCTCTTTACGGATTGCTCTCGTAATGGTCATGCTTTTGCAGGCGGCTATGCAAAGAATTGACAGTGAAACGAACCTTGGCAATATCAATCCAGAAAGATGCTGAGCCAGTGAGAGATTCCCGCAGAAATGCAGGCCACCTTCGCATCGAGCAATTTGGGCAGTAAGAGCATGAGGAAGGGTGCTTATCGTCCGGTTGATTCGAAAGATGGGAATGAGAGGGCAATAGTTGATCCAATTCCATTGGCATCCCATGACCACGTCATGTACAAAACCTTGCCTGCTTCCACCAATGCGGTGATCCCCAATCATTATGAACCAAACGAACTCCCGCATGTTTTTCACGCCGCAAACTCATTTCCTGCTTGCATGTGTCGGGCGCAGGCTTCCCCCCCCACTTAACGCTGCCGCCCGCTCCCGTGCTACTGCTACTGCATCCAGAGGGGGCAGGCCGCTCCTGTCCTCCACTTTATCCCATTTTGTCCGCTTTCCGGGCCGGATGTCCGTTACTTTTGCAGCGGCTGTCGCTGCTGGGGGAAGGGGTGTGACTTTCGCGACTGGAGGGGTAAGCACTGCAAAATAGCGAGTAAACCGCTGGTCAGCAGTACTAACGCAGACGCAAGAAACACACAATAGGTAGCATCTCTACAGTCGATGGCTGAGTTCCAAAAAAAAGAACAGCAGAAGCAAGTAAGATTAGTAAATGCGACTCAAACAAAGTCAACACTAGAATCTGGTTCTTGTCTATTGGGATATGGAGTCGAGCTTTGAGTAGAGGTGATCTCAGCGGCACAGTCCTGAGAGGCCAGGCGATCGTCGACGAGAGGAGACTGCTGATGCCCAATCCCGGTAAGTAAATAAAACCCGATAGACTTGTCCGTTTTTGACATTAGCATCAATGCATTTGGAGCACTTTTTGACCAGCAAAGGCCTCGAGTGTCATCTAGTAGACCTGCGATTGCTTAAGAGTTCCAGATGACATACACAGAACGGTGGTGAATCTGGGTTTGCACGAAACTGTTCACTAACTGAGCCCCTCCCCCCCTTTCTCTAGACTACAGAGAAAAACAACTTTTGGTCAAATGAAGGATGCACCTGGCTACAGGCGGGATCGGCCACCACAACCATCGCAGTCCATGAAATGCTGCCGCATGATGAGTGTACCTTTTGGTATAGATGCTAAAGACAAGGGCCTGCCATCCGGTCCCATGGCGGCCACAGCGGGGGGCTGGACTCCCCCCTTGACAAAGTCCACCTTGCCAAGCTTCCGCTTCTCTTGCTCCCGCTGCTCCGCTTCTTGCCGTTGCGCAGTAGCTGCACCCAGGACACATGAAAAACGGGTTGACTTGACCGATGGCACTGATCACCGCAATTGACGAAAGTTTGCAACCAATGTCTGGCAGGAGCAGGCCCTTTGTACAATGGACTCCCATTTGGGAAAACATCTGGGCAAGTCGCCAAAAGTTTCCAACCAACTGCAGGATGTTGCCATTCGCAATCAACTTTCAGCAGAACTTCCATCTGATCACTTGAAGCAACCATCCAACTGCCTGCCTCAGCGCCGTCAAACATCCACCAGCTCAGACTTCGAGCCGCCTGGATTGCAGAGCGCCATGCACTCAGAAAAGCACAGAACCTGCTGCTCACCCAGGTTGTCATAGAAGTCCTCCTCCGGCAGCCCGTGGGGATCAAAAACATCCTTCGCAAAGCAGCTCCCTATCTCATCAATCTCGTGATATGCCACCACCTTGGCCAGGAAGTCTGGATTCCGATACGGCTTCGAGCTCCGCATTGACTCGTTAAAACTCCTCCCCTGCTTCAACAGCTCTACCCATCGTGCAAACTTCAGCTGCAGCTCATCGCTGCACTTGCCCTCTGGGGGAGGCGGCATAAAATCTGCCAAGTCGTCCTCATCTTCTAAACCTCTGCCAGAAGCCTCCGCTGACCCTGCCCTTAGGGCTCGCTCGTGCCCCTCACTTTCATCCACTCCCGCTAACCCCATCCGCTGTCCCAAAGGAGACCTGCCTAACCTCCCCACATCGAGGGGAGACTTACTACCCGCTCGGCTACCCATAGGAGACGCTCCAGGCGTTCTCGTAGTTTTTGGACTCCGGCGCTCTTCTGGGGGGCTCTTCCACCCGGTGGCTTGTTCACTGACCGCTTTCAGAGCGCCATTCTGATCCAATTTCAATTTGGTCTGTGCCGCACCCTCTGATCCTTTTCTGTCCGCCGCAGCATCGTTTCTTTCAACACTTTCATCGACCTCTACTGCCTCAGCCTTCTCTTGGTCCGCCTCCGAGGTATTGGCGTTTGTCTCAGGGAGTGCCGCAGTCTCCAGATGTTCTTCCTCCTCATCGAGTTCATCGGCGTCCTCTCCATAAGCAGCCAGCAAAGCGATGCCCTCGGCCATCTTGGCAAAGTAAAGAGTTCGCACAGATAAAGCGGCTGGGTATCTGCAATGCCGCCCTGATCTACGTGACAGGAAAAAGGCTGAATAAATCTGCTTGAAGCATAACAGGCATTTGCCGTGGCGTTTGAAACTAAGCTTGCGCAGGCACCGTGGATTTGACGTGTCGCGGCCGCACGCGTGCAGGCCGCGCGGGCGGGTCGGGCGGCCGCGACAAAATCCGTATACTTGGGTACAATATTGTTGCAGTGCGCACAACCCGTTGGACGCACTGCAGCATCGCAGCAGAGCACTCAGCAACGCTCGTGATCACATTGATTGGAACTATGTAGTTCCTTTTACGTACTTTCGAATCCACTCATAAGTGACGTTCTGAGACACTTCGACCACTTCGCACCATGGTGGCCGGCATCAATTAATGGCACTCTTGGCTGGAATGTACTAGGGCGCTTGGACACTTGACACGTCACAATCGCGTGTTAACATCCAAGCGAACATCAGTGATCAAACTCGGAGAAAGCTGTCAACCTCCTCTAGTGGTCCTCCACTGGCTAGGAAGGTGTGTCGATTCTTGTGTTTGTAATCGACTGGATGCTCAGTCACAAATTAGTACATTTACAGAAATAAGTATACCCACAAAGAGCAACAGGAAGCCAGACGCCGTCACTGGCGTCAGTCACTTTACGTAAATCACAGTTGCTTCCGCAATTAGGGCGTCTGCTTGCACACAGTCGGTTGCCAACTTTGAAACTTTGGGGGCAATTGGACGCTTGAATCGGCTTGGCCCAGAGACGCAACTGAGATTTGATGTGATGACTTCAAGGAGACGTCTTCTGTAGTGCGTCTGTATCCCATTTCTGTACGGGGCTTTGCGGTTCCCCGGCCCGACGTGCGTCTACGCGAGAATTAATGAGACAACGACCCCCCGGCTAAATCGAATAGTAACTCTTCATGCTCGCGCCTTTCGAAACCATCATATTTCCAACATAGCGAAGAATACTAGTTGGCAGATCAAACAACAATCACTGAGCTCGAGTCCTTAATTCTGCAATCCGTCGAACACGAGTGAACAAGTCGTCCTTAGCAAAACGTCAGTCAGGGCTAGCAGGCCGCAGCTGAAACCAATAAGTTTGGATAAGCATCTGTGCAGACTGGCTGACGTTGATTGGTGCCAATCGCCCAAGGTGACCCACCGATCTCACGTAGGGCACAATCATGTGGTGCCACCCTGACCTTCAAGCGCCATTTTTGATTCCTTCGACAACTCAAGCAGGCACCTTGACAATCTCGGGAAGATCCTGAGGAGTGATCTTATCTGAGAAGAGATGTAAGTTGCCTTTCCTGAGTAAGCAAGCGACAGAAGCTTTCTATCTAAATTTGAACAGTCGTCCGGAAATACTCACTAGCATATCGAAACAACAGCCCTACTACAACTCTTACCAACTTTTCCATTTTAACCCGGTGCTCTTCATCTCAAAATCTCCCTTGCAAGGGCTCATGTTTGAACAGAGTTGCGAAAAGTCCAGGCCCTGTTCAATAGATGGCCGTCGCGCTTTCGAGCTCAGTGGTTCTCTCCGGAGGCCCCCTCGATTACGCCAGAGCCACACAGTTTGGAGAGATCTAGGTCGATCTCGAGGAGCAGGCCGCCGCTGGGCACAATCTCAAACCAGTAAAGCAGCATACGTATGTAAGCTGGAAGCGTTCCAAGTCGGAGAGATCTGGAGGAGGACCCAAGTCATGCGGACTCAGGCGAAATCGAAGAAGCAGTACGAAATGAGTACCGCCAAGCCGCTAGCGCACGAGGGCTTCCTCCTTCCTCTCCCTTCACGACTTGTCTCACCTCCGATCACGAAGCACGTCGGTTGCCTTCTCTTTCTCCTCGATTTCAAATTTTCAGCGTCCTGACTGAGTGCAACCTTGCTCTTAGACTTTGTCCGTCATCCTGCTTACATCGGATTCGGTCTGCCATTCCGGCCTGGTGGCCTAGTTTGCAGCTCATGAACAACAGCGGTTCTCAATCACGAAGATCACGCCGTGCTCGTGCATCTTTTCAGGACGTCTCCTAAGTAGAGCGCTCAAGTTATGCGGTGGTGGCCTCGGGTTGCAAGTTCAAAAGGTGCTGCTTGGCTGGCATGTCTAGAAGCTCGATTCGCCATCAGCTCGATACTTGGGCAGTGAAGGTACGTCCGAATGCAGAGCTGATAACGACACTAACATGCAGACGTGTACAGCAAGTTTAAGAGACGTAACTTCAGCTGCATTGACGCGAAATACAAAGACAAGCATTCTTTTAGGCAGCCTTCTAACTCTACTAGACGTGCCTATTGAGCTGTTCTTGCAATAGTTGTAGATATGCTTGATCTGTCGTTGTACTTTCAAGCGGTCCTCAATTGCGAAGGGCGTCATAATCGCAACTGGGCAAGATGGTCTGCCGCGCGAGCTATCGTTTTGAGTCTCGTTGTATCAATCAACATGTGCATGACATATGCATGCCAAGCCTCTAGAACGTGCTTGCACACGTTCGATGCGAAAACCCTTGGAAAGTTCGGAACGTATAAGTATTTGAATGTTTGACTGATATTATCTGTTTGGGCGGAGCATTGTTCTGAGGGATTAAGATGCTCGAGATGCTTTCTCGAGCATCGTCAATTCCTAGTTCACATCACTTCTTGTGTTGTCCATTGTCATCTGTTTCATGTCTCGACTCTTGAAAAGACCGGACTAGTGCTTTTCTGGCTTTGGCTTCGCGGTCGACTTCAATTGGTGTCAGTGAAAAGAATGGAGGCGCAATGATGCTGCCTACTTTTACCCGTTCCGACGACCTTCTTAAACCTGTACCAGCTCACTATCTTGCCGGCGAGCATTTAAATTTCTAGCTAGCGCTTAACCGCAGACTAGCTTGCCAGACTCCTGAGTGCACGCTAGAGAGAACGACCCCTTCTCCTCAGGATCGACGCTCCGCATGAGCTTCCTGACGACGGGCGCGTCGACGAACTTGACACTGTTAACGGCGACCCCCGACCGGTCGTTGAACTGGTTGAACATGCTGTCGTATGACGTCAGGCTGGACACGCGGTAGTCCCCGGTGGCGCCCTCGACGAGGAACTCGTGGCTGCTGACGTCAGCGCCGGCCGCGGCCTTGCGCTGCTGGATGTCGGGGCGGAACATCTGGCCCAGCACGCCGTGCACGTGGCGCGTCAGGTTCACGTCCTTGAGCTCCAGGTCCAGGTACTTGCCGAGGGGCTCCAGCTGCGGGCAGAAGAGGGGGGGGGGATCAGGACAGGCGAGAGAGGTGGTTAAGGTTTCTGTTGCATATGGTCCTGGTTTTGGCGAAGCACGGCCTAGGAAAGAATATCAGGACAGGCGAGAGAGGTGCTTCAGAATTCTGTTGAATTGGTTTTTGGTCCCCGCAAGGACCGGCGAAGCACGGCCTGAATGTCTCTCAAGTGGAAGGGAACCTGTTTCTAAGACTGCAAAATTGAACTCTGGGGCAAACATTTCTCCAACAACACTCGCATCAACACTGCCCGAGTCCCCCGTCAAGCTTTCCCAATGGGCAGGAACTTTATCGAACCGATCGACCGAAGCAGATTCTGTGTCCGATTCTGTACCCGGACCCAGGCTTACAAAGAGAAGTCGAAAACTCGTATCTACCCGGTTAACATAAAGTACTGTAACTGTTTGCTAACCTGGATCCTGCTCTCCAGGCGGGTATGGATCACCGCGTCGACGATGCCCTCGATCTGCACGCGGACCTCAGTGCGCGCATGGGGCTCGCGGGTGATGGTCACCATCTCGTCAGGAGACTGCCACGTGTACACTCCACTGCCCTGCAGTCGAAGAGAAACATCACGTCAGAAGAAGCTCTGCTGGATCAGATCACGACCTGCGACCCAAGTGGTTCAAGGAAACCAAAAACAAGGGACTCGAGCAGATAGGTCGAGCAAACAGCTGTTTCCAAGCAAGTAAAGAATTCCGAGGAACTGCTGTGACCATCCACTGGGGAAATCCAGCATGAGAAAGCGTACACTGACGCTAACTTCTCGTGCTCGAGTCTTTCCTGTCTGCAGATTGCCGCAGCCAACCATCAAGATTGTATTGGCAGCAGCGCACCGTCAGACAAACAAGCTCGCTCTCTCTATGAAAGACGGCCCTGAGTCCTCGTGCTAAAACCATTTTAAGCGATTTCCGGAGAAAGCGCCGGCATGAGGGGGAGTGCCTCACAGATCCGGCCGGGATGTCCTCGCCGTCGTAGGTGAAGTAGAAGGTGTCGGCGCTCTCAAATTCCTTGTCCTCATCGGTGCCAACGCTCACGAAGTGCGTCTCGCCGTTCTTCTCGTTCAAGTAGCCCAGGGACAGCTCCTGTAGCAAGGAAGGAAAGGCAGGGCTCACGTCAGAAGGTGCGGCGGATGAGGTCATGTCCGAGATAAGTCGACAAGGCAAGCAGGCTGGTTGCTTCAATTCGTTCTGCCCGCATAAGAAGAGCTGGTTGGTCTGGTAAAAGCGAACGGTCTCCAATGTCAGCATGGAATCACAGTGGGATACAAGTCGAACGGAACAGCAGACGAAAGCAAGCTGGGCAAAAAGTTCAGGGATGGTTGCAGCTCTCGTAGATCATTCCGGTGACCTTAGTGACCTTACCTGGAACCAGGTACCATGCTCGACCAGATCGGAGTCAAGGCGCTCTCCAACAAGGTGGCCGTTAACCTGCACAGATGACAAACCGTTCTGTTGAGAAGCCTGGAAGGGACTGGGCACTGAGCTGGTATGCAAAAAGCACCTGTCCTACTGCAGGGGAGTGAGGAGGCAGAAGCAGCCCAAGTTTGCTCGCTGTTTTACAGAAGGTACTGGACTCCAGATCCGGACCACTTTCAGTCCCTCTTCCCACAAGGCATACTGCTCTTTGCATGCTCTCGCAAGGAGCGGTAGTTCGATGGTTGTGATCCATCCAAGGTGCAACATTTTCCTTCTGAAACCTTTCCTGTGGATGCAAACAACTCAAGGTGCAACCTTCCCTCTAAAATCTTTCCTGTCATCTACTCAAAGTGCAACCGTTTCTCTAAAACCTTTCCTGTAAAATGTTCAACGCAAGATGTAACATTTCATCTAAAAGTTTCCCTGATGCGCAACCTCAGCTTTGGAGACAAGCTGTGTGGACATACCTGGAGGTGGGAGTCAGAGACGATGCTGAAGGTCTCGTCCCTAACACCGTGCCAGTCAAAGAAGATGCCACCAGGGGCAGCGAAGTGAGGGTCACCGCAGATGCCGTTGGCATCGTAGGTCACTGCAAGATGGACGGGAGCTGGGTCAGACTTTTCAATGAAAGGTTTCAGCTGAAAAGAAGGGAAACACACGTCTACCGCCACATTCTTCTAGCTCCATCTGAGATCAAGAATGTAGATTCACACTGCTTCTAGTGGGCAGTTAGACCCTGCTTTCACGACGCTACCACGCAAAACACATTTGGCAAGTCACTTGAAACTGTCCTTTTCAGCACCTCAGTTTTTGAGGCCCCCCCAGAAAAGGTCATCAAAAGGCCCCCAGTATCCGACTCCCACCAGCTCAGACTGAAGAGTACGCTCCTGAGTGAGCACCCCTTGAAAAGACTCTGCTGTAGTACACTCACTGGGGTTCACGCACGAGGGCGTGTTGTCCTTCCAGGTGTTGACACTGCCGGTGTTCCCAAAGTACCACGTGGAGTCGTCGTTCCTGGACGCCGCCACACAGTAGACCGCCACCTTGTTGTTGATGATGTCACAGACGCCGCACGCGTAGTTGGCCGGCTCCACGGTCCCGCACGCGCCGTTGCTGTACGCGCTCTGGAAGCACTTGACCGTGACTCCCGCGCAGCTCTTGATGTCCGTGGGGTAGTGCTTCACCCCGAACCCGTTGGTGTTGATGAAGCACTTCTGGCCGATCACGACGTTCGTGTTGGTCGTTGCATTCTTGCAATTGGTGGAGTACCCGGTGAAGCACGCGTGCGCGGCGGGGGTCGCGACGGCGAGAAGCGCCAGCACGGCAAGGAAGGTGGCGCGCGCCATTTCTGACAGCTGGCGCTACTGAGCTGCGCACGTCCTGCTAGTTGCAAAAAATAGCTCACGCAACCTTTGAGCAGCTCAACGTGTTATGAGCTGCAAAGTGAATACAACTTCTAGTGAAAGTGAGGGGAATGTGTTGGGAGAGACGAGGATGTAGGAGAGAAAAGTCGCTAAACAGAAACAGGGGGCGCTCCTTTTGAACGTCCCGTGGGCGCTGACTTCACAGAATCACACTGGCCTGCCCTCCTGCGCAGAACAAAACAACTTCAACAGAGCTCTGACTAAGTGGACTCGGTCTGAGTCATGTTACCCCTGACTGCGACTGCTGGCCTCGCACGCATTTACCTAAATCCGCAATCCAGTGGAACACCGTGACTGTGCAATCTGTATCTCTGATCGTATCATTGGGCTTGGCTTTTGCCCGGCCAGCGGCCACGGGGCGGGGGGGCGTTTTCCGTACACTCCGGCCGGGGACTCGCACGTGCACCCGGGAGTCGCCCAAGAGAAACTGTTCTACCTGGTTCTGAAAGGTTTAGCCAAGACTGGGCCGCAAAAACAGGGTTTTAGCGTACAGTAATCTAGTTACCAGATATAAACCAGCCTGATCCCCCCGGCGGCCGGCCGATGTCCGGGCGGCGGGAAGAACATACGGTACCTAGGTATGGTTGACCACGGCGAGCGCAACAATATGACAACATGCTGCAAGGTCGCGTGCACCAGAACTTGAAACGCTTCAAGCTTGCCGTTCTTAGACCGACTGGGCTGCAACCGTGGTGTCAAAATCGTTTCTGACACCATAAAGATATATGACTCGCATAGTTCCACTTAAGTACCAGAGTGTTGGCTTCAACTTTGCAGGAGAATGCAAGAGTGCTCGGACAAGGATCGTCTGCAGTGCGCGAAGGACGGGTGGTCAGTTTTGTACGGCACCCATAAAAGCTGCGAGGGGTACTTATAAGCATAGTACACGTGTCAATTATTATTGATCAATTCAGAATGCACTTTCCAGGCCAACGGCTGCCTCCACACTGCCGGATACTTGGGTCCTCGGCTACTCCGAGTACCCCCCTCTGGAGTATCCCGGGCAAGTAGCCCGTCCAGACTGCGGGATACTCAACCCGGCTACTTTGTGGTCCGCGATGATCGGGAGCTGCTTTGCTTCAGCACGTGTGAACGAGTAGCCCGGCAAGTATCCTTCGAAAAGTAGGCTACTCGGCCGGCTACTCGACGATCGGCCAATCAGATTTGAGCAGAACGATCGAGTTGTTGAACCGGACGCGTGCGAAGACGGACAGTCTGCTTTTTTGGATGATTGCGCGTATCTTTCAGACAACGTGGCACGCTGCTGGTGACCGGCGGAAGTAGCCGCTGTCCGAAGTAGCCCCCGGTGTAGAAGCGGCTACTTCAAACCCCGCATTCTGCGGAAAAGCTCCCGGCTACTTGGAGAAACTTGAGAAGTAGCCGGGTACTCCAGTATCCCCAAGTGCCGGTATCCCCCAGTGTGGCAAGAGGCACAAAGTTTGCGAATAGAATTTGGGAGAATCGGACGCGGACAGCCTGTTCGGACAATTGAAAGTGCTCGGGTAGCTAAAAACATTCACCAGAACCCTAAGGTCAGTGGCTTAGCCGTTAGTAGGAACCCTAATCGTAGAGCAGTCACAGGGTGGGGCGTGACCCTAACAAACCGTCACAGGGAAGTGGCGTAACCCTAACATACCGTCACTGCTTTTTGACCTAACCCTAAGTCACCACGAGTGCCCGGTTGCTTCTGCGGCTAGGTACCGCACGAGAAGCGACGGTGCATACCGTGCACTGCCATATTTGGTCCGGTACCGTCCGCATCCGATTCTCCCAAATTCTATTCGCAAACTTTGTACGTTTTGCCCCAGTGTGGAGGCAGCCGTTGTACCGGTATCGATTGTGCTCCCAATTCTTTGCTAAATTTCCAAAGGCAGTGCAGGATGCTGCTGCAGCGTCTACAAGCTTTCAAGAGCTTGCCCATCTTAACTTGGTTATGAGAAGCTTCTGCTTCTGCTGTGTTTCATGAACCTGCTCGGTCCTGCAAGTTTCAAAGTTGCACCCCGCTGGATGATGCAACACAGCGACGCTTAGAAGCTGGTGCATTCGGAAGATGCTTTTAGAAATAAGCTATCGGTGGGCAAGCAATGCAGGAAGATCGAGTGCAGGGCTGGTTCAAGGACCTGGAAACGACTCAGGCCCTTCTTGGAGCAGCCGTTTGACGTAGGCGATTGTCCTAAGAAGAGCAACGCGAATGTGATCAATCTAGCAAAGTCTTAAGCGGGCAGTCGCTGCGCCTTTCTGAGTAGCTAAGACTTTTGGCGTCAATCTGTGCAGGTGGTGAACCCACATAGGGCGCAAGAACGGGGGATGTAGCAGGAGCTCCCTTTGCCGCCATGGACATAGACTGTGCAGGTTTGGGGGCCATCCCGACCCAGGTGAGTTGCGAAGCACACTCGCGCATCTCTACTTGAGCCTGAGAATGTTGGTACCGTTTCTGCGGGCTTTGAGGCATAAACTTGAGCCTCAGGACACGGGCTTGACAGCATATAGAGAAAAGCCTCTCCAGAGTGCAGAGGTTCCACACGTGCCTTCTAGGCTCGCACTTTTGCATTGTCGAGTGGCCAAGCGTACTCCTCTCTTTGCTGCTCTATTGTAATTCACACCGGTGTAGAAGCGCATCAGAGACCCACCGGCTGTTCTTCCGCCGTCCTTCAAATAACCTCTAACCACCCCCCCCCGTCCTGGTCTGCAGGTGTTCCACAAGCGCATGCCCCCCGAGGCGGTGGACCTGGTGTCCCGCCTGCTGTAGTACTCCCCCACGCTGCGCTGCACCGCGCTCGAGGCGTGCAGCACCCCTTCTTTGACGAGCTCAGGGACCCAACACGCGCCTGCCCAACGGACGGCCGCTGCCGCCGCTCTTCAACTTCAAGCCGCAGGCCCTGCGCTACAGCGTTTGACAGAGTATCAGTGCTTGAGCCGAGAACTCAATGTACACTCGGTCTGGGTTGGCTTTGCTCGTCAGCTTTAGGGAGTCTTGTTGAGTTGGCTGAGCGCAAAAGTCCTCATAAGCGATCTACTAGATGCTGGTGCCCTTGTCTCGTTCTACAAAGCGTGAAACCCTTCCTTCTGAGGAGGGAGGTCGGGTCCATGCCTTGTGAGCCATGGGATCCACGTGTCTCGTTCTTCTGGTCATGACTAATTGCGTCGAGTTTCACATGGCCCCTGCTCATGATCCCCCCAACATCTGTGCAGGAGCTGAAAGGGCCCACCCCCGACATCCTGCAACGGCTCATCCCCGAGCACGCGCGCAAGCAAAACATGCACCTCGGGATCCTCTGATCGGCTCTCTTTCATCTGAGACAGCATGTATTCCGGGCAGAGTCTCTGATGAACTTCGAAGTGGTAACGTTGAGGACTAGGGAGTAGTGTTGCCCGACATGTAGGCAGGCAGCACCGACAGGAAAGGCCTCACTCTGCGGGGGTAGGAAGCGCGTGAGTCTCGCCGTTCGATGTAGCAAAGTGTGTTGCGGGCTTTACGGGCCAGAAGAACAGCACTCAAATAAGGCTCGCTGGCAATCAACCGGCTAAAGCGCTCCTCCACATCATCCTCGCTTTTGTGAATGCAACGCGTAATATATGGCCAGGTGCTAGGTGCATAGCTGGTTGCGCTCGATGTGATGTTCTCATCACCTGCCAGATGATTTAGTCATATCGAATTTAAGCTATCCCGGAGCCCTGATTGAGTGCCTGCGTATGCACCTTAACTAAACCTCGTATAGGCAGCGATATACCGGTAGCTAGTGTGACATGACGGTCAACCACCTGTGCACACTCCCGACAGCGGCGAGTGTGCACGCACGTTCACCTTAAAAAATTTGTGTTTCATGTAAATTGACTTGGTCGCGTAAAACAATGTTCTAATCCCACTAAAAAAGCTCCTAGGGCCGCTTACAACTTGGCAAGAAGACTGATGCCGACTTGCTAACGACGTTCACTAAGCCCTGCAAGACTTCTCCATTGTGTACAAGTTTTCATCAGCTTAAGCAGCTTAAGCCTTGACTCATGTAACTCATGTATATTGACGGGCACGCGTAGAACATTGTTCTAGACCCACTAGGCAAAGCTTCTAGGGCCGCTTACAAAATGACTCATGCCGACTTGTTACCAATGTGCCTTGCAAGACCTCTTCATTGTACAAGATTTCATCACGTGCCGCACTAACTCCAGACCAGCTTCCTATTATGTACGTAGTCTTGTGTGCGTCCTTCCGCAGTTGCCACTTGGAAGCCTCCCCTGGCAACAACAGACTCTTCAATGGTGAGGAGTTGTTGGTCATGTGCATCAATGATATGAAATCAGGTGCTGTGTGAATTGTCGGCATACCTAAGCCTCGCAAGAAAGCAAGGCTGTTCCTGCAACCTGCTGACAATTGCAAAGTGCACGACACCAAAGAAAGCACTTCATCTGCTTGCACCCTTAACAATAGAGGACGCACATTTCAAACGCTCTTGTGAGCATCTGGCTGTAAAGAGCACTCTGAATACACCATATCATCAGCGGATGCAACTCTCCATTCTGATGCAACCCTACCAATCCTGACATCTACATGTGATCAGCAGATGCAGCTCTCCATTCTGATGCCACCCTACCAATCCTGAGATCTACATGTGATCAGCAGATGCAGCTCTCCAGTCTGATGCGACCCTACCAATCCTGAAATCTACATGTGATCAGCAGATGCAGCTTTCCATTCTGATGGAACCCTACCAATCCTGAAATCTCAACAAGTCAGGGAGCTCTTGTGGCATACAGATTGGAACAAACCGGCCTCCTAACAACAGAACATATGACAATTTGACTCGAATTGCAGGGATCCAAACCCAGAGCCATACTCACCTTACACTGGTTCCAAGCCGAAACTTGCAGCCAACTCCTCCAGGTTATCGAAGACGAGGAATTCCTGTTTGCATTTGGCTCTCAGGCTGGGGTGGCGGCCCGCCAGTTGTTTCACACCTTCAATTGCCATCTTGAGAGTAGGGAAGTCCGCAAAGTGGACACTCAAATTTCGTCTGATGATGATTTTGTCAGCCAGCCTCGCGAATGACGTCTCTGACAAACCTGCAGACCGCTGGACAAAGTTTTGCAAACGCGCATCGCCCCCGTTCGCCAACCGCAAGAACCCGTTTCCTTCTGCCGCTGCCTGTGGTTGCCGTCCCAAGGCGAAGAGGAGAATCTGAGCGGCGATGTTCTGAACTAGGGGCAAACCGAACATAAGCGCATCTTCTTCAGCATTCTGCTCCAGCTTCAGGACACGTTTCTTCAGATCTTCCAACTCCTTGTCCTCAGAGACCGCTACCCAGCCTTTTCCCCCCACACGCAGGTTGTCGGGGATTTCATGGGGCCGAAGGACTCGCTTGTCATTGAACAGCAGGCGAAGGTCGCCCTGGTACTCGTTGGATGACAGGATGTTATTCAGCACTGCAGCTATTCTATCATCGGCGCGCACTTCAAAGTCTGTTGCCCTACCCCTGTAAAGCCGCAACGGTCTTGTGGCAGCCATCCCTTCACTAGTGCCAAAAAGGAAGCCTGCAACAAGAGTTGAAGAGCGCACCCTAAACCGACTGGCAGCACCTGCCCTAAAAGCTTCCTGGCACCAAGAAGAACGACACCCTACTACCCACTGGCAACAACGTTGGCTGAGCCAGAGTTGGGTTGTGCTAGGCGTGAAAGCAACTCACGATCGTAGATACTGGGTGTTCTCAGCGTGCGACCTCGCAGCCGTACGATCACAGCGATCGCGGCGCTTGCAGTTTACCTAGTCGGTAAGTCAAGGATCCCCGCCCTAGTTCGCATATGGTGAAAAAATCCAAAATTCAGCGGTGCCACTGGTGAAGCGCCATATTGAGTGGGAATCGGATACTTGCGAAGTTCCCTTGGCACGAAAGCGCCAGAAGGTAGAAGCTCTCTGCTGATTACCTATCGTCTAACTGCAATCGTAAAGATGGTCAAAGTGGAAGAGCGCAGGCGCGATCATGATCCTGATGACCGCCGAAAGGATCGGCACAGGGAGAGGGACAGGGATGGGGACCGAGACAGGAGTGCACGCTCCGGGAAAGAGTACGAGAAGGATGCGTCTCATGACAAGGCGAGGCGGGAAGATGACGGCCGGCGGAGTGATAGCAGGAGGAAAAAAGCGGAACGCAATGAGGATGGAGGTGATGCGCCGTCTAGCATGGAGCTTGAGGAGCGGATCAGAAGGTACTTGTTGTAGAAGGCTTGTGGAAAAGCGGGGCTTTTTGCAATGGGAATATGTGAATGGTGCCTTTTTGTTAGTGAGGCGCTTGCCTTATGGTTGTCTTAATATTCAGGACCACCCTGCTGGAATCCTTCTGTGTTTCGCTGCTTTTGTAAAACCTTTTTGAAGAGTGCTCCGGTAAATCCAAAACAGTTCCGGAAGTCAAGTTGGAATCCATGTGGACTCCAGCAATTTTTCTAGGCCCCAATTAATCATGGTTACCTGACATTGACATGGGGTTTCGATGTGGGACTTTCCGTGATCCTCAGCTCCAACGGCTTTCGGGTTGCTGCTGCTCTCGGGTTTCTGAATCCGTTCTTTGCATATCTTTACATTCAGCTCTTGGCAGTCTGCCGCATATCATGGCAGGTCGAAGGGACAGACCAACATCAGAAACACTGGGATGCTGCCAGCTTTGCTTCCGACTTTCTCCGGCACTTTTTCTTCTCATTGTCTTGTTGTTTGTTGAAGGTTTTGTCCACAGAAATCATACCGCACCAGATGAGTGGCGCATTGCTGACCATTTGTTCGTATCTCCAGGACACGGGAGGAGAGGTTGAAGAAGGACAGAAAGGCCCCAGGTCCGATCAAATCGCTGGCGGAGCAAGACGAGGGGGACGATCTGCTGGGGTGGGTTCAGAAGTCGAAGCAGCTCGAGGAGAAGAGGAGGCGGGAGGAGGAGAAGGCACGGGCCGCAGCCACCGCGAGGCGGCTGGCAGAGGCAGAGGTAAAGCGAAACTGCACGCCGGTTTTGAGTCCGCGGGCTTAATGATTCAGGATTCTGAGATTCCGGATGCGAAAGAGGTCCCACTTTCAGTATGTGCAAATGACAGGAGGCCCAAGTTGCACGGCGCTCCCATTAGTGGATTAGGACATGTTGAGAACCCGTTGCAAGCCACCGCACTTCAAATGTCGCCCTTTGCAAAAAGTTGTTGCATCCCCTTGTAGCTGAGAGTTTTCAAGAGCAGCAGTCTTACGCTGCTCCAAGCGGACTCTTCAGAGGTTGCTGGTCTAGCTCAGCAACGGTTTTCGTTCACCCTCTCTATAACGTACTTTTTAGTCTGCCTCGCCTTCAAGCCGATAAACGAACCTCCGTACAGAGAACCAGGTCGCCGCTTCTCGGGTGCTGCATGGCCCAATTTTCATAAAACCGTCCTTTGTACAAATCTCCCCTCCCACCGGGTGCTTACCTCTCTTGCTTCTCACCTGTGCAGGCGGAAGACGAGGACAGCGACGATGACCAGTACGATGCGCGCCACCTCGCGGGGCTGAAAGTCGCGCACGGGCTCGACAAGGTGATGGAAGGGGGTGCAATCGTGCTGACGTTGAAGGACACGAGGATCCTCGACGAGAGGGGTGATGACGTGAACGATGCCGGGGACGAGTTGGAAAACGTGGAGATCATCGAGCAGAAGCGGAGGGACGACGCGCGCAAGGCGGCGAAGAAGGGCAACAAGTACGACGAGAAGTTCGACGAGGAGTGGGGGGGCGCGAAAGCGCTGCTGCCGCAGTACGATGAATTGAAGGAGCAGGACGGAGTGGTGTTGGATGCGGAAGGGGGCCTGGATCGGAAACGGATGGAGGAGATTCAGCGCAAGTTGGCGGGGGCGGCGGCGGCCGAGCAGGGGAAAGAGAGTCTTTTGGGAGGGGGGCAAAGGGTCGCGGCGGAGTATTTCACGCAAGAGGAGATGGATAAGTTTAAGAGGCCCAAGGAGAAGAAAAAGAAGAAGCTGCGGAAGCGGGAGAAGCTGGACCTGGACGCAATGGAAGAGGAAGCGAAGGCGGCGGGGCTCGGGGCGACGGACAAGGGGTCGAGGGCGACCCGAAACGTGGAGGACGTTGAGAAGGTAGGGGTTGGGAGCCTGCCAGTCAAGCACACATTCCCCAGAGTTGTACGAAACGTGTTGTGCAGTTTGTTGTAGTTTGCCCAAGCTCACGTTCCTGCGGCAGACTTGGAGGGCCGCTTCGTGCTTGCTGTTATATGACAAGAGCGTATGTGGGCTCCATAAACGTGATGGGCTGTTGAAACTGGGCAGGGCATACTCACAGCTCGCTTCTGCTTGGATGAATGTAAGGGGAATAGTTATTGCGGACGAACCAACTGGACGGTCGATCCATGTCCTTCTCAAGAGCTTGTGTGACCGGTCGCAAGTCTCTTTGCTAATCAACAATCAACTTTAAGAGCAGCAAAGAATTGGGGCCTCCGAGCAGGTTCCGTTAGACCTCTGTATATATCTTTCGGGACCTGGTCAAGATGGAACTTCACAACGGAAGCGCTCACCTCGTCACAGACTGGCAAACTCAGCAACCAACCCTCTTCTTCATTTCTGCGTTCAGGAGATCCCGCACTTTTTCACCATTCTTGCTTTCAAGAGACCACCAGCCCTCTCCTTGCATCTTGCTTTCAATCGACCACTGACCCACTTCTTCATTCTTGCTCTCAATCGACTACTGACCCTGTTCTTCTATTCTGCGTTCAGGAGCGACGAAAGGGCGAAGCTGCGGAGCGGGAGGCGGCGTACGTGCACGCGTTGGACAAGGCGGAGACGGCGTCGCGGGCGCTCAAGGAGGAAGCGGCCGGAGCGCAACTAGAGGAGGACGACGAAGAGGACGATGAGCTGGTGCAGTCGTTGGAGCGGGCCCGGCAGGCAGCGCTCAAGGCCGCGCCGAAAGGTACGTCGCTTGTTGATAACGTTGTTAGTCTCCTCTTGCGTGAAAAGAAGGATCTGGGTCCCGTCCTGGTTGGAGAGGACCCCGTTTGATGCTTGTACCGGCGTATGACGGACCAACGTGATCCTTTGGCGGCAACTGGTCGCACGTGAAGATGGTCATTTGAAGCAACGGACGCATGCCGTAGTCCAGTTAGTATGCAGCGTGTTTGTGCAGGGCCCTCTTCGCAGCGCTTCGAGCAGCGCATAATGATTACCTTTCTAGGCCTTTTTTTCTTTTTGCTTAGTGCCTCTTGTTGCTGGTTACCTCCGTAATACGGCTCCCCTCCTTTTGAAGGTTTTCGGTTGTGAATGCGAATCCTGCGTGCAGACAACACCCACAATGGAGCAGATTGTCAAGAGAAGTGGGTTTTGCGATCCCGCAACTCGTCCGCCCCTCTCCGTGTGCAGGAGTCGAGGCCGTGGCATCTCGGGCGATCGAGCTGGCTAAGAAAGAGCCGGTCGTCAAGCCGGAACCGGAAACGGACTCGGGGCTCGTATTCACATCCACCGGGGAGTTTGTGCGGGGTATTTCGCTCGAGGAGACCGTCAGGAAAGAGAAGAACGAACTTTTCGACGACGAAGACGAAGAGATGAAGGACGCGGAAGAAGCGGAGGCGAAAGAGGAGGCGGGGGGGTGGATGGAAGTGACGGCGCAGGGGGGGGAAAAGGAGGAAGAGGAGGACGAGAAGCTGGAGTCGATCAGCGAGGAAGTTGTTGTGGGGACCGGCGTCGCGGGGGCGTTGAAACTGTTGCAGCAGCGGGGGGCGCTGTCGGATTCCGTTGACTGGGGGGGGCGGAACATGGACAAAAAGAAGGGGCGGCTTCTGGGGGTGGTGGATGAGAGCTTGTTGGGGGTCGAGAAGGACCCCCCCAAAGCGGCGGAGAAGGAGGAGTGGCCGAAGGACGTGCAGCTCATCCGGCACGACCGCTTCGGGCGCGTGATGACGCCGAAGGAGGCGTGGCGCGAGTTGAACCACCACTTCCACGGTATGTACCCGAGCAAGAATAAAAAGGAAAAGGAGTTCAAGCAGTTCATGGAGGAGAAGAAGCTGAAGCAGATGAACCCCGGGGACACTCCCGCGGGGAGCGTGCAGAAGATGCGGGATGTGCAGGCCAAAACGGCGTCGCCGTATATTGTGCTGAGCGGGAGCGTCAAGCCGGGGCAGACGTCCGACTTCCGGTCCGGGTTCGCGGTCGCGGAGAAGGAGACGTTCAAGCCGGGGGAGCTGACGCCCATGCTGGGGGACCAGAAGGTGGGGGCGCTTTCTTTTCAAGTTTGCGGTTTCATTTTAACTTCAAAAAAATACGTGAATTGAGCTTCGACAGAAGGGGAGATGACGTTGGACTTGCTTTTCGGAAGCCTCTTGGTGAAAAACTCCGTTTGCCCCTTTGATATAAATTTTAGAGGAGCGGCGACTTTGCATTCCTGTCAAGGTGCGAAAGTGTCTGCAGCAGCAATGAATCTCTCGACGTCGATCGTCGACGGTTCTGAATCAGGTGCTGATTTTCCGTTGGCTTGTTCGTGTCGATCTGCTGGTAAATATAGCAGCCTAAGGAGAAGGAGCTGCAAAGCTTTCAGTTGAGCTTTCAATGGTAGCCGTTGCTGTGATGCTCCGTGATCTTGTAAAGACAGCTTTCCGAATCTCGTTTCGATGGTTCCTCCAACATCGAGACTGTAGTTTGGAGGGATATGGCCCTGTCAATCAGCGGAAAATCCTTTCTCTGGTTGGGTCTGAGCAGTGAAGAGCACCTAACCATCGAGCTGTTGGCATCTTTCGAGATCTACTCATCGGGATGTAACAGGTCCTTCGATTTCAATTACCGTCCAAGCTGCCTTTGTATCTTCCTCACGCCATGCCATGTCTGTCATGCAGGTTCAGAAGTTCTTGGGAACAAAGCGAAAAGAAGGTGCGGGTGACATGGGTCCACCTCCACCAAAGAAACCCAAGATGTGACAGTCCTTGTAGGGGCTTTGGACTGGCACTAAAGGATCTGGTATTTTATAGTGGAGAAAAGCATCAGGACAGGCAGGCCGAACCGTCTACTGCAGGCCGGAAGTGCCTCGTCAGTCAAGCATGATTCAGGTTTCAGTTGAGCAGGCGAAGAATTTGATAGAATGGTGCGTCGATCTACGTCCATTGTTTGGCCCTCGCCATAGCGTCATTGATGGAGCAGGCTGCCAAGCGATGGTTGCAAGGTGTACGCACAAATTGCTCATTAGCCTCTATTGCGGCGGCACATGCATGTCAATCATTCTTTTCACAGATGCGGATTGTATGCGCAGCTCTTGGGCGTCATGACACGTGCAAGCGTAGTGCAGCACATGCGCCCTTCCCGCCACTACGCTACAATTCACTTGACCATACATATCACATTAGGATTGCATATTCATCGAACTGCAGTGTCCTGATCCGGATAAATCGCGATCCATCTTTGCAAGTTGGATCTCATCCATATAACCATATCCCGGCAGTGGGAAGTGCAGCAATGTATTTAATACATACAAAGTTATACTTGAATCTTCTTATATAGTGACTCTGCCAAGACGAGATTCTACATTTTCCTGCCAATTAAGACAACAAACTTCGTAGGTTACTAAATTCGGGTCTACAAGCGTGGTAAATTGTGGTAGACTCTCCAGGTACATTCGCGACACTTGCCGCCGCGACTTCAATAACGAAAATATAACTTTCAGTAGACATGTCAGCGCAACTGAGCAACTGTTGTGCATGGGAACCTTAATGGCGCCTTTTAGGCGTCAATCTACCAGGGGGGAAGCTTTGTGATCAGACGTCGCCTCCACGACTCTAGCAGCCGCCGCTTGCAGGCTGCACTCCGCAATTGGGCAGGCAGACTCCCCTGAACCCTGTGGGCACGACTCGGACACCCCCGCAGGTGCCCCCGCAGCTGTAACGCACGGGGCAGTTCGCGTCGGTATTGCAGCCCTTACAGGCACCGCATTGTACGTTCGCCGCGCAAACTGAAGCCGGGGCCGAGGTAGTGTTGCTTCCGACGTACGGGGTACAAACACACCCGGGGGAGAAGGTTGGTGTGGGCTGGGAGGAGCAGTTGGCCGTCGAAGAACACGCCAAAGCTGCACAGCGAAGCCCAATCGTCAAGCCCACTGGTGTGATCATTGTACCCTTTCGGTTTAGCGCCGTAGCTTCGTTACCTAATGTTGGCACTCGCTCTTTGATCTGTGCAGTGCTTGTTGTTGCATTCTCGTCAGTCTGCCTTCCATTTCTCTACTTTCAAGGAAAACTCGACTTCATGCGTCAGAACGAGTGTTGAACAGCAACGGTTTTTACACGAGTTTTTTCGCCGAGTTGAAGATTCCGAGAGGCGTATGTATATACAAAGTGGTATGCCCTCATGCCTCAGACTGGTTCTTATGCAAACAATCCCCGGTTCAATCAAGGCTCACACTCCTCTCTGAGACGAGGGTCGTCCTTAACATGCACCACAGCAGCCCAACAGAAGCATGTGAACTCTGCAGGCGGTTGTTCGAGATTCAAGTTGACCTTCTAGAATTTAGCTCGCAATACCAGTGGCTGCATTTCATCAATCCACGGCCATTGGCGAGAGTAGATTGAGTGCTACGCCCTTGAAAGAGACTCACGAGCCCTTTTGGAGTAGAAGTTGGCGTTCCGGATCACCAGCGTGGACGGGACGAGCGGCGAGACTGTGGTCTTTAGGAAGCAGCAGTTCCGGTCGGCGTAGTGAGAGATCCCGATGCACCCAGGAGTGCTATTGCAGCGAAACACGCACGCGGCAGCACTCTCAATGATCGCCTGCGTTTGGGCGCCTGTAGAAATGCCGGCTATCAAGGGATACAGGCAGAGATTTGATGTGGGAACGCCGGGGGGGACGATCGTGAAGCCAAGATACTCCTGCATCGCCAGGCCCAATCTTTGTGTGAGTCTGGCGAACGCGTATTTGCGGTCGAGGATGTGTCTTACTTTTGACCTGCAATGAGCTTGCTTGAATGAAGCTTAAGGAAGCGGATCGACGTCCTTCTTACACAAGAGTGCATCCGCAAAAAAACACGGAAGAAAGGCGAAAGGCACGGACTAACTCAGCCGTGACTCACCGTCTGAAGCTCGAGAAAGAACCCAAGATAGCCTGCATGAAAGGACAAGACTAGATGAATATCAAGATCAAGTCCGGATGAATACTTTCAAACCAGCCGTTTGCCGCCGAAGCCATGCATACGCGGTATAACACGCATCATAGAATCAGGGCCGGATGCTTGAGGGTCAAGCCATATACCCGTGTATGGCAAGAGAAGCGTGACCTCAGGACCGCCCTTTGTTCAATGTCGCGTTGGAGACGTCAATGTCAGGAAAACGATGCGACACCCGGTGGCCAATATATAGAGCGATCAAGTCGGTTAATTTTCAGGACAAGCGTCTTTGCGGATGAGCACTTACCCGTTTTCACGTGCGACTCGACGACTGCATTGCTCGTTGCGGTCGATAGCGCGGTTTTCAAGAAGCAGCAGTTAACAGCAGCATAGTAGACGAAACCAGCACAGCTAGACGCTGCATTGCAGCGGATTTCGCAGGCCGCTGCGTTCTCGGCATACCCCCCACCCGAGCAGATAGCTGGGAAAGGTACGGGACCGGCGAAGGGAAAATAGTCGTTACCAAAATAGTCCTGTGAAGAGCAGCAACGAAGAACTGTTGTAGGTGATGTCAGTCAGAGTATCATGGGTTTGAAGGACTTGATTAAGGCTTCCGAAAATTTTAGGGTGACAGGAAAGAACATGGGCGGGGGGTGATGATTCGAACTCTGTTGGTTTCATCAGCGAATCTAACGTGCGCTTACGATCGACGACAAGACCAACTCATGATGTGTAAAAAAACTACGTGACTCTTTACTAACAACGAATGATCCTGAGGAGGCAATCTTAAGAGCGTGTTCGATTTTTATTCCGGCACTATTGATCCCTAAAACTTTGACTTTCTATGCATCATCCGATCTCCTGGAACGACTAGACTTTTTTACGCTTTTGCTTTACTTGGCAAAAAGAATGACCTGATCACCAAGAGATCATTTGGTACGTCAAATGCGGCATTGCAAGTTAAATGTGTTAGGAAAGCGATCTGTGAAATAGCATACCAAGGCCGCAATTCCAAAAAGAATTCTAATAACAACCGAAGCAGCGTTTTGACTAAGAGCAAAGCAGGTACGTCTCTTGTTCCTTAGCAATCAGAAATTGTGACATGACATGGAATAAAATGCAGTCAAAAACATTTAAGTCTGTCGTCGAGACTCACCGTTGCATTCATGACGGAGTACGTAAAGCCTGCAAGAAACAAAAGAATGAATCAAAGCAACGCCTCTTAAATCTCGTCTTAGTCGAACAAACCGTCATCATCACTTGCAAAAGAGACATGAACTTCTGCTAGAGTGGATTCCCATGCTTCTCAAACGAAGCTTGATAAGATCATGTGAGGTTGCTGATGCATCTCAAACAGGGTGTGTTGAAAGCTCACCCAAGGGCGACTTCACATGAGCCACGAGCTCGAGAAAAACCGTTGGGTTTACTAATTGGGTTTTGAGGAAGCAGCAATTGTTGCGAGCCCAGTGGATAAAGCCAGCACAGGCAGCCGTCGCGTTGCAACGCGCTTCGCAGGCCGTGGCGTCCTCGCCATACGCGATGGCGCCGCATACGCTATTCGCTGGGGGGCCTGCCGTGGGGCGGAAGTCGTTTCCGAAAGAGTCCTGCACGACGACCCAAGAGAGAAACAGCTGATCAGAAGGTTCCATAACTGGACAAGAAGGCCTGAAGAGGGGCTTGATTGAAAACAAGCCTGGCAAGAGACGAGATCTTTCTGTGCGATTGATGCGGTTCGATGCGATTGGGCTAGGTGCTTATCAAGTCTCCACAAAAGCGGGCAATTGTATTCTTAACGTAGGAAGCCACGACTGCTTAACCTGGTGCTAAAGCACAAGTCTCAAGCTGGTGTAAAAGCACACGTTCCAAGGATCAAGTGTCTCAGATCAATCTGATACGAACTTCGACCTACACGTGTGGATGGACCAGTAGCTTAAGCTTTTCACTCAAGTCGTCAAACGACAAAGAACTAGCCGCCCACGCATGGCAAATCCAAGAAGCAATGGTGACAATGGGTCTCGTCACATATGGTGACAAAGAACGAGGCCAGGGAACAGGTAGAGTTCAAGAGTTTGAGTTCAATAATCACCAGGAGATGTTTGTTGTTCGCAAAGTCGAGCCAATGCCTCTTTGAGCATTGCTGTGCAGATGCCAACAGCCCATGATATGTCCCTCCAAAAGATGTGCGCAAGAGCATTCTCAGACGACGGAGAAAGGTTTCTCGCTGACGCCTCATTTCACTGCTTGATTCAGCACTTCTTCACGCAAAAGAGAGCATGCGTTTCGGACAAAAAGAGGTGAACAGTTACTTACCACGCCTCCCTGGACGAGGTACGTGAACGGCGGCTGGGCAGAGACCAAACCGAAAGTCGCTCCCATCAGGAGGAAGACGAAGATCACGCCAGCAGATGAAGGGACCGAACGGACAGTAATCGACGCCATGATCGCGGCAAAGCTGTCTGCTGTGCGGTGCCGTTTTCGAGGAAAGCGATCAGCTCGGATCAAAGTTGAGATGGAAAGTATTAGAAGCTTGTGGGTGTTTAAAATCGAGCCGGGTCGCGTGTGGTCGAGACGTGTTCTGCACCTTTCATTCGGTTCACTGCAGACGTACACTCGACTTGATCGTCATAAGTCAAAAAAGCAAGCTGTGTCTTAAACTGCACTCGTGTATGCAAGAGGATCCGCCGCTTAAAGGCTGCCCGCAACACGCCTCGTTTCGCAGCAGTGGCGAAGCGCTCAGCTGCCGGCCAACCTAGACAGCTTGGCCGCACTTCCATAAATCTCAAGAGAGATCATAATAAGTCAAGACAATCATACGCTCCGACTAACACCCAAAAACCCCAACCCAAAAAGTTACCTGCTCCGCACCCATACCCACCCTAACCACCAAACTAACCGTACCCGTCCCAGTGCGGTTACCTTATTATTATCTCGGCTTATTCATCAGTTTTCTGGAGGTCAATCGCACTTCCGATGGTCGAGGATAGCGCCGAGGATAAACTCGAGAATAGCGCCGAGGAGAAGTGTCGAGTTGGCACGCTGAGTTGGCGGCGAGATCATTTTGCACCTCTTGCTTCTTGGCGTGGTGCCACGTGGCAGAGGGAGCATGTCCGTGGTGCGGTATCCATTCGACCTGAAGCACACAAAGGCCCTGGCGGCCGTTGACGGGCCTTTAGGTTGGACGCCCTGGTTCCATTCAGACTCGTTTCGATCAGGGCGATCTGCTGTTCGACAAACCCTAGAGTGATAAAAGAGCCACGTACTAGTCTCGCCTCCGCGCCCCGCTGCAACGAGAGCGCGGACTTCCGCGGCCGCATAGAGCCATGGATAGAGGAAAAGCGGTCGGATTGACGTCCAATAGATTTGCCGGGGACCGGCCCCAGGGAGGGCCACTGTCGAGCGAGCGCGGCCGGAATCCGCCATGCAAGGCGACGGCGGAACGCGGATTCGGTTTTCCGGATGGGAAGTCGAGAGGCTCGATCCAGAGGCACGGACGGGTAGCAGCGGTCTGCAGGCGGCCGTGCAGCGGTCCGACTTCGACGAGCTTGCGGAAGGACTGGAGCGTGCGGACAAGGTGCTGGGGGCGGACGCTTAGGGTCTTCAAGCTAGGACCCCTTTGGAATGATGTGTGCATCTTTCGCTCACAATGATCATATGTGGCTTGGGTTCGGACGGCCCGATTCAATCAGTAGGTACGAACACCCTCGGATCGAACGCTTAGGATTATGCGAAAAGCATGCATTCGAGCTCAAAGGATATGCGATATGGCCGAAGAATTCTGCTTCCAAATACTTAGAGATGTTGATTCGAGTATTGCATGATTCAAAACTTCTTTGGCCGGCTGGTGTTGCAACCTTCATGTTTGCTGCGTTTATTCATTTTTCACATGGGACAAGTCGACTAAAGTCACCTCTTTTGGACGTACCAGCCCGTCCCTTCATGCTTCGTTTACTGCTCAACGAGGACGCCACGTTAAAAACTGCATCATATCAAGTTTCACGTATATCATAGTATAGGTACTGAGCTTCCGATTCGGTCACGACGGAGCGGACTATGAGTGGTGATGTTCCGGCGGGGCGCTTTTGCTAGCACGACGGCAGAAAGTGGCCGACTGCAGCTTTCGTGCTACGGCAGAAAGTGGCCGACTGCAGCTTTCGTGCTACGACGAAGTGCAAGAGGTTGCCAGATCGACCGCTCACCAACATTTCCGAGCGGCCTGTTCAGGCACACTATCTTCCCTTACCGCCGCATGCGTGTAAGAATAGCTTACTATCGACTATCTTGATAAAGAACGTAGTCATTCGCTTCGACCGCCTGCTGCAGAGCGTTGCCGCAAAACCTCTAGATTTGCTCCTGACAGCTTGGTGATGCTCTCCTCAATGAAGCCATTGAAGTTCAAGCGCATGCACAGGTCCTCAATTGCTTGGACGTTTTGAACCCGAGGCCGCAGATGGACAGCGTACAGGGTCCGCAAGCTCTCCTGAAAGGCCTCCTTGGTCTGCTTAATCTGCAGCCACCACGATTGAGCATTGGTCTCGGACCTTGCACCAATAATGTTGGGAGACCTTTCGAAATTTTCGGGTGACAGAACAGCACCCGGACAAAACCAAGACAAATTCAGAGAATCTCATAAACAGGAAAGAACGCTTACATTCCACATTGACTTCGTCGATCTGCAATGAAGATTTGTGCAACAGCCCAAAGCAAGTCCACAGCCAAAGAAGTTGCCCCGCAAGGCCCCAGAATCGATGACTTCCAAACCCAAGGGTTAAGCGGCTAACCTGCTGATTGACCTCGTCAATCTCGAGCTCCGCCGCGGGCTGGTCCAACGAACGTACCGCACGCCGCAGGTGGCCTCGCAGCGCGAGCAGCTGCTGGAAGATAGCGTCAATGCACGTTTTGGCGCCCGCGCCGTCTGCGCCAAGCAGGCAAGCGCGTGCTGCCTCCGCTACGTATTCAGCATGCACCTGGATATGAAATCCAGGTTTGAGTCTGGAATGGGTTGTGGCTTTTGAGTTAGGGGTTTGACGTTCATAGAATCTGTTCGCCTTGGGCCCCGCGCCGTCTGCCTAGCAGGCATGCCCGTGAGGCCTCTGCCACGCATTCAGCGTGCACCTGGGTTTGTATTTGGGGTTTGAGGTTGCTTTTGAGGTTTTGGTCAAGTTCAGGGCTTGCGCATTCAAAAAATTGTGTTCGCTTTGGCCGCCACGCCGTCTGCACCTAGCAGGCAAGCACGCGCAACCTTCACCACATATTCAGCGGGCAGCCGAGCAGGGTTTTCCCTTTGGGACTAGGGTAGGGCTTGACATCAAAACTCTTTGATTTCAAGTTTGAGATGGAGGCTAACTCCTGGCACTTGGCAACCAGAATCTCTTTTAGAAATCCAGGAGACTCTTTTTTCTACTAGTACCTTCTTACGACCCTTTTCTACGGTTCTTTCCGCCTCCCACTCTACCCCCGAGGACACCCCAACGCAAATTGTCACCAGAAACCCCCACCTGGCTCAGGTCGTGCAGGTCCACGACGTCGGTGTGAATGCGCTCCTGGTAGCGCGTCCACGCCACGTCCGAGATCTGTGCCTGGACGAAGCTCGCCAGCGTCGTGACCACGTGGCTGATTGCAGCCCGGAATAATTGCGCCTCGCGGAGCTGCCGCTGCTGCTCCGCGAACACGTGGGCGCTCACGCCGGGGCCCCGTTTCGCAAGCCGCCGGCTTAGGATCTGGGGGAAGGAATAGAAGGAAGGTTTGCATGACACATTAACAGGGCCCGATGCAGCGATTGCTATTGCGGTAAGAACACGTGAGCGCTAACGCCGGGGCCCCGTTTTGCGAGCCGCCGGCTCAGGACGTGGGGAAGGAACGGGAGATTGGATTGCATGTCGATGTGACAGGGCCCCGAGCAGGTTACCGCCAGTGCTGCAAGGACATGTGGACCTCATGCTGGGGCCCCGTTTTGCGAGCCGCCGGCTCAGGGCCTGGGAAAAGTGATGGGAGGAAGGTTTGCATAGTGAGATGACAGAGCCCGATGCAGTTATCGCTGTTGCGGCAAGACCTAGTGGCCGCTTCCACTTGGGGGCCCCGTTTGAACGCCGCTGGCGAGCTCAGACCTGGAGAAAGTACGGCAGAGCTCTGCATGAAGCGATGACAGGGCCTCATGCATGCGCTGCTGCTTGATGAGACACTGCTTCGTGGGCCACGGCTCGGTGGATAGAACGATCGGCGTTGTATGCGTCTTCGGTGGATCCGCAAGTGCTCCTAGAGAGCACGTACCCTGGAGTATCATGAAATTGCCTTTTCAAACCCCTCTATGCTCTTGCGTGGGACCCCTTCTGCAGATTCTGGCTCTCTCTCTCTCTCGTCTCCTGTTGCCCGTCGATCCGAAAGCTAGACAGCGAAGCTTATCCAAAACACGCAGAGGCAGAACCCGTTGCTAGAGCAGTTGGCAGACCTTGTCGGCAAGTAAGATAAGATAACGATTCTATGCAAATGTCGTCGGACACCTCACAAGCGGCTCCCAAAGAGTGCGAGGGCTCAAATACCCAAGATCCTTCACTCCGAGAAAAACGAGATCGCCATGGACGTTCAAAGTGTGGTGAGAATCCAAAGGAAAAAGGAACCAAGAATGACTTGAAAAAAACACCAAAAACAGAAGTAAACGCCTTGATTTAAGGATAGATCCTCCCACCTGCAAGTCCCGCCACACATCCCGCAGCGAGAAGGTGGCGTGCTTGGCCCGCAGCAGGAAGCGGAAGACGGCCTGGTACTGCGCCATGGCCGCTGACGTCAGCACGAGCGTCAGCGGCCACTCCACCCGGTAATCCAGCTGGATGAAGTCGAAGGCGTCGACGCGGGTCAGGTCCACGAAGCCACCTGCGAGCGCACGGCACAAGACTTCGTTTGTCTTTTTCATTTGAAGACCGATTTCTTCGCTGGGCTGCGGACCTGGAGTACATACACGTTGAGCAGTAGCAAGACTATGGTCTAGGATGGGCTGAGACATGCTAATCAACTAGATCGAAGTTTTAACATCCCAAACCAACGTCCGGACCTGAGGTTAGGGAGGCCTCAGCACAAAAGACATCTACGGCCGGCATTTTCCGCAGCTCTACGGCTGTGGACAAACGAATTGTAGTAGCTATCGCGCGCCAATAACGGTTCGCGCACCCAGACACAACGACTATCTAGCACGGGTGAGTGAGCCTTGACGCACAGCACGTAAGCGTCCGTCAGCCTCCCGCAGCTCCATGCCTACAGAGAAACCCATCGTTAGGACTTTTGAATCACGCACTAAGCGCAGACAAAAGATAGCCCAGAACGACGGACTAACCTGGAGTTAGTGAGGCCTTGACCCACGGCGCGTAGACGTCCGGCAGCTCCTCCTGCGACTGCTGCACGCGCACGTGGAGGCGCTCCGCGAGCCGGTCCGAACTGCAGCTCGACGTCTGGAGGGATCCCTCCAGCAGCGCCTGGACCTCCGCCTGCCGGGACGCGCCGCCTGAGGGGCCCCACCGCTGTGATAGCAGGCACTGATGACGTCAGCAAAATTGTACGGAAGAAGAGGCTTGACCGCCATGGGGAAAATTGCTCAGAGGAAGCTGTTGCACTAGCTAGGCGGCGCAGATTGCATAGATTACGTTTGAGTTCTATCCTTGAGTAAGGGATCATGTGCATTAAGCCGGCTCCTGCTGAAAATGCGAGGGACGCTTTCTGCGAGAATCTTTTTGGAGGGGCTCGTTTCGGCGAGCCTCTTTTCGAGCTCAGGAGCGCCGACGTAAACGCGTCCCCAAAGTCGCCCGCAAGTCTCAACAGGATGGGGGTCATCTGCGTCCAAAGGTGCAGGACGCTTTCTGCGGGATCTCTGGACGACTCCTCGGGTGACTCTCCTACCTGGGTCAAGAGCGCCGACATGAACGCGTCCGCAAAGTCCCCCGCGAGCATGAACAGGTACCGCCGCAGCGCCGCGCAGTGCGCGGGCAGCGCAAGCTCCTCCTGGAATACGTGCACGCAGCACGCGCTCACACAGCGGTACTGCGCCAGGATCTCCTGCACCACGCATACGTCCATGACCACGGACAGCGGCGCGTCCGCGTCGTCGTCGTCCGGCGTCGCCGACGGACGTCCGGACGGTTTGGGCCGCGGGGAAGTTGCCGGGGGGGAGCGTTTCGGGCCGGGAGAGACGCCCCGGGAGGACGCGAGGGCCGGGGAAAGGTCGGGTTGAGCGGAGATTGGGGTTGAAAGAGCGGTCGGGGACAGGTCGAAGGTATTGGGATCACCGGAAGCGCTCGGGATCGGCGACAGGAACGCGAGGGCTTGGCGGGAGGTCTCGGTTGGGAGGACACGTGTCTCTTGGTCATTGGGGATGCCATTGCTGGTCCAAGATCTGCGCTCAGAGTCTTCGACCGGTTGTCCGATAGATAGCGCCTCGTCGGCGGATTTGAACGGGCTTGCAGCATGCCCCTCAGAACCCGCTTCAAAGGAAGGGTCGCCGGCGGGTTCCGTTTCCGTTTCCGGTTTTCTTTCCGGTCCTGAGCCCCGGCCCCGAAAGTCGATTCCGTCCGCAAACCGGAAGTCCTGTGCGGCGAACGAGTCGCCCAGATCTTTCGTGCTCATGCCTGCTGCAGGGAACGGGTCCGCTGACGAGCCCCACCGCACGAGCGTAGCGCTGCCCGCCAGGTCCGATCCGCTGTCCGCGTCCTTCTGTTCTGCTGGCGGCAGCACTCGAAAGCCGTCGAACCCTCCGGCCATGACGTCAAGCATCTCACGCCCCTCCATCTGGCGCCCTCTCCGTGCTGCTTCTCCGGCGCTTCCGGAAGCGTCCAACCCCTCCCGTGCGACGCCTGCCGCGTGGGTGGGGTCCTCGGGCGGGCCCCATTTTGAACTCGGCTGCACATTCCCTCCATCAGATTCCCCATGTTCTGCAACCTCCTGTTCCCCAGCGGGGCCTGACTGACCCCCTTCGAGATCGCTTGCCAGACCCGCCAAGATCGCACTTACGTCCTTCACTGCGCCCGGCTCTACAGCATCTTCATCTTTTCGCGCTCTTACCTCCGTCCCATCCCTGGTTTGCCGCAACCCTGAATCTAGCGACGTCTCCTCAGCGCTGACCGTTAGCCCCTCGGCCAGTCCCTCAAAGCCTTGCGCACCGCCCGCTTCTTCTTCCCGAGTTCCTCTGCCGCCAACGCCCGAAGGGGTCGACAAGTCTCCCGAAGATTCGCCCGCCTCGCTTCCAAACAACCCGGACTCGCTCGTCTCGAGATGCGCCAACCGATGCCACTCCTCGAGGTTGATCCGATCGTCCTCGCCTTTCCCGCTTGCCGTTTCTTCTTCCGGTTCGTCACCCCCGGCTGCGCTCTCGTCCGACATCTGCTCGGGCCCGCGCTTTACGTCCGAGCTGCTGTCTGCCTTCGAAAGTTTCCCGGAAGAGTCCGCCGACTGCACCTCCTTCCGGTCTTCTTCCGTTGCTGTGTCACCCGTCAGGGCAGCGTCTATCTTCGGCCTTTCCGCTCTTGGCGCTTCAACTTGCGCCCCCTCATCGCCTGCCTTGACCGACTCCTCTTCGACTAAAGCCGCCTGTCTGCCCTCCAGAGTTGTCGTGCCATCATCTACTTTCTGCGACTCCTCCACAGCCGTCCGATCCTTCACGGCCTGGATCCGACGGTCCAGTTCCTCCAGCTGCCCCTCAGCCTCCGCGACCATTGCCGCCCTCACCCTCGCGATCTCTGCCGCCTCTAGTTCCTTCTCCTCCCGCACCATCGCCCGCTCCCGCTCGATCCTTGCGGCCTTTGCGCGCCGCTTCGCTTCCGCCCGCCGCTCTAGTTCCTCCCGCTGCTCTCTGAACAAAGCTTCTTTCCTCCGCGCCTCCTTTTCCGTCTCGAGCACCGACGCCCGCCGTTGCTCGTCGTATGCTTTGGCCAGATCCAACCGGTGCTGCTCAATCGCATCGATTTTCCCCTCTTTCCTGCGCCGCTCCTGCATTGCGAGCATGGTCAAAGTCCACCCCGCCTCGGTTTCTCTCTTCCGTGCGCTCTCCCGCGCTTCCGCCGCGATTGCCCGCAGCCGTGATGCGCTGAACACAAGCCCCGGACTCGCGCTTTCTGTCTCTTCTTCTGCGGGTTTCGCATCCAACAGACGCTGCAGAGAGGCGGCTCCGAGCCGCGGCTTTTGGTCCGCGCTGGAGAGGTTTAGGGTTTGGAGAGGGTGCCTTTCTGGGCAGCTGAGGATGGTTTCGGCGAGCTCCCGGGTTTGTGGCAGATCCAAGAGGACTCGCAGCTGTTGGCCCGCACGGATGAGGGGCTGCCACACGGCGGCGAGGAACGACGGCGGGCTCGCGGTTTTGACTACCTGGAAGGACAGGGGCTACTGGATCCCAGGGGCTTGATGGAGAACAGCTGCCCAAATGGAATAAGGCTGGACACTGCAGAATTAACCTCCTTGCCCTCATTGTGAGCGGCTTTCAAGCTAAATGGTTGGTGTTGACTGGATCACAGCTCCCAGATGCCCACAAAGACAATGGAAGAGGTTGCTCTTGCTTCCCACCTGGTGAAGCTCTGAGCCCTCCTCGTTTGCGCACACCCAAGCGCGCGAACGCTAAAGCCTCAATATGCAAGAAAGTTGGAAAGCCAAAGCTCACAGAGGGTCTAACCTGCGTGCCCGTCAAGGGGTCGACCTCATCGGACTGCGCCAAGACGAATTCGCGGTACGGATCGTCCACTTGTAGCTGGTAGAGCCAGCCGCGGACGAGCTCCAAGTAGGGCTGGCAGGCTGCGGACAGGAGGAAGCGGTGGACGTCCGCAGAGACGGGGTCCGCGTTCTGCAGAGGACGAAATTGGAGACTCTGAGCAAAAGTAAAAGACTGAACGAATTTGGATACGAGAAAAGGTTTGAATTTTCGAGCTAATGGCTCGAGTGCCACGTTCTTGAACCGAAGCGTTGACGACTCCAAGTACATTTCGCTCAGAGAAAGTGTTACAACGGACGGCGGGTTAGCACGAGGTGGGGTTGTGGTACAAGATACGGGCCGATGACAGTCTTTCCTTTCCTTAGATGTTAGGGAGCGATTTGCGTTTACATGGTTTCGAACGTCGGTGGTGCTTTACATACTACAGGCCATCGGACCGCCTGTTACAGGGCCGAAATGTCCCTCTTCTATTCTCTTCTTTCTCTTTCCTGTTACCCTTCAAAGGTGATCCGTCGCTCGCTTGCTTGAAACAAAAAGCTCAGCCAGAGAACGTCGACCAGCACTCCTTTCACGTCCTTGTCCTCGTCTCCCATCCAATCAATGAACGATCAAAGTTTGTACTACCTGAGAAAGACAGCAAACACGGGCTCTCACCAAAACTTCGTCGAACAGCCTCGACAGCAGTTCCGCCCCACCAACGCCCGGCCCGCCAGCGCCGGAACCGTCCCACATCCCCAGCCGTTTACACAACCGCGCCAGGACGTGCAGCTGCGTACGCAGCTCTGTTGAATGCAGCAGCAACTCCAGAAGCGTTATGTCGCCCACGCTGCCGGTAGTCAGCGTCCGATCGCCGCCCGAAAGCCCGTGGTCGCCATCCGACAAATGCTCCGAAGCGTCCGGAACTCCATCTGACGGCCTCGCATTGCTGACCAGATGTCCGTTCGACTGCTTCGAAAGCGATTGCTCGGCCTCAGAAAGCATTGTGGCGTCGCTGTCTTTCACCCACGGTCCAACTTCTGCTCCCGAGAGGACTAGCTCGGTGCTGCGGACTGCTGAGGAAGAAGGGTCGATTTGCACCCCTTCTCTGTCCTGATCACTTCGGTTCCCATTGGCTGCCGCAAAGAACGATTCGAGGCGCCTTCTTCTCGTGCCCCCTTTGGGTCCGTCCGGTGCGTCAACACCTGCACTGCTGATACTATCTTCCGCTGTCGTCTCATCCCCCGCACTCTGCTTCGTAAAGAACCTCTGTTCATCACCCGCCTCTTTCCTTCCCCGCGTACGCTTTGCACCTCCGTTTGACGCCCCCAACTTTCCTCCCCCCCTGCGCTCCTTCACGGAGCGCCCGATCCGATCAAGTGCCGCTGTCTGGCACAACAAGACGGTCTGCAGTGCGCCGCCAAACGCCTGCATCACGAGGCCCCTCCTGGACCCCTCGTCCCAGTCTGCGCTCCGACTAGAAATCTCAGGCCCCGTTTTGCCGCGTGCGAAGCGGTCCAGCTGCTGCCGCACCCGTCCCGCCTCAATGAGGGGCTTGAGGAGGGCTGAGATGCTCGCGGAGCTGGTTGAGAGGAGGCGGACACTGGGAGGGGTTGGGCCTCGCTTTTGTGGGGGTCGGGCTTGCGACTCCAGGCGTATCAACGAGGAAGGAACCCCCTGCAGCGCGTATAGAGCGTCGCGGACCAGGTCCCTTTCCTGCAGAAAAATCGTCGGTGATTGATACGAGCCTCCAACGTTTTACCCTTCGCCACTGAGTTATTCCTCCTTGAGATGACGCGCATCCACGTTGGAGTCAAGCATAACGAAATTAACTTGACGAAAAGAAAGTAGGCCTTTCGAAAACTCGATCAATTGCTCACAGTCCAGAGGTTTTTTACTTGAATTAGCATTTCAACAAAAGAAACGATTGGATCAGGTCTTAACGCTCAACCCATGTTTTGGGAGCCTGTCATTTTTGTATCAGCACTCTATAAGCTTTTCTTGAACTTCTTGCCACGATTTGAACATCTAAATCTCGAAGGATTGGTCAAAGATTGTTCTCGAAACAGGCAATGTTGGACAATCTCAACAAGGTGTTCTGCAAGGACCTTTTCTGACTAAGTTAACCAGATGGAGCCCGAATCGTACCTGGACAATGATGGGGGCTTGCTGGAATGCCTTGCTCGCATACCGTCTATATGCACGGTCGAAAGTTGCGACCCCTGCTTCTGATAGAAACGCGCCGTTTTGCAGGCACTCTCCCGGTCCCACCCTAGTTGCCAGACCTCCAGCATCTGGCCCACTTCCCGCAAACTCCCAAGTGCGAAGGAGGGGGCCTGCCGGGGGCTGCTCCGCTGCCTCCAACCACCGCGCCAACGACTTACCTGATTCAGCCGCCGTGAGTGCGCTTGCCTGCAGTTCCCTAACCCCCTTTTCCTTAGCCTCAAAGTTGTCTGCTTGCGCCTTGGGGGCTGCTCGGTGTCTCTCAAACTCAGGTTCGTTCGTCGAATCTACGTCCCTGTCTTCCTGCTCTATAGGACGACCTTTGAAAGGAGTAGTTCCCCCATTTGTCTTGGCGGCCAAGTCAAGCAGGTCCTCTGGGGGAAGCTCTTCAAAAGTGGGGATGGACAGGGTGAGGGACTGGAGCCCATGTGTTGCATGGCCCCCGCTGTCGAAGGCAAGCGCATGATGCAGTGCACCGAAGAGGGAGGAGGCTCGAAGGGGGGCCTCGGCGCTGTCCTCAACAGGATCACAGAGGAATGCAAAGCGCCCTGCAAGGCAGCCGGGTACAACATCAGGGATCCACACAGGCATGAGGAAGGCTCACAGAGTCTGGCATACGGCATTCTGTTCAGTCCTCTGGAAGCAGTGAAGGGCAGTCGTTGTTGATGGGATTCATCAACAAGTGAGGTGTGTCATACAGCGGGGGCACCGCTTACAGTCCAGAAGGGGGCACATTTTTTTTTCCAAGTGGAGGGCAACTATATGAAGGCTGAAATTGAGCTGGGGCCATAATGCTGATGTTGAAAGGCCTTGAATCAAAGGTCACCTTGCCAACGAATCTAGCAATTTACAAAAGCGCAGAAGGTAAGGACCATAGGACAAGCTTGCCTGGGGGTCGTGAGAGAAGCTGGCTCAGCGTCTGCTCTTGTGAATGCCCCCCCACGAACCAACTTGGAGAGTACTGGTCATCCTCTAGCTGGGGCAATGTCACATGTGCCCCACTACTCCAGGCTGCTGAGGTAGCCATGCTTGACGTTCCAGGTGGGGCATCCAGCAGGTGAGCATTTTCATCAGAGTAGGAAAGAAGGTGGGTTGAAGATGCCACCTGCAAAGCGGACCAGGTGAAGTTCCGAGCTTGAAGATCTCGGACTTTGAATCGATTGTACACGCACAAGCCTAGCCACCACAAACAATCCTAGAAAAATTGCTCTTTCCACAAAACTAAAATGCACGTCAAAGACAATCTTCTGCAACCTCAGTTGGAAGGATGCTCGATTGCTGGCGCATGACAGCCAAACTTTCTTTCTGATCAGCGCTCTGACAATCTTGCTCTGATGCACATCGAAAAGCCACTAGCACTGGCCATTGCAATCTCTTCCCCCGCTGCCTTGCCAATGCAGAAAGTTTACCTGTCCATCCTCCTCATCAGATGCATCAAATGCAGCATTGCTTTCCAGCGGTGACTGCGGAGACGCACCACCTTTTCTTGAGAAAGCACCCAATTGCGCCATTCTAGCATCTCCAGATGACCAGCGCCGGCTGCCTCAGCTCTCTCTTGCGTTGAACTTGCAGAACTGGACTGGCATCTCCAGCTCTTTCAACTTTCCAAATCTGATGCGCCCCTCCGAATTTCTCATGACCAGCTGCGCCACAGTGTCGCCTTGAAGTCCAAAGATCAGGTCTTACGTGCACAGACTTCCGTCTGATTCTTGACGACCGTTCGTCAACTTGTTGCTCCACTCACAGTCTCTCCTCGCCACCATCCTAGTACTGCTGCCACTGTCTAGCAAGTTCCAGGCGTCCTACTTTTTGGCGCTCATTCAGCAGGTTGCATTTCGCAGTTGCAGGTCCACCACCATGTCCAAAACGGTCTTTGCAATCACGCACTCTAAGCCCCAGCAGATGGCCGCGTCTCCCATCGCCTCCAGCGCTCTGACCTCTAAACAGTTTAAACAACGAGTTAAAGGGAAACACGGCGAAGAACAAAGCGAGTGCAGCGTCCAACACCTTTGAATGTTGTGCGGAACGAAACCTCAATGAGCAACTCCATAGGTGAGTGTTTCGACGTCGTCAGTACTTGCTGGTCTGTGTAGATTTTTGTTAGATCACAATTCGACTGAAAGATGATGCGCTCCAGTCGACGCAACGCCACTGGCTCTGCGTGAATACCTACAGGGAGCTCTGCAAAGTAATGAAGGAAAGCATACAATTGTGGAGAAGGCCTTTGCAGAAAGTGGCCAGCTGCTTGACTTTTTTCTAATACGAATGTGACATATGTGCACGGCGATCGTGCATGAAAGACTTTCTTTCCAGGTCCAATGGGGCCATTTTGAACCCATACACAGGCAATTGAAGGCACTGAACCAGTTTGCAATGAGTACATCAAACTCCATCCCTGGAGTGCTGTGTTGCTGGTCCTAAATGGTGACTTTTTGCATTTTGGGAGCTGTTGAAAAGGCACCAGATGAGGCCTCAGTTCCTGTTGTATTGTTGCACTGCTGAGGCCATCATGAGCGCGTCCAGTGAGACAGATTGCCAGCTCAAGATATATGCGTCTCTTACTCACTATTTGATGCCCCTTTTTCTAGGCTCTTGTCAGCATTGGGAAACTGGAAAGCAAAGAGCTGCTTTCTTTGTTTCTGACGCTGCATTTTGAAACTTGCTTCCATATGAGCCGCAAAAGCTACTTCAGGTCACAAGATTGCCTGTGAAGCCTCCTTTTAACTCAATTAGCGACCTGCTTCTTGTGCGCAGGTCTGCTGATAGGAAAGGCGTAGCTTGGAGTCGGCGCCGTGCTTGGATCCGCTGCCGACTGTCCAATCTGACTATCTGGCGAATCAAGGCAGACGGAACCCCAGGATGCTCAGTCCCATGCATCTTTTGTTGGAAGGAGCTGCATGAGTTCGATCCTGCAGGGCTTAGCTTTTATGTTAGCAAAGAAGCAGGGTGGTATCGTGGTCGGTTGCAGGACTTTGATGGTCAGATAGTCCCGCAGATCACCACAGGACAGAAGCACCACCTCGGTTGGCAAAGGAAGCCTTCTCAGGGTGGTACTTAATAGAAGCGACTCTGCTTGGGGCCCTAGGCTAAAAGTAGGAGATGACGGCTTTCGGTGCCTTATCAGCTTTTGGTGCCTTGATTGAGTTCCCAGTTTTCGACATGCAGACTGCGTCAATTCGTATATGTGTCTGCGGTCAATATCGGCCTCTATTGGATATGCTATACTCCGTCTTTATAGCTTCATGCCAGAAGCCATGCAAAATTCCCCCAATGCCGAAGTTACATTGGAGGCAGGAGATGGCAGTCTTTGCAGAAGATGCGGTCCGAAGACTCTGGCAGTCGCCACGTACAGAGCATGATGATAGACGGAACATGCTTGTCTCCTTGGCCATCGAAACTTCATGTTTGCACACAGGCGACATCGACAATGATTGTAAGAAAAGCACCAGCCGCGGCGGCCATGCATTCTGCCAATCCTGCATGTAGATCTTCGTCTTCGGCCGGCAATTGGTGCACATGGCAAGACTGATTGCGTGCGATCGTTCAATACAAATTCATCCTAGCTAGCCATTCAGTCATACCGTCCGCCATGCACAAGTAACTAGCATGGTAGTAATGCATGTCGTAAGTGATTGATTCCAGGTCACGAAAACACTACATGCAATGACAAATTGACCGCACTCAAAAAAATTGCACCACCGGCCGTCAAACAGCCAACCCACTCTAGTCTCATACACACGCTTTTCCATCAATCAGAGGGGGTATAAACAGCTTTTGGCTGTAATCGCGTTTCTTCAACAGAATTTGTTTGTGCGGAGCATGCACGTTGCCCTGCAGCTACGTCTGCAATTCACGCACATTGATGGTATCCTTTACCAACACAGTATTGTGGTTTGAAGGAGCTTGCGTCATCACAGATTACTTGCGGCAAAGCGCGCTGATCGAAGTCAGCGCTTTTTGTCAGTGACGAAACCGGCTTTGAAGACCCCATTACACGTCACACCGTTTCCACCGTTGCTTCACTGAGTGGGGACCCCTGGTAGATTGTCTAGCGAGCCTTCCGGTTTCAAGATAATGTCGTAGCGGGCATCTTGCAACAGAGATGATGTAGGTGTCGAAGAGACAGGGCATCAACGCTTTTAGAACCTCGTTCCACCTGTTGCTCAGATTCAAAGTTCTGGAAGAAAGAACAACCGATACCTCTTTACAGTCTTAAGCACTACCTTAGCAGGGACGCCCGCAGGGAGTGGCGCAGCTTCCTTCTAATCGATGTCATAGACCAACGAACACGTCAACTTGGGCTGGTACCGCAAAGGCGCTACTCTCGTACTTTTCTGTGACGGATCCCTCTCCTCGACCTTTGGCGCTTCGGTCGCTAATTGCACCAACTCCGGAACTACCACACTCGGAGTCTCAACCGTCTCCGCGGCAACTCCTTTGCCGTTCGCCAACCCCGGGACATCTTCCACAGAGCGAGCCCCCATCAGACTGTCCATCGAAAAGACTTTGCTGATGGCGGCATCTTCGATGGCTGACATCTCTCCCTGCTCCGTTGCGTCCACATTACGGGTGACTTCCTCCTCCGCAGCGCAAGCGGGGCCTGTTTGAGGCACTTCGGCAGCACATGGGAGAGGCGAGCCGTCGTCCACCACCTGCTGGTTTCCGAGGACGGTTCCGCTTCCGTTGGACTCCGTACGGTCTGCTGCTCCCTTCCGCGGCTCCTCCTCGAATTCTCCTGCCGTTCCGTTTAAGAAAAGCTTGGAACCATCGCCGATGGACTGCGTAGTTGCCTCCAGGGAGCCCGTTGACTCCGGTTCCGGTGGCTCAACAGCCTCAGCAAATGCATCAGCGACGGCGGCGGAATCCGCTGAGGGCTCGGCGCAGCTCCCCAAACTGTCGTCATCGACGGTAGCGGCGGGGCGCGGTTCCTCGAAAGGCTGCAAAAGCATCGAGAAAAATGTTCAGATTCATCCTCCGCTTCCGCTACAACACATATTGGACAGAAGAGCCATTGGTAGTTCGCAAGCAGGCTGAGGCGGCACCATTCGTACAGCTCAACGGTTACCAAAGTCAGGGTTGTACACTTTCCGCCTTCCCCAGATGCACCTCTCGAAGGTTGAAAGCGTGGATCCTGCATTCAGTCTCCAGGTTCGTCTCATGTTCGCGCAACAGCGAACGGCACCCTTGCCATCGAAACAACTAGGAGTATTGAGAGGGGCCTTCACTGTCGACATGCGATACGCGGAGTGATGTTGCAACGAGAGCGGAGAAGTCTTGACGCCTCTCGCGCTGGACCGAGCAACTACCTTTCTGGGAGGTGCCTGCGGTCGCACAACGGGGAGCACCACTTCTAAGCGGCGCCGGAGTTTGTCGAACTTTGCCCGGCCCTTTGTTTCCTCGACAGGGTACGGGAGGGCAGCCTGCAATAACAAGAGCGCAAAGAATCTACACCCCTGTCCGCTCGCAGAAGGGCTGTCCGGCAATCAGCTTACTTGAGATTTCCCTTTCGAAAGCAAAGAATGAATCGCAAAGGTCCAGACAGTTGACGTGTTAATAGGCCTTCACACGTGAAACTGAGCGCCCAATGCATGAAAACAGTTTGGCCAGCGTTCAATATGGTTTGGAAGATTTCAAACGGTGTAAGTCAAGGAGAGCCAGTGGAAAGGCTCCACCACCTTATGGGGGATCACGAGCAGGTTTTGGCAAGCGCAGATGGAAAGCCCGAGAAGAACGGTGCACGAGGTGCCAAGATTGATTCTTCTAAAGCGACGGGTTGGATACGGGTCAGAGTTCACCCCGCAGCTTCAAGCATGACCGCTGTTTTGCTTGACTCTATGAAAAGGCAATGCTTCTGTGCTAAGGTGCTTACATCAAGGAGGTACTTTCCAACGGCTCTGAGGACCACCCGCTGCTCTGAGACGTCCAGGTCAACCGCTGCCGCGCTCTCCTGCAGAAGAGAGAGCTTAAGAATTCAAGCTTTCGTTGAACTGGTGCATCTTTCGTTGGGAGACCCCCGAACTATACTCTTCAAAGAAGGGGGAACAGAAGTAGGAAAGGATGATGGGCCAGAAATCTGGTTATAACGAGCAGCTTTGCCGGGCGAGTGGAAAGAGAGAAGCGAGACAGCCACAAGGCGAGGGTACCAAAACACCGCGGAACGACGATGGGGAAGAAAGATTGCAGTCTCCCTATGCTTCGCCCACTTCCTTATTTGTTTTTCCAATCTGACACTTAAAGAGCGTTTTAGGTATACCGTTTTGCAAGGGGTATGTTGATGTCGACTTGGAGGGGCAGACACACAACTCTCCTACGGTCACTTGGTGTCCAGCATTTTCCTAAGTTTGATGAGTTAGGTCACGCGAGGACGTCCTCACCAGCAGAGGAAGGTCGACCCTCAGAAGGAGCGACTCTGGGCGGCTCGCCTGGACTGGCCCCGTCCTCTCGTCAAGCCTGCAAATAAGAATGAAAGGTGAGGCTTGAATGTCTCCCTTTGAGGCTCGAATCTCTCCCTTTACATGTGGATCAAAATCAAGTCTTGGATTTTGTTTGAAGGAAACGTGTATTCCCACGGTTGCCAATCTCCACAATTTATCGTTTCTGCCTGACTTGTCTACTGCTTCGTGACCTTCTAAGCTGCAGAACGGGCGCTATCGAGCAGGTACGACGTCAAAAGCAACATCTCTGAGCAACATATAAGTGCACGCGAAATCGAGCGCGCAGCAAACGAAAGACGAGACAACAGGTGGGCACGTTCAAAGATTGACATTCCGCAAAGGACAGGATGGGATTGGTTTGGTACGTACCAGAAGCTGCTCAAGTCCATGAGCCCTTGCTGGACGATGTCGAAGTTGGGCTGCGCCTCGGTGTCCCCGCTGGCTTTCGACGTCGATACCACTTCCGTTATCTTGCCACTCGGAGCGCACTCTCCGCTGACTGGTGTTTCTCGACCGTCTTCCTTGTCCATAGCTGTTTCTGCGGGCTTGTATTGAGCCGATTTTAAGAGCGTCTCCTCGTTGCTGCTTGGCTGAGCTCCGGCTGCCATAGCAGTTGTCAGAGCGGTCGACTTTGCGGCCTTGTCGAAGGCGAAGGGGCTGGCTGTGCGGTTGGCCCGGTTCGACGGCTGCAGAGGGGATACTGGGGAGTCTTTCGGCGTCGAGTCCTCGTCCCGTTTGCCGGAAGCTGCAACCGGTATGAAAAGGTGAGGTGAGCTGGTATTTTAGTACGAACGTTGAAACTTTTCAAGCATGAAGCACCGTGGAGCTTTGAACAACGACTGAACAGGTCACTTCAAACTGGACCCACCTCAACGCCCGTTCGAAAAGGTCGGGCGTCTAAGCTGTGTTGATACATTTTTGTACCCTAATCTGGAAGAAATCGTACCGCTAGTGTAATTACAGGAAAGAGCTTCATTGAAAGAAATTCTATCGACTTGACTACCCTGCAAGAACCAGCAGTAGAATAAGGCTTCCTACAGCGCCTGGCAACGGCTCGGGGATCATGTGAAATGCAACCTAAGTGGAGGAGTGTTGTTCCCCCCCTTTGGCACTGCTCCCCAGAATGCCAAGCGTTTGTCGCCATCTTGTGCCTTTCAAGCCAACTTTATATGTCGGACGCCGTCCATCTGTCCATTCTAACGGGAGACGCATCTCTTAGTCACGACCTTTCGACTCAGAGGTGCATTAGCTGATACACTTACTGAATACTCAGTCGTTGAGACAACAAGGACAGTCCCGTTGTCCTTGCGCTTATTTCAATGTAGAAATGTATCCCAAACTGTGACACGGGCGCACTCTCCTGATTGTCCTCACCTTTCACAGCAAGGACGGGGGGACTGTCACTCAGGCCCTTAAACTTGAGCTTTGGCAGCGTGAAGCTCCGGTCGAGCTTGCACTTCCGCTGCGCCTCCACCGAATCCAGCGCAGTTTCGATGACGAACGTTTTGAAGCGGCGGTCCGTTCGGCAGCGCTCGTATGTGGCGGAGCCGATCACGAAGTCGTGCACGTCGCACTCCTTCCCAGCTGCATTACAGATGAGTTGGTTGATCTCATGGAACGTGGGGACTCACTTTACACCCCGGTCGCTTCAAGGAAGAGGGGTAGAAAGCTCTTGGCAGGGAAAACGGGTTGTTCGTCGGCAGGGGGCTGTATGCCTACTATTTTATGTCTTCGCTTTTTACAGCTGATTCACTTGCACCTCTGGTCTGTGCCGCATCAAGATGAGCCTTCGGGACAGCATTTACTGGACACATCAATCGTAGAGGACAGATCACCTCTGGAAACCGAAATCTGCTTCTGCGCCGTTTCGCCCCGGCCAGGTCCAAATTTCCTTAGCGGAATTGTCTATACTGTACCCAATCAAGGCAACTCTTCTCTCCCGCAAGACAACGGCTGCCCCTGTCACCTATCTTCACCTTCTCGATTTCTCCAAACCGTCTCACCTTTGTCTTTCTCTTTGCGCGCTGTAGACAGGCTGTACGGAATGGACCAATCGGCTCCCGTGCTGTCGGTGCGTGGAGTTGAGGTCGCCGCACCGATCTTATCCGAGTGGCAAATGTTTATGAACGCCTGAGACAAGCGACAAACACTTACTTCATACCCCGACAGAACACTTTCTCTTTGTTTGGCGCTCTGTTGAGCTTTTCAATCATATCAGATCTCATAATTAGACTGTAGTCAGTGGCTCAACAAACACGAAATCCCTCCGTATGGGCAGCAAGTCAAGGTGCAAAGTGTCATTCAGCGTGTCAGCGGTCAGTGCACAAAGAAGCTGACAGTCTGGAAGACCATCTGGCACAGGATCTAAAAGCTCTCACCTTGGCCCCTGTAATCTTGTTTTTAGTCTTGACACAGAAGCCGGCATTTGGAGCCACCAGCTCCGTGTCCTTTCCATAGACAGCCCCACCCTGGCCCTCTCTTTCCAACTGCCGGAGGTATTTCTCGTTCTCCTGTACCACCAGCACACAAGATTTCATGCTTTTTTGGAACTAAACAATGGGGTTTGCATACTAGTTGCTTGGATCCCCAATCTCCCTGATCTTACCATGTTCACTGAACCACACTCTATCTACCTTACTGAGCAGATTGGAGAGTTAAGGACATAGGCAAGGGTAAACTATCAGCTTGTGGGATCAAGCCTGTGCTTTTCAACCACATCCTTGTCACCGCTCAGAGACTTTTGCAGCTATGAGAGGATTGCATTTTAGAAGCTGGCCAAACAATGCTTCAAAACGTGCCTTTTGAAAGACAACGTTGCTAATGTCGTCATTCTTGTAATGCACTCACCTCTCGTAGCTTGGGGTCCTCCATTTCCCTGGCATACTCACTCAACATTTCCACAAACTTTGGGTCCTTCATAGCCTTCTCAAATCTGCCAAGCTCCTGCAACAAAAGTAGAGTAGACAAGCGTTAGCGTGCCAGCTTTGCCAGGTCAACCGAGCAATTGAGAGGTCGGCCTACCCCACTTTTGAAATGGATGAGCTACACTCAGTGAAGGGAAGATACCATTTTTGCTGCTGACATCAGAGGCACTATGGGAATTACGCAGGCAATCCTCTGCCGCACTCGGATTGCATTAGACATACTCAGCCACCCATGTGACCTCTCACAAGTAGCTCAGAAGTTCTCAATTTGAGAAGTATGTTGACAACTGAGGTAGATGTTTAAGTTTTGGGAGCAATAGAAACTCTCTTGAAGTTTTACATCAAAAGGTTGATGCCTCAGGCTTTACCTCTGTTGATAGGTCCAGGTCTTCGAGGGCGCGGCCCGCATGTTTCCTGCTGGACTCCATGCTAGCTCCCGGCATAGCGACAGCTGGGCGCAAAGCCCGGATGCCTGCCTGTCTCGATGGCTTTATTATTCCGTCCTGTACCTCAGAAAATGTGCTCTTCCAGCTGATCAACAAAATTTCTTCTGAGCTTGGGCCATTGGAACAAGCGGTGCTGAGTGAAGGACTATGAGTCTGACTAGCTGCGCCGGTGGGTCCTTGTAGACTGCGACTTTGCAGTCAGAATTTGAAATTTGAGGAAGCGAAGCTGAGCACAGCATGCAGCCCTGGACAGTGGTCCGTGGAGGTGCACCTACAAGTAGCCTCGGCTCTGACCGTAACGGTCTAACGATCGGACTGGATCCAGGATACCGGACTTTAACGTACACGAGTGTCTAGAAGGTCTGTACCGTCCGATGAAAAGCTCCATGCGTAACGACCGTCAGAATGAAAACGCGCGCGCAACTACCTAAATCGACGTCCACAGAGGACTCATTCGTATAAAACCTTTGAAGTCGACATCGACAACATGCGCAGAGCTAGGGGGGCCCAGCTAGGTACCAGGTATTGCGCGGGTATCGTGGTCCAGGTTGCATCGATGAGCGAGGGTAGGTAGGAAGCTAGCTGTAGGGGAACGGGTGGGGTTAAGTCAGGGGTTAAGGTGTGTACTGTCTTGAAGGAGCTAATACGATATGCGCAGATGTACCTTGAGACCTTGATTATACAGACCGGCCAATGATGATCGATGCATGCACATTGTTTCGTCGCCAGCTCTGACCAGCTTGCGTACGTCGGGTCCGACTCTATTCGATATTAAGAGCTTTTGTATGCGCAGGCCCGCATGACGTCGAGATTGTGACAGACGTACGTTGCTCGAGTCTGACTCGCTTGTCTCTTTCTCTCCATTTCAGCGGAACTTGTAAACGACGGATTGCTCCATGCACAGCATTTGCTATTTCCCCACAGCTTTGGCGTAATTGCGGATGTCGAAATAGTTCCTCTGTTAATTTTGCCATCTTCGATCATGGGATTCTGGCATGAACACTCGGATCGAGCAAACTTGAAGAATGCGAAGTCTCGGACGCGTTTGAGATGTGTTGCGACAACCATATTTGGTGACGACGAGGTGACAACATGCACTGATTCCCTGTACTTCAAAACATGAAATAAGTATGTGCATAGCTATGTACAGCTTCTTCACATTAGAACGCCGCACAATGCAACATCAGACCTCCGATTAGCGCTGCGCTCGAAGGCAGGCTGACTTCGACAGATGATATATATCATTGAAACGCATCAGCTTGATCAGGTCTGGCCAGAAAGCTAATATAGAGTGAGTATGTGAGTATGATTGAAACGCTCGGCTAATGTATACGAAGGGCGCGGCTTATTATCAGTTCACACCAAGGTACGCATTAAAATAGACGTTGGCCCTGGTGACTTCAACCTCGTGTGGAAAACTGGCATGGTCTTTCACTTTTTCGGATGCAATTCCGACCGCAGTTTGGATCATCTTCAAGTGGATTTCAGCCACTGTGCATCAGGATCCAGATTGCGTCGTCCAACAGGATGACAATTTCTAAAAAACGTGTTGCCACCATTGCTAGCTTATTTTGCGGGTTCGATTCATGAAGTAAGTGCCATCCTCATTTTGGCGGGTATCATCCACTGACATTGTTTCTCCGGGGGCCGCGGCCCTGCCGGCCCTGTCGGCCCCATGTCTTGTGCAAGGGCATCATAATGAGGGTATCCATCTGGATCCTTCAAACATTCTCCCTGCTACCTAATCTTCCCCCTAATATGAAGTCGCCATAAGACCACAGATTAATTTTAGTGAGTTGCGATACTTATACTGCAGTCTTTTTGCGCTGCAGTCAATCAGCCACCGGATCTTACGTTTCTTTGTTGTCTTGCTATATTGACTGCCAAAGCCAAGGTACTACCAGGTTATTAGGAATAGGAGTATTACAGAATTGCAGTATTGTACATATGAAGACAACGTGGAGGATCAGAACTCACTGCTGCTTGGCAGCCTTCTTTGCAGCATCCAACTGTTGCTTCTTCTCCGCAATCTCGTGGGCGAGCTGCTCTGCTTGTTCCAATTTCTGCTCAGCAAGCTCTTCGCGAAGCTGCAAAATGATTGCTTGAGTGAGCTTTTGAGTCAACAATGTGAATGACTCAATGCAATAAACAAAAAGTTCAGAATTCTGACCTGTGCAATGCTCGACTCGAAGCCAATGTATTGTGATATAACAGACAGCATCGCCTGCATATTCGTGCATTCAGATGCCGTGACGGAGAACGGGCAGGTTGTCAATCACAATCGCAGGAAGCACCTTCCAGTGAAAGAGAGTGTCAAAGTGGCTGCCGGTGAGCAGTTTTTTGAAAGTTCCACAATGCCTACCTTAGTATCTTTCACAACTCCTTCCTGCAATCAAGAATGAATAGCATTAGCAATCAGGTGCCAACCTAACACAAATCAAACAGCTCGCATAGTCACACCTGACAGAGCTTAAAGTCGAAAGAAATACTGCAGAAATCTTAGCTGGTCTCCACCTTGCACAGTTGGAGGATGTCCAATACGCTAAGTCCAGTGGCCTAAGTTTAGATGCCTTGATCAGCAAAAGGGAGCGCCACAACAATGTATGTGAGCAATGTGAACCAGGTTCAATGCAGTTGACATCGTCATGATTCTGCAAGGTCGATCCCTTGCGGTACCTAGGATCTGGACTGCAGTTACATCCAGGGGCAACTGAGACCAAAGTGGATTCAAAGGAAGTCCTTGACAACTCCCGCGAGTATGCTTCGCTGAATTCACAATGCTCTGAGAGAAGCTGACCTGAGTAGAAAGCTGAGTCCAGATACTGGATTTGGACAACTGAACTGGACTTTACCAAGCCTGCGCTCAACCAAACCCTCACTATATGACATGATAGGTATGTAAAATGAAACAAAAGCATATTCGTAAATTATGAAGTACTGAGAGATGTTTCTTGAAGGCAAGCAAATCTCAAGCAGCTTACCAGCGACTCCTCAGCTGCAGCTTTAGCTTCGTCATGAGTGTGCTGGTGCTCTGGGTCTGCGTGATGGTGGCCAGTGCTCGCCATGACTCTGTTGGGACTTATTCCTGGAATCAAATTGGGCTAACCAGTTTGTCTGTGGGTTCAATCAATAAAATATGGGGACTCCCTGAGAAATGACGGCGGAGTTGAAAACTTTTTGAAAGGAAGCAAGGAGCATATACATACCTGAGGCTGACCAGTCTGCTTTCTCAAACGTGCTTCTCTTTCTGGCATCTGCTCTTTACTGCGATGCTGCTTGAAGTTGTACTATAGGGACCTAGTAGCAATGCTGGGCAAGAGCCGGGCCGGGGAATGTCTCCACAAACAACGAATTACGCTTTGCCAAGTGGATTGCCAACGTGGCAGCACCTGACGTCACGTATCCAGCTGTCAGGACGAATCCCGTCTGGTGGTCCGTTCCTAAAACCGATGATCCAACGGTAGCGGTCAAAAGCAGCCGACCACAGTCTCATCTATCATTCGTTCCGCCTGTATCCAATCGGACGGTCTGCGTCTGCTTGGATGCAACCGGGATCCAACGATCGTAAACATCGCCACACGCAGCGACAATCTATCGACCGTCGATAAAAACCGTCCATGTAGAGCGCTTTCACCACGTTGCGTGCATGCAAAAATTGCATGCAGGCCAAGCCTTAGCCAAAGGACCCCTTCCAAGTGGCCGCCTCGCAATGGCCAGCAGCCCTTCTTCAGGATGATGTGGCTCCCAATTGCAGTTCCCCAGTGAGGGCGGAGCTCCTTTGGCATACGTTGATCGCCACGTCCCTTCATGAGCTGTCTTCTCTGCAGTGGAACTGTGGAAGGAAGCTCAAAAGCACTGCACCAAAAGCTCTTGTAATCCTTGCCGATTCCTCATTCACAGACACCAAGTTGCTTACACACCTCTCACCGGCAACAATCTTCGAAAAAGCTAGCTTGATCACCTTCCTTCACCGTTAGAAACCGCCCGTAGAAAGCTAAGATCAGCGAAAATGGCTTCCAGCATGATGACCAGGGCCGTCTCCAGCGGCGCGGCGTTCGCCGCCGCGCCCATGGATCGCATGACGAGGCAAAGCATGACCGCACGGCCGGCATTCATGGGGTCTGCCATCAGGGCTGTTAGGCCGGCAGGTAGGTTGTTTCATGACGTGCTGGAAAGCCAACAATATACTTTTGTAGGCTATGCTTGAGCTCGCCAATGCAGGGGTGGCAATAACAGTCACTGCGCAGGGTTCTGCGGGACGGGCATTGCCTTGAATGAAGATGTACCATTGTCTGAGCGTGTGACACTACTTCTCACAGCTCAGCGGTACTTGAGCAATGGCCTCAGATGGCCTCTTTGAGTTTAAGATATTGGCCTGCGGTTCTTCAAAAAACCTCCTTGACGTTGGGTTTATTGCATTTCACTGCAAGTGCCGCTGAGGTCAGGAGGAGTCCAGTCATGCCCATAACTCCTGCTCAGGGTGATGTTTGGAACCGAGAGTCAGGGACAATGACTGGCTGCGCATTGTCAAATTCTTTGAAGAACCCCAGGAATGTGCTTAATACTCAAGAGTGCAGAAGTCCTTTGTGTCTGGCACCAGCAAGACGATTGGTTGTGTCTGCAAGCACTTAATAAGGTCTTCTCTTTATTTCATGTAGTTATGTCCCGGTCAAGCCGCGGCCTGTCTGTGCGCGCGGACGCCAAGGTGCAGCCCACAGAGAGGACTGGCGAGGCGGACCAGGGCAGCGTGCGGAGCGGTGTGAGTGGCAATGAGGCGCCCAGGGGACACATGACCACAAACGCCCCTCTTGGCCAGGGCAAGGTGCGGTTCTGTTCCTGCATTAAGTTTTGCATGCATTTTGCTTGGGTTGCCTATGTCCTGCCTGGACATTGGCAAACCACCTGCGAACTGACTGATGTTGGCAGACTTGCTCTGATTATAGTGAGGGAACTCAAGAGCGACACGTGAATCTACTTGGAGAATGATTACGAGTGGACATACACCCCCTCTTACGGTTTACATTCTTGGAAAATGACAGTAGTCCTACGGTTTGAAATGACATTTGACTCTGGGCTGGGCTCAAAGAACCACTGCGAAGGCGACAATGTGTGGACCTTGGTGCTTTTACGCAAAATGACGAATTCAGGAAATATTCATCAAAGAGGTATGAAGCTAATGTAGTCAGATTTCAGCTTGTTACCTACTTGCATTTCTTAGTCCTTCCTCTGCAATCATTCATCACTGTGTCAGTCATTCAATTAAATCTGTTTGTACGAGGAGAAAAGCTCGCCATTGAGAGGTTGGTTTGCGCACTCAAATTCCACACACCCTCTTCATATGGCGAGATGCGTCCTTTAAGTGGTCAATATTGTGTGTGCTTGACATACCACATTCTTATGAGAACGGACTCATACTTGCAGGGCCCTGTGGGTGAGAGGATCGCTTACCTGTGCAACTCCTGCGGATATGTGTATGACCAGGAGACGCCCTGGGAGGATGTTGCTGACGACTATCAGTGCCCAGGTAAACTTCTTTGCCGTTTCTGATTGACGGTGATTTGTCATGATCGTACGAACCGTTTCTATAATGGCCAGTTGGCCAGTGAAGTATAGAGCTCTACCATCAAGTCGCAGTTGACCGACTGTCAATGCAACCCGTGCAATTTAGGGGTTCACCGTTCACCAACAATATAGGGGAACGAAATGAACGCTTGTTTACTGCACGAAAGAACATCGGATTAGATGTACAAAACACCACCTGGACTAGACAGAAACATACAGGAAGGACAGGAAGACTTTGTTATTATACATTCCCAATAACCACACATTCAATCCTTTGCCCTGGTACTAGCTTTAGTTGCCGGTTCAAAAGTCCGGCCGACTTGATCAGACGTTTCCTGGCTTCTGTTCGGAAGATTGTAGTATCCAATCATCTCGATTCAAAATAAATTTGAATCGATATGTCGCATTCGGAAAATATTGCGCACCTGGGAAGTTGACCTGACTTGTACTCATGAATAGCTCGTTACCTTTGCAGTTTGCTCAGCGCCCAAGGAGTCCTTCACCGTCCAAAACGCAACAGTCGGAGAGATGGAGCAGCTCGACGATGAGAAAGCGTAGGTCTAATGAAGGACTGATAGCGTAATTGATTTTGTGTCGTGTTGAGGAAATTGTTAGCGTTGCCAAATATTGATTGTGACCTCGATCAGGAACATTTTGTTGTGGAAGCTGACGGTGTGACGGTTGTGCCGAAAGGCGGAAAACATTGTACAGCGTTGTAATCTATAGACCTAGTGTGTGCTCTTTTGAAAGGGATAGCTAGGTTTAGTAAGCCTCGTGCACAGTGACGAGTTTGTCAAACAAGCAAACTGGACGCAACGAAGGATGGGAACTAAGCAACATCCAAACTGAAGAGAAGGTTTTTAACGGAAAATTGTGACTCGCGAATCTGCAACTTACACACGTAACGCTGCCAGAAGGATCAATTGGTGTGTGCACACTGTGCGAGAAGGAAACAGTTCTGTCAACTCGTGTTGCAAGATATGTTTGTGTGTGGAATGACAAGTACAAACCATCGAAAATGGGAAAAACAAATTCTGACTGCTGTCGCACGTGTGCGCGCTGATTCACTCACAATTCGCCTGAAAAGTGAAGTATGAAATAAGAAATTATCATTATAGTGCATGGGGAAAGTTGAATTGTGGGGCGTACATCCTCGAATCAATGTTTACACTTGCCAAATCGCAAATTCAGCGTTATAGTTCGAAACTATGAAATTCCGACCTGTGGACTGATCGACTGAATCTTGTAGAATATATTGTGTGCAAGCGGATATGGCATGTGCAAATATATTACCATGTACACTTTTACTTTACATTACATTTAGTAACGAAACCTATATATTTAACATTAGGCTTCCCAATCGTACCTAGCAATTGACAGATTGACTCGTGTGATCTATGTGCGATCCGTTGGTGCAGTATTTCGTGTGAGCTAATTCTACGATCGACTTCACTGCATGCAATGATATATGACAGAGTCCTTCGATCATTACCTTTTATTACGTTTACACTTTTCCGGTGCAGTACACGGCGTTGGAATATAAGGCCGCGCGGAAGATGCGTTTTATATCACGTAAGAGTACATTTTGTCTGCATGCGGCAAAGATCGACACGAACCACTCTGGTATTGTGATATATCAATGGCCGCATATGTGAGCAGATAAGATCTTGACCTGGATCAGGAACTTTGATAGGATAACCTCAAGCAGGCTGGAAAAAAGCAACCTGCTCCGGACGATACGCTGACCATTCGCGCCACAGCAATTCAAATGGTAAACGTCCCAATCTCGGCGTTGTTCCTATAAAGCGTCACCGTCCGATCCTGCTTGGGTTCCAGCCGCAGGCTCAGATCCAGCCCCTGCGTCACCGCACTCAGATACTCTATTGACGTTCTCCGACTCCGGCTCATTTCCCCAGTTCTCGCGCCCAATTTTGGCTCAAGTCCTGACGAGCCCAGACCCGGCAAAGGCGGAAGCACCACCATTTTACTGCACTGCACGAGCGTGCTGGTTCGGCGCATGTTCGCCCACCAAGCGGCGCCGAGGTTCCACCACCGCAGCGCGGAATTCGGGCGGGAATAGGCGACCACGCCCTCGCCGTCCGATGAGAAACAGACGGCCGCGATGCTGCCGTACGTGGTCGCGGCGGCGCCCTCGGCTTTGGAGAGGACGTGCGAGAGCGTGGCGTTGACGCCGTTGTGCGTCGCGGGCCCGCCGCTCGCGTCGAGGACGCGCATCTGCGGGTGGGGAAGACGGGCTGCTTAGAAGCGGCCCGACACTAGACGCGCGTCTGTACCGGACGATATTCGTAGGCGAATCTGTTGGATGATCAGAGTCCTTTGAGTCCGTTTTTAATTCAGAATACCAGACCGGTAGAGCAGGCCATAGGCTGCATGGCCAGTCCGCACCAATCGGCTGACAAGCTAGCCGCCCAACACTCTAGACAACTTTTGCAAACTGTCTTCCGACTTTCCCAATAGCTGTACTTGAAACGCACGACAAGTAATGCAATTGTCCCATCTTGACATTACGTTCTGGAATGCATTCTGAAGGGCTGAGTCAGCGCCATGGTCCACATCGACCCATGATCCGCAGCCATGCCGCTGAGGCAATTTTCCCATCGCGCTGCGGTCGAAACGACTCACCTTGAATGCATTTTGAAGATCGTACACGTCGATCTTGAGCGCGTTGGCATCCCCGATGGGGTCGCCCACCGCGAGCCGCATGCTCTCCTGGTGGTAGGCGACCATGGGGTATATTCTCACCAGCTCCAGTAGCACCTGCGGGCAGGAGCGAGAGTGCGATCATTGTGGTCCTCGCAAGAGCCGGTGGGATGTCTGCAGTTGACGTCAGTGCGGTCAGCGAAAGGGGGCGTGCAAGCGAAGGGAGCCGTGCTCGATAAGTTCACGTGCCATGCAATACCAGCGAATGCGGGTTGGAACCAGAACCGACCAGCGGACTCGCATGGTGTTCTTATCAAATTGGGGTGACAGGGACAATCGACATCCAAGCGCAAAAGAAAGACTGGCTCTTGCGAAGGTAGGAGTGCTAGAGCTGGGAGATGCGTCTCCAACGGTAACGACAGGGCTTGCAACGTAAGAGCGGGGCACTCAGCAGAAGAACCCGAAATGACAGGATGAAAAGTTGAGGGATAAGGGGAGGTGCTGGGAAGAACGTGGAGGACCACATCGAGAAGGATGAGTAGCAACGTACAGGAAAGGGGGGGAAAGGCCCCAAGAAAAGGCTCGCTTTGCGTTTTTTTCAGGAGAATGGATCAGCTTTCAGGACACGCAACCACAAGGAAACCACAGAAGAAAGAACTGAAGGATGCGGACACGAGCAGATTAAGAAGCTCTGCGCGACCGCACCTCCTGACCATGCCCAACCGCACCTCCTGACAAACGCCACCAGCACGCAGCCAGCGGACGGCTGGTTGCGCCTAACGAGGGGTGACTTGAACTGTGTATTAACTCGTGAAGCTGTCTATCACAATCTTGCTCTGACAGAGGATGCTTCCATCAGAAGGTACACTTGATGGCACTCAACGAATTTGAAGGACAAAGGATGGCAAGTAGTCGTTCCTGTACCGATCTGGAAACCAACGCGGCTTACCGCCATCGCAGTCTGGAGGCAGACTTTGCGGAGTGCGGGCAGCGCGGGATCGATGACGTGGACGACGACCGCGACGAGCTGGCTCAGGTGGGGCACGAGCACGCGCGAGTTGGCGCGCACCGCGCGGATGAGCGCCATAAGCGCGGTCAGGTGCGCGGGCGACTCGGGGGACACCGTGTCGCACTGGTGCTGCATCGGGGAAGGGGAACCGGTTAGTTGAGCGGAAGTGAGAAACAGACCTGGACTTGTTCGATTTCCCCGTTCCCCAGATTAGTTAAGCGGGAGTTTGAGCTGATCTTGGGAAACACGGTCTTGCACTGGTGCTGCATGGGGGAAGGGGACTTAAAGTTACGGCTTCCTTAAAATCCAAAGCAAGGAGGAGTGTGCCACGAACTTGCCCGTCTGCTTCATATTGCCTTGCAATTCGTTCTGCTGTGCGTTGAGACAGAAGCAGACCTACAAGTGCCCGAGCACAGTTTTGGATGTTAAATGCCAATGAAGGCCTATCAGCTCAAGTAGCGGTTGCAGTGCTCTCCCTAAAAGGTGACATGGTTTTGCACTAGTCGCCAAGAATAATCGACCGGGTTCTCGCTCTTATGAAAGCCCCTGTGGCTGCTTTTATCAAGCTTACTTTCGGAGAGCCGTCTAGCTTTGGTCGTGCGGGGGAAGCGGGACCGTTATCCAGAAGAGCAACATTTCTCTCTTTTCATCTCAGCTTGAGGCACAATTTGGACTCAAGGACCGGCATACGAAAGCCGCTGTGCCTTTTGCAATTCCGCAGCGCCCCGATCGACCTACATGATGATCAAGCGGACCTCACATCTTCTTCTGCGGCAATCCTCGTCAAAGCCGAGCCACAATCCAAACCTAACCCCAACTCTAAGCAACCTCAAACGCAAACTCAGGCCCAACCCCCACTTCGAGAGCGAAACTGAACCCCAATCGTAAAACTCCGAAGCCCCTTACCCTTACGACCTGCAGAAATCCCGGTAGGTCTGCCGCAGCCAGCGCCGGCAGCAAATTGCTCGCCAGACTCTCGCGCACCACCATCGCGACGGCGGGAGAGATCCCGCCTTCTCCCGATGGGGTTTTGGGGGTTTCCGACTTCGCTTTCGCTCCGCTCAGGCGCTCCGTCATGCCAAGGACTTGCGACACGAGCTGGTTCAGCGAGCCAAGGAGGGGCTGCCACGTGGCGACCATCCCCTCCGCGAGGACCTCGGCGGCGGTGGCGGAGTGGCGGCCCGCGCCGACGTCGGCTGACGTCAGCAGCTGAAGGAGGTAGGGGGCGACGATGGCGGGGAGGTCGGGGCGAACTAGAGAAGGGTACCTGAGGGGGGCGCGAAGAACCAATGTTATGGTGGACGAGGGGGACTCTCTCTGAAGAAGGGTTGGTCTGCCACAAAGGGCCATCGAAGTTTGAAGAAAACCCATTGTGAAGCGCGCCTAGCGCCTTGAGGTATCTGTGTGGATTAGAGCGGTATTGTTGTGTATTGTGGCATCCCCCAACAAAAATCCTGCTCAATGAAGGCAAAGCAGGCTTGTCCCGAGCTAGAAAGAATAGTCCCTACCGTTCAAATCAAGAACGTGACGCTCAAGTTCAGACTTAAGGAGCTCTTTCATGAGGACGTGCGCAAACCAGCCTACAGCCTTTTGAACCTTACGAAGCCACTTTTGTTTGGAAGAAACTGCTCTCCTTACCAGACGGACAGAGCAGCCGCCACGACCACGCGGGCCGCCTTTGCGTCCTGGCGGGATCCCCCGATCACGCTCGCCCAGTCGTGCCCGTCCTCCGACTCCAGCCATCCGACCACATCCGCCCGGGTGCCCTCCCACCGCTCAACGCCCCACTCGCCCTTGCCCGGGAAATCTTCTCGGGGCGTGCCAGGCCTGAAAGAGTGATAGAAAATCAGAAACCATCGGACGGAGCGCAGAAGTTTGGAATGGCTGGGGGACAGTTGAGAACCGTGTCGCTACCGTCTGTCTTTTCGGCGTCGTAAAATAAACGTTCCGAATTCATCGTTGCAATATGCGTAGACCTGTTGGCGCAAACCCTTTGTCGAACCCCATTCAACGCATTTGAGCTGCCCACAGCTAAATCGTGCAGATTTGAGTTCTTTCGTGTGAAGAACGGACGGTCGCGACACGGTTCTGTCCATCGTGAGCTTTTGCAATCCGCCTGCCATGTACCTTCGATCCATTCATTTCTACAACAGGAACGGAAGAGGACTAGAAAGCATGCGATTTTCTTCGTCAATATGCAGCATGGCCGGCACTTTGCCGCTCGACAAATGATAGGAGGCGCATTTGGGGCTCGCAAAGAAGACGCATGAGACGAGTCCCTTGCTGAAAGCACCCTCTCGGCACCCTCGTTGTTGCCTCGCTGTGATTTTTCCTAGAATTTGGATTACAAGCAATCACGTGAAGAACGTGCGAGGGAGGGCGAATACAAGCGCCTCTCGTTGTCTAGAATTTTGACGGCTTTCCTCACCGGCAGATAAAACTTAGCTTCTTTCTGTCCGCAGCCTCCGCAGCAAACAATCAAGGGTTTCTACAGGGTAAGCAGCTCTAATCACGTTCTACAACTCCTGGATCTTTGTCGGCCCCAAATCGACTCGGCTCGCTGAAAAGGCTTCGATTTTCACACTACGTTTGAGGAGGCGCAGGATACCTCAACCAAGATCACACGATCAACAGAAGACTTTAAAAGACAAAGCAAAAAGGAAAGAGCCGCGGCGCACCTTGACGGCGGTCCCCGCAGGAGGTCCGGCAGCGCGCGGAGGGCGGCGTTGTGGAAGAGCGAGCGCGCCGCCTGGCGCAGGTGCTCGCACGAGTCCTGCCAGAAGCACGCAAACACCTCCAGCGACGGGGGGGCCATCCCGCGCAGCTTCTCCACCAGGCCGCGGCTGTACTGGGCCGCAAGCATGCTGCACAGAGGACGGAACAATCGTTAAGCTTGCGCTTGCATGGAGATATCTCTGTGCGTTCTGGGCATCCGTAGGTACATATTCCACGCCATGCTTCGTTGGTCGATCTCTCCAATGTTCCATTTCGTCTTTGATTGGCAAGAACTGAGCATGACGCCCAGAAGATCACGCTGGAGGCAGTCTGTCCGGTAACCTGCGACTTGCGCGAACAGGTCCATTTCTGCTTCTTGCGCAAGTCGCAATACATCTCGGGACCTGAAACCCTGGAAGGACGACAAGCTTCTATTTGCCTGCACATATTAGCACCTTTGTGATAGTGCGGACTGAACAAAGATTTAGTTACCCGCCAATCCAGTTACACATCCGCTGCATGCGCGACCTTGTCCTCTCACTTCTGATGCATGTCTAGCTAGCTGACTGGAAACTGCCACCAGACTCCGCGCAACTCAGCGACCCGAGACGGTCGGACCCCCTGCAGGATTCCCACAACCAATGACGCACCTGCACGCCCCGCGCGCGTTCTTGGACAGCAGCATGAGCCGCTGCGCGAGCGCGACCATCGTGAGCGCGCGCACCGCCGAGAACTCGGGGCTCGCGCGCCAGAACTCGTGCCGGCTGCGGGGGGCCGGGAACAGCAGCGTCATCGCCCCCTTGTCGCCCATCAGCCCCGGCCCGATACGCAAATCTTCTCCCGGGGGGGTCACCCCGAGCACGTCTTTCAGCTGTTGATCCAGGTCGGGGGACACCCCCCAAAGGTGCAGGAACGCGAGCGACATGCGCAGCGCACTCCCCTCGACCGACCACAGCTTGTTCTCGTCCGTCGCTTTTTGTTCTGCCAGGGCGGCCGACAAGCCCCCCTTGCCGGGGGTCTGGGGCTTGGCGCCGTCGGAAGGTTTGGGCGAGGGGCCGGGGGTGCCGAGGTCCGAAGAGATGCCCGCCAGTTCGGGGGCCATGAGCATCATAAGATCGTACTGTAGAGCGGCGACCCCCGGGAGGGGGCACGTGCCCCGGATCGGCTGCTGGGGGGTCCGCACGTCTGCCACGTTCGCCCCCTCTTTCACGCGCGGTTTGGGCCCCCCGCTGACGTCACCGCCGCCCCCCCGATCCCCCGCCTTCGACACCAGGTTCGAGAACGCGGTCTTCAAGCCGGGAGCGTCGTCCTTGCCTCCGCCGGTGAAGAGCGCCGTCAGATTCGACGCACTGCCCAGCGACGTGAGCCCGGTGCCAGTCGATCCCTGGGCAGCGCCACTGGCCCCGCTTGACACCGCCGGCGGCGCGGACCCCCCCGGGGGACTGACCGCAATCACCTCCGCAGTCGGAATCGCGAGCGCTGCCGTCGTGTTTCCCCCCATCGCGGAACCTGCCCCCGAGTTTGCCCCGATCGTCGTGACGCTTATTCCCGAACCCGCCCGCACCCGCGTGCCGAGGAACGAGAAAAGCGAATGCGCGGCCGAGCCACGGAGGTGCCGGTCCCGGCTCCCGGAATGGAGGTCCCAGATGTACAGCACGTCATGAGTTCCGCTAGAGTCCGGGCAGCAGAGGCAGGCGAGGTAGCCGCGCTTGCCGTCCCAAACGCAGGCGCGGGGGGGTGCCACGTGGCCGGGAAAGATGCGCTCGCAGCGCAGGGTTTCGAGGGACGAGAGCGCTACAGTGGCGTCATCAGAGACGGTGCAGAAGGAAGAGGCCCAGGGAGAGGGGGTGCCGGCGGGGGGGAGCAGCAGGGCACGGACCTGAACAAGGGAAGAACTGAATTGTCAAGATAGACAAATGCTTCGCTCAGATTGATTTCGCTCAGTATCTTCTTTCTAGTTTCGAAGGAATTCGTCGTGGACACAGCATTCTTGAAGACGTCTTGACGTTGAGACGATCCAATCATGTCCTTAGAGAAGCGAGGAAGGGCTTCCAGAGTTACGAAGGGCGTCGAAGTACTTCGGCTGAAAAGGTAGCAGAACGGGTACTTGGCTCAATGCATATGCCGGGAAGAAGGTGATGTAGTGACCGTGCAGTTAGCCTAACTCTTTGTAAAGCTGAGAAACATGATCCGGAAAAACGCAGTCCTTCATACACTTGCGAGAGAAGCAATCCAGTGAAACCCACCGGCCCGACATGCTGGCGGAAAACCGCGAGCGCAGCGCCCGCCCTGGAGACGTCCCACGCGCGCACCGTCCAGTCGAGGCTCCCCGAAAGTAGCACCCGGCCATGCCCCACATTTAGAGATGGGGGGGCCTTTTGCTCGGCCAGGCAAAGGACGGCTGCCCCGTGGCCCTCTAGACTGAGCACCCCCTGGTTTGATTCTCTACCCCCCTGAAGCGTTCCAGGGGGGCTCGCTACCAGCGAAAAGATTCTGATCAGCCCGTCCGCGTAGCCCCTGACCAGGCACGTGGGGGAGAACGCGCCGCCCCCAATCAAAAGGGAGGAAGTCACTGGTGGCGTCGACGCCTGTTCGAATGTTCCCGCATCTTTTTCTGGTGCTTGAACTGGTTCGGATGAAGGATCCGACTTTCCGACCAACAAACTGCTGCCCTCTCGAAGGAGCCCCCCCGGTTCTGAATATGCCCACCCGTCTGCTAGACGCGCTTCCTCCACAAGTTCCGCTGCAGGGGGTTGACTTCCCTGCTTTTCCAAGGCCCCCGAAGAAAGCGGAGGCAGCTTCCACAGGGTAACGCTCGGGTTTGCGCCCCATCCCCCCTCTACAACCGTAGGGCCAACCGTCACCCGGGCGACGACCCTGCCCGCCACCTGGCAGAACCGGCAGCTGCTGACATCATCCTCCGTCGTCGCCTGCGGGATGCTCGCCACCGCGGACAGGCTCGCCGGATTCAGTTCTTTCCCGTTTGGGGCCGAGTCTGGATGAGAGTCGGTGGAAAGAAGCCCGACTTGAAGGCTAGAGATGTCGTAGACGACTGCGCCTCCCGCTTCGTCCCACAGAAGGAGCCGATCCGCGGAGGCGGAGCTTTCCCCTTGACGCAAGAAGAGCGCACCTTGCCAGGCAGAGCCGCCGTCCCTCGTCTCCCGAGCCAGGACCTTTGCCCCCTCGACCAATCTCACCTCCCAGAAGTTTTGTCCCACCACGGCCACTAACCTTCCGTCAGGCGACACGGCAGCCGAGACACCAGGTTGTGAATCCCCTCCCCCTGTGAGATCACCGTCCTCCTGTTTCGATTCAGCTTTCTGCTTGCCTGCGTCTGCTTTCGGGCTCTTAGCCTGCGGCTCTTTCCGACCGGCCCCTCCTGCAATACCCCACCACACCTGGACCCCCCCGCGCGCGTCCGCCGCCACCAAGGTGTGGCACGCCGCCGTTTCGTAATCGAGGGCGGCCACCAATGACTTCACAGGGCCGATTCCCAGCACTCCGTGTGCCACCGTTTGCACCACGGCTAGTGTCGCCGTGTCTACAATCAAAACCACCCCCCTGCCGGACCCCCCCCTTTGCGAAGCAGAGGCCCCCGTTGGCGCGATGCCCCCCAGGCCCAGCCCTGACGCCCCCTCGCAAGCAACCGACACGTAGCGCCGTTCCTTGCCAAGCACGGCAGACGCTTCGGGGACCCCCGCCCAGGGGGGGAGGCGCCGCCTCCGTCGGCAGCGGCCAGTCCCGATGTCCCACACGCACAGTGTGCCGTCTACACACAAGCTTAGCAGAGCCTCGTCGTCGCCCCCCAGGCCCCCCGACGTTTCGCTCTCGATGCTAGACCTCCGGCGCTGCTCTAGGCGTTCGGCCTCCTCATAAGCTGCCATTGGAGATGAGGACGGTCCGCCGGAATCGAGAGCCCCCATTTCGAGGCTCCTGTTGCTGGCGTCCGATAGGAATGATTTTTTTTCTGAAGAAGGACGGTCAGAGAGATCTGCAGACTCTGCACTGGTGCGGCGGCTGACATTGCTGCTGGCGGCGCTGATGCGCCGACCGCTGGTGTCAAGGAAGGTGACCTGTTTGACTGAGCTCCGGCGCGGGGGGCGGGTGTCTGTGCCGGCGCTGTCGGAACCGTCCGAAGGTTGGCAGATTGCCAGGGCTGAGATGGCCGCGGAGTGGCCGCAGAGCATTGCCACTGGCCAGAGAGACTGCATAACGCGGACATTATGGAATTATTTAGCAAGTTTGACGTCTTGAGTGCCAGGTTTTGGTCTGAAGCAGAGTTCAATCCGCGCCCTGTGATTTGCCTGATTTAGCAGTTGAGCTGAAGATTTGGTTGTCCTTGCAACAGAAGATGGCGCAGGCTGATATGCTGGCTGATGTGAAAAGAAGGGAGGTAAACCCCTTTCAGGAAGAAGCAACCCTTCAGATCTTCTTGCAAAAAAGCAACGAAGAAGCTATCAGTACGTGCAATGACAACCATGAGCAACAATGCTGAGTCTGCAACAGCAAAATTGGATCCTTGCAAGCCACCTCTAAGATGCTTTCCAGCATAGGGTCATCATCCGGTCAACCCCTTACCTTCTGTGCATGTCCATCATTTGGCCCCTCGTTTAGATCAAGCACCTCTCCTTCCACCCGCCAATTCAGAATGCCACCATCAGCAGCCCCCGTCCAAATGGAACGCCATCCAGACGATGCAAGAACACACGTGACGGCGTGCTCAGGGGGAGCCTCTGGCCACAAGGCCTGAGGCAAGATGCACCGCATGGCTGATCCCCGAAACCTCTTGGTGAGGACTCAATTGGGGCAAACTGCTTCCATGCTTCGTCCGGTCCTGCAATTGCTCTACTCCACCCTGATCTTAGAACCAACTACGGTTTTGCAGAGAAGCTTCTATCAGACGCGGCTGAACGAGCAGGCTCTGCCAGGCTCTGCCAGGCTGGGCAAGGGCGCCATTGGCGTGGTTGCTTCTGCCATCATCGTGATCAAGCATCAATCATGCAGCTACAGTACCCAAGGCTGTACAGCAGTGCAGGCTTCAGCCAACTCGAGAGCTTTCCAAACCCTAATTTCAAAAGTTCACTGTACGGCACAGGCCCCTTCCGAGGCGCTTCCTTCAGCACCTCGTCACCCGGTGGAACTTGCGAGGCGCTGCTTCTCCACACAGCGTTTTTGACTTGCCCTGGTGTCCAAAACGACAGCAGGATGCACAGATTCTTTGCTCAGAGCTAGCCTCTAGCTGCTCTTCAATTTTGCAATCTTGAGCCCTTCAAGAGGCTTCAAGTTGAGCATGCGAATTGCAGGATCAGCACTGTGACGGCCATGATCCTGTAGGCATTCCACCTCACATGAGCAAGGGGCTTCACTACCGTCTTCTTGAGATTGCAGCGATCTCCGTCTGGAAAAAACAAGTTTGATCAACAGCTGTGGTGGCGGGCAGCGAAACTTCAGTAGGCGGATCGAAAGCATTCAGGAACCTGTGCTGCATGCGTTTGATTACTACCTAGCATGGCCACGTTTGTTCAGAAGCATGTCTCCCAGCAATTGAGGATGTTGCAGCTCTCAAGGCAGCATTGTACATTAAGAGCCTTCCCCTTGATGACTTTTAAGCACGCAACTTTGAGAGGGCATCAGGCTTTGCACCACCAACAGAGGCATTGCCTCTTCACAAACACAGACAAGTCTAGCATCTTCATACAACAATCAGGGGCCAGAGAAGGAATGCTTGTGAAGCGGAATAAGGTTCTCTATCCATCAGCCAGGGGGCCGAGGGAAGGGCAATCCGTGAGTGACCTGGTCTCAGGTGAGCCTTGAATGCAACTTTGGGTGTCACAGGGAGACAACTGTTTGCACTAAAAGCAATGCCCTAGTGCAAAGACAAAGGGGCGACTGCATTCATTTTATGCTCAAACAAAGCATTCTCCTAACGCTCCATCACCACCTTTACTCATGAAGGTTATTTGCAGTTCAGCATGTAGCCTGGATCAAGTGCTGAGGGCCGGCACACTCGCTATGCTGGTGTACCACTAGTAAGTGAATGGAACTAGTGGTGCCATCTTGGTGGCTTGACACTCTTTGTTCTCCCCAACCAAGTGTTGAGATTGTCTTCATCTGGTTGCACAGACACGGAATTGAATGAGCCGAAGGACTTTGAGCACCTGGCAGACTCGGACGGGCTCCTGTCCATTGTTGGCTTCGGTTCTCTGCTTTCAAGTAAGTGTTCTTTCCTTTCACCCTGCCTCCGAAAGAACCATTGCCCTCAAAGGAATGGTCCAATAGTTGTCAAAAGCGTGTGTCACCATCAGACTTGTCCCAGAGCAAGCATAAGAAATTGTGTTCGGTTTTGCCAAGGATTCCACAAGTTTCAAATAAGTCTGCGGAATACATCACAGCGACGTACGTCTTGGAGGCGGTGCCCCCTGCATATCTTCCTAAAAGCTTCTCACACGCAGAATCTTCTCATCTGCGCTTGAAAGTCACATCAGGAATGTGTACTAGGAACATTGATCATCACGGAGAAGCTGAGTCCTAAACTCTGCTTGTCATCCACGGTCATTCAACCTCTGTCCTCCCAATCACAGTAAGGAGCGCTAAGTACACTTTTCCGGACCTGCAAAACTTTCGAGTGGCTCGCCTGGACGGCTTTCGGCGGGTGTTTGCACATGTGGCCCCTGTTTTCCTGGTCAGGGGCATAGCCAACCTGGAGACTAGGGTAAGAGCGTCCGCAGGATCGCTTTCAAACATCTAATGCGAAGTCGTTTTCGCCCCCTGAACAGCAGAAATGTATGTGACCAAAGAGGGGCTTGCAACACCTTATACGTGGGTCCATGTTACAAGGCCTTCAATGATGCGGAGGGGCCTCAGCTCGTACCATGCGCCATTTGTGTCTCTCCTGTCACAGTGTGTGGAACACGAAAAAAGGAAATCTGTTTATTGTTCAGATTTCATGGGTCGTACGTTCTTTAAGGCCTCCAACTAACGCAATGATAAGGAGACATGGCGGCGCCTTGATATTTGCAGGAGATGTCGAGCTTGAGCGTTGAACCATGCAGAGGGGAGTCGATCGTCGTCACCATGTTTGAGATCGATATCTCTGAGGTAAGCTGAATGGTCCTTCAGAAGATTGGCAAGTCATGGAGCCGCGTTTTCCATCCCCGTTTGCTAAGCAGAAGTAATAGCTACTGTTGTTTTGATCGAACAAGAGAGCAGTGCTCGAAGATACACCGGTTGCGCAATGGATTGCCTTTCCCGAAAATCTATCCCGATGAATATCTTAGCCCCTCGATCGCTTGGATCACCTTAAGAACCTGCGTTTGCATGCTAGGTAAATGCGGACGTCAAGGCTTGTCGTCAGCGATTTGTTGTGCCTGTCCGGGCCTGGCGCTCTCTCATTCGTCCCTTTATCCTTCCGTTTTTTCCAAACTCCAGGTTCCTGCCTTTATCGAGCGGGAGCACGAGTTCCGCTTCCTTAGAGTCTATCCCCAAAGCGTCGGCTCGACCAGCCTCAGGCCAGCGGTGAGGTCTTGACTCAAGAAGTAACGCAATCGAAAGAATACGCGCAGCTGTACAAGTCTGACTCAGTCAGGCGTCTGCTGAAGCATGTGCGAGGGGTTACTCAGATGCATGTGGTTTCTCCTTTTGCGCTTTCTGATACAAGATTTTCATAAGCAATTCGGCATGGGCACTGTCGTCTGCATCCGGCCATACAGCGCGCTTTTTCTGTCCACAACTTTGGGTTTCCTGACTTCGCTTATCTGTCCGTGGCCGTGTTTCGATACGCAGGTGGTTTGCAGCCGGTATAGCGACGAGGAGTACCGCCAAGTACGCTGCAAAGGCAGGTAAACCGCCCTCCAAAAACTGCACCGCAGACACTGCGATCGTGTAAGTAGGGAAGCCGTTCAAAGCAAGTTGTGAATTGCGGCATTCCCATGTCGAGTGAATAGCGAGCTCCCTCCGCATTCAAGACGTTTCCACAATGTCATCTTTCCGCAAACAATTTCATGACGGCGTTGCTTTTGATAGTTCTGACTGATGGGCCTGGAGCTCCAGCATTTTTTCGCAAACCATGGCCTTCGTCCCCCTTTTGGTGCTCTGCGTGTTTCAAGCCGTCCCTTCAATTTCCGATTTCGGTACAGGTAGCGAGGAGGAGTTCGAACGACGGTACGGCCGTTTTGGAATCCAGCGGATCTGGGTTGATGACGTGCTTCCATGTCGGACTTACCTACGGCACTGGTAAGGGCCAAGGACCTATCTCCTAGAGCTTATATAGCCGTGCCGGAACTTGTGCCTCTGGCTGTGATTTCCACTCACCTTTATTTCGTCGTCGTGCATGTTGAGAGGCTTGTCGCAGTTTAGTCTCGTCTTTCTCCTGAGCCTGGCTACTCGAGCAAGCAGATGCTGCGTCGTATTGAATCGACATTCTGGAGAAACAGGAGCAAAAGAGGGTGGTCTCGTCTTGCCTTCAGCAACAAGACCATCTCTAACTGCCGTTCTCAAACTTATGTCTTCAGTGTGCTTGCGGCTCAGAACCTGTCGCCGGAGGCTTACGCCAGCTTCTTGGACCACACGTTCCTGGCTGATAGACGCACCACTATCAGGCAGCACTTACAAGCTGACCCGCAGATCATGCTCGAACTCCCCCCACCGGAGTTGGCTGAAAGATACGGGGGGTAGGGCAGAACAAAGACTCTTCTCGGATCGAAACAACAGCCTTCAAGGTACTTGGCAAATGTTTCTCTGACGATACGAATCTACATGGGGCTGGGCAGTCCTTCCGATCCACTGATAAGTTATATTGATAAGCTCAGATACGAGTTGACGAATTACAGGTTCCTCAAGATTGGCAAGCAGGTTGTGTAGCTTCGTTCATTATCAGGAACATTACTCGTCACATGCAGCTTCCGTCAAGGACTGAAGGAATGTTCCGAATAATCTGCAATCATGCATTGCATATGCATACGGCCCAATGTATCAATTCTATCTTGCACGGTCGTGTGACATAAGGATCGGACTAGCTAGAACATCTAGCTTGATCTAACCTTGTAATGCACAAGAGTTCGAATACTCTCACCGCCACAGTACTTATTTTTTAACCAAGGGTAGCTCAGCTTCATCGTCGTTGCCTATCCCGAGCCAGGATCGGACCTGGTCCTAAACGGACCAGTTTGGAACCAGGTAAAGGTCAAGATGCCGCTCCTTCTGCACAATCAACTCTTGGCGTGAGTCGCTCAGGGATGCCTTCTCTCTTCATGCAGTCACTATTTTGCTCATGTACTAGCTATTCAGCTGCGGCTTAACCGCTCATGTGCTACACTTGTCTAAGCTTGCACTCGGGTTTTGATTGCATGCTTCGGGCAACCGTTGGATGGCGATAGTGCAACACGAGAAACTCTCCTGTACATGACAATCTCTCTTGTTGTCCGAACGTTGTAAAAATTACCATCTGACGCGTTTGCAAGCGTACCTTACTGCCCAACTTGCTTGCAATTTCAGTTGATGTCTATGATTTGATCTCCACAATACCGTCATACATGCATGCACGCTGCGCGGTTAGACTGCACTTGCCAAGGATCCTCAACCGTGCCAGACGAGAATATGTCCGACGCCGGCGATCGAGTATACAACCCAGCGGCACACGCCGACAGAGGTGCATGGGCTGCCAGGCAGCTCACAATATGGTCGGACGTGCAACATCATGCATCTGCGATTTCCCCTCTTTGAGAAAAAAAAAGCTGATTGCTGATCAGCGGCTAGAGTACGTCCAACCTTCATGATCAATCGAATACTGAAGCGCAGATCCGCATATCCGCATATCCGCAAGTCTTGCGACTGGTAACGATCATGCAGTGGAGCGACAGAAGGCTGTCCTATGTAAGAATAGCCGACGACCTTCTCACGAAGCTACCGTCCTGTCAACAGAAGCTGCTTCGCATCAGCATGGAAGTCTCAAGTTGGACTGGTATGGAAACGCCCTTCAATGCTTACTTGTGCTAAAGAGCAGAGATTGATCCTCTGTACTTTGCACCGCTAATCAATTCCCTCGACTCGTTTGTCTTGTAGTAGCGTGAAAAAGGAGCGCATAATGCCGTTGCTGAAGCGTAGCTTTAAGTAAAACCGTCCATCAGTACTCGTCTCGACAAGGAGCCCGTTTTTAAGGAGCAGCTCGACCGTCAGATCATGGGGCTGCGTGCGCGCGAGCACTTCTGTTACTTGATCGGGCGCCAGGCAACCGTTTGGCTGCAGATCCATTTCGCGTGCCAGCTCCAGTAGGGCCTTCGCTTCCTGAAGGCAAGAGACTCACAGAGTGGTCCTTTAGGAGACGCTTACAAACGTCGGTGAAAATGATCTTCCGCAAGCTATAAGAATCCGAGTCGACTCGGCTGGTTTCGTTTCGAAGGCAGCAAATGTCCAGCTTTCAGAAGGAAGCCGCGCCGTTGATCCAGTCTGATATTCAGAAAATCCGACAATTGACAGCCTAAATATATGGAAATGACACGGATACGTTGCACCCGCCCTTGGCATCATCGAGGTTTAAGTTGGCTAACTTCCGAAGCCAAAGGCATCCAGCCTTTTGAACCTCACTCATTTGTACTCCGTCAAGGTCAGTTGTAGGGCGGAGGCAAAGCCGATAACCTTACCTTGCTCCCATCTTCGAAGGTCAAGGGTAGCTCTCCCGGCTTGATCGGCCCGTCTGGAACCTTCTCCCTCCAATATGCGCCCACAGTTTCGCAGCGTCGCGCTCCCTCGTCGAGAACAAACTCGATGACACCTGTACAAGGAAAACGGAACGCCAGTCGTGCCCAGACAGGGAAAGCAGCAATAGGTATTCAATCCGCATCTGATTGGTGCGACTAAGCCAGTGGTTTGATTGGCATGCCATTCTATGGACCACACAAATCAAAGAATGAAGCCTCTCATCGAAAGAAGTATACGAACCCCGGGAAAGCCGGGATGGCTAAGCGGAGGACGTCAGAAGTCCAGACACTTTTCATCAGTCTGCCAACAAGAAGGACCACGTGTCAAGAAAAAGAGGACCACATTATGGGCTCCTAAGAAGGTTAGAGAAGGCCCGCGTTTCTCGAAGTCGGGGCTCCCGGTGAAGCCTGCAAGGGTCCGTAAGCTATCCGCCAGGGTTTGGAGGTTTCCGCCGAGGAAGCGCGCGGCGAACGCGGCCTCGCGCGCCCTGAGCGTCGGCTGCAGGAAGCGCGCGACTTCGGACGGGGAAGCCTCTTCGACCTCGAGAGCGATTTCGTCGCAGAGGTAGCGCCTGACGTCTGTAAGGATACAGTTTGTCTTTTGGTTTCAAGTGAATTTCAGTTGTAAACAAGAGCTGAACACCCGACCGCCACGAATCCAACGGAGCAACCTCCGATCGAGCGGCGCAGGCACAGCCACAGGACGCGATACAGCGCCGCTGAGATACTCTAAAGATGAAAGATCAGCTGAGACGGCCCTACTACGATGCAAAGTCAGTATTTTGGAAAAAAAAGTGCTCGTGATTGTTTCTGTAAAACTTACATATTTCCGAAACGAGGCCCAGAGCAAAGCCGTCCACTACCAAGACGACACGTGCTCGCGTGTCATTCGCCCAGCGGTCGAACGTACGCAAGAGGTCACCCGAGGTGGACTCCTTTTCGTAGAAGTCACGGCCGGAGACCGCATCTATAACGACGACGGGAAGTTTGCCCGTCCGCTCACGGTACCGGTCGCACGCGGCTTCAAACAAGTCTTCTATTGCCCATTCGCCCCTCGCTGGAAGAGGAAAGACAGGGGTTTTTGGCCGTTAATCAGGGATAATTATGGGCTGGTTAAAGAATGATTATGTGTTCAATAACCAGACTTGGGCTATAGCTAGCGTAGGGGCAGGGTAGATTACCGCATGTCTCCAATGACCTGAGACTAAGTCTCGTTTTTAGCCAGGTTAGCAGCCAAAACTTTTTCCTTAATAGGGTTGAGATAGAATAGCTTGCAAGAAACGGTTTCAGAGAGCAGCACTATGGGATTCTCTGAAAGCACGTCTTTGGGAAAAGGGAGGTCCACGGTCCAAGATGACGTACCAATATTCGGAACCCAGTAGATCTTGATTGATAAAGCGTCCTTTACAACCAACTCCAAACTTTTGTTCCGACTGTTTTTCGGCGCTATCCTCTTTACCTTTGAAAAGTGTGACACCGAAATCGTCCTCGAAATGTCTGAAGAGGTTGCCAAGAATGTTCTGCTTAATCATTATTAAGGCGAAAAATCAAGTTAGAGTGACTCATTGCGCGACGCCGGCAGGCCCTACCTTGCAAGCGCGCCGCTAGGAAGTCGTTGCCAAATTTGTCGCGTCTGATGAGGGCTCTCGCAAAACGACCCCAGAAATCGTCCACCGTCTTCACCTTATCAACATAGATGACCCCGTCCAAATCCCCGGTCGCTTTCAGATCCAGAGTTGCCTGCCGCAGGAGTGTCGTCTTCCCGGTTCCTTCTGCCCCGACCACCAGCGAAAGGTCTCGCCGGGGATGCTTACTCCTGATGCCGTATTCCACGGATCGCACGAGATCCGCGGCTTTGTTCTCCAGCTCGACACGTGGCAGTCTGAGCTCTTGTTCCGGGTGAGGCGGAACGTGGCTGCCGCGGTTGAGCGTCTCGTCGAGCTACAAGTGGCGTCACGAGCGGACCCGTTGAAGAGGACTGTCATGAATGGATGCAGCCGATAAAGAGTGCTGATGCTTATGTTGAGCGGGGGCATTTTAGCGCGATTTTTCGAGGAGAATTCCTTGCTGCTGAGCTTGATATACAATGGATAGTGAGCAACGGAGATTGCAGCGTATCCAAAAGGAGACATACCGACTCAATGAAACAAAACATCAGCAGATCGAACAGTTTTTGTCTAAAGAAAGCTCTGTATATCAACCACTTCGGCTTAGGACGGCCGAGGCCTCCTCGACAAAAGGTCCACGTGAGATATGTGGTGGCGATTCACCGACAGCAAGTACGCCAAACCGGTGCAACATTCGACCCACTGGCCGCCTTTACCAGCGGTAGAAATACCAGCTTCTGCACGGGTCTCATGAGTTGTAGCGGCGTCCAATGGGGGACGTCCGATAACGGAGCGTCAGGAGCCAGACCCTTTGAGCTTACCTCTCTGGGCAATCGGTAGCTGACGTAAGCGTGCGTCAGCTCCACGGAGCCAACGAGGATGGTCACCACCCCGATCAAACCGCCTATAAGTAGCTGCATGAAACAAGATTCGTTTGATACCGACAACGAGAAGAATTCCGGGAGCCAAAAGCAAGTCGGATTATTTGCGTCCTGTGTGGGCGGCATGTGAACAAAAACGGTATCGAAAAGACGGATGACCTTATTGAACGCTGTGGAGGACCAGGGAACGCTTAGAAGACTCAAGCTCATTGAACATACCGTGACTGACCCACGCGTTAAGGTTCGTAAAAGCTGGCTTGCTATCTCACACTTAATCCTCGTTAGCACCAAAGCTGCCCATCGAGGGTCTCGGCCAGGGTAATGAAATAAATTGCCTTATTTTTTTCATCTATTTCTCCTCAGTCGCTTTCAAACGAGTCTCTAACACGAACCAACAAGCTTAGAAGGCTGTGCCTGACAAACAAAGAAGCTGATGCTTTCATGAAGAGCTGTGTGAAGGCGACCCGTACAAGGAGATCCCCAAGTGCCTCCAATACGCTCGCGAGAAACCCCTTTATAAGAGCAGCCTTTCCAGTCCTCTCTCCAGCTTGATCAAAGCCCCTGCGTCCAGATTCCGAGCCTTTTCCCAAATTTCCATCGCCCGACTCTTGAAGAAGACGGCTTTGCTGGTGTATCAGCCTGATCGTGCTGAGGCGATGGTCTGCCCGTGCTGAATGCAGGATATTGCGTGCTGCAAAGCTACCCGCGAAGATACTGTCTGATGAAACTCTGCTCACTTTACGTACGAGCGCCGTCGAATGCAGGGCGGCGGTTGAGCTTGTTACAAGACTTCTGACTTGCTTGTCTACGTGCTTGCTTGCGGCGGAGAACGTTAACGTTAACCGTGCCTGTGCAAGTTGCCGAAGCAGGCGAGGGGCTGAGCTCGGGCGGAGGGCCATGCTGATAAAGAGTTTGTTCAGATGCGAAAGCGCGTCATATTTTGGAAGAGCTTGGACGAGAGCCCAATGTGAGGTGCGTCAGCTACTCACTTCGACATTCTTAATTCAGCTCTATAGGATTATCACCTGGCACAATCTGTTCGGTCAAACTGCAAAGTGCGCGCCGGCGGATGTTGGCCGCGGCTCGGTGCGCCGGCCGCGCGGCCGCAACCAAAGTCACGCACCGCGCGCCGAGGGTTTAGCCCAGGATTTGGCCAGACTGGTACGCGGCCGCGCGCGATGGTAACGACACGAACTGTCTGGCAACCGCGGCCGCTCGGCCTAGATGCTGACTCGGAATGGGTCTCCTCGCACAATACCGTCAGACATGCGTCCGCGCTGCGCGGTCACTGCACTTGCCGAGGATCGTCAACGATGATATGCCCGACGCGATTGAGTGCACTCCAGCGGAACAGTCGGATATGCGTGCATCGGCTGGCAATCCACATCGTCAGAGTACGCGACATCATGCATCTGCAGTTTTTACTTTCAGTGGAGAAAAAGCTGACTGATGATGAGCGACTAGAGTACGCCTGATAATCATAAACGATGTATATTCGAAGCGCAGATTCGCATATCCGCGGTGTTGGCCACTGGTAAAGATTATCCAGTATAGCGACAAAAGGCCGTCCAATGAAGAATAGTTGACGACCCTCTCACAAGGCTACCCATTGATAACTGAAGTTGCTTCGATCATCATGGATATGTGATTGAACTCACGGGTACTACGGTAAAGCCCTTCAGTGTTACTTGTTTAAAAGGGCAGAAAATTAAATGGTTCTCTGTCCTTTTCTACAACTAGTCTATTCCCTCGACTCGTTCATCTCGTAGTAGCTGGAGAAAGGAGCGCGTGATGCTGTTGCTGAAGCATAACTTTCTGTAGAACTTTCCAACGGGATACGTCTCAGAAAGGAGCCCGGATTTTAAAAGCAGCTTCACCGTCAGTCCGTGGGGCTGCGTGCGCGCGAGCACTTCTGTCACTTGACGCGGCGCCAGGCATCCCGTTGGCTGCAGATCCATTTCGCGTGCCAGCTCCAGTAGGGCCGTCGCTTCCTGAAGATAATCCACAGAGAGGTTCTTTGGGAGACAGTTACAAGTGCCTTTGGACAGAAAAAACCGGTAAGCTAGTAGACTTGAGTTGACTCAGCTGCATTGTTCATCGATATCCAAGGCAGGAACTTCAAGCTTCCAGAAAGAAGCGGCACGTTCTTTCGTTTGGCATTTAAAGGATCAGACAATGGATGCTGCAGATCTGTAAATTATCCCTGGGTTCAACAGATACGTTGCATTGGCCCTTGACAGCATTGAGATTCAAACCTTACCTTGTTCGCATCTTCGAAGGTCAAGGGCAACTCTCCCGGCTTGATCGGCCCGTCTGGAACCGTCACAGTCCACTCCGCGCCCAAAGCCCCGCAGCGTCGCACTCCCTCCTCCAGAACAAAGTTGATGACACCTGTACAAGACAGCGGAAACCAAGTCGTGATCTAACATGAATCCGGTGATTTGGCTGATTTGGCACGCAAAGCAGTTAAGATTGATTGGCATGCCACTTTTCATTTCTGCAGAGCGGCGAAAAGGTCAGCGAAGAGCAGATGTTGGAGACGACATCAATGATGAGAGCCTCGAGAGGCGAGGCTGAAACTATTGTTGCGGTTAAGGACGTTGAGCCTCACGCGTCTGGAAGTCGGGGCTTCCGGTGAAGCCTGCGAGAGTCCGTAAGCTATCCGCCAGGGTTTGGAGGTTTCCGCCGAGAAAGCGCGCGGCGAACGCGGCCTCGCGCTCCGTGAGTGTCGGCTGCAGGAAGCGCGCGACTTCGGGCGCAGAAGCCTCTCCGACCTCGAGAGCGACGGCTCCTTGGCAAAAGTAGTGCCTGAGGTCTGTAAATGTACAGGTTGTCCTTGATTTTACGGAAGGGATCACTTTCCGTGGGCAAAAGTAAGCTTCTTTACCGCTGAAAACACAACTGGGAACCGGGCAGGCGCCAGTACGTTTGGGTGACTCTAGAAGCAGAAGCTTCTGAACTATGTAGCGTTTCATCAACGTGGTTGAAAGAAAGCTTGGTTCCTGAAATCCATCAAGCAAGACGAATATCTCCCCGACTTCTGACTCGGCAGAGGGTACTGACCTGCTGCGTAATGATACAGAGCGTTCAATGCGGAGCAAATGCTTCTTAATTCAAACCGTTTCCTCAAGATTATGCCTAGCAACAGCACGTACCAGACTGCTATGCTCGAAGCTCTTTTACAGACCAACCGGGGACACGTGATCTGATCTTTAAAAGCTTGATGACTTTTCCATAAGCTTTCGAAGAGACACTCAAGCGCTCCGACTTCAACTCAGCGTTTCACAAGTGTCTGATGCACATTAACCAACGTCAGAATGCGCCAGCAGAAAGGACCGGAACTCGATCCTTCAAAAGAAAAGATTGAACCGTCTTCGGTTAGCGAGCTGTCAGCTTCTTGAACGGGGGGCTTTTCTTCCTCGCCGTAGAACTCACCTTCTCTTACAAGGTCCATAGCGAAGCCGTCCAGTACCAAGACGACCCGTGCGTACCCGTAGTTCCATTGCTCAAAAGTACGGAAGAGCTGAGACGTGGCGGCGGTGTTTTCAAAGAAGTCCCGGCTTGTGAGTGCATCGACCACGACGACCGGAAGTTTGCCCGTCCTCTTACGGTACCGAAAGCATGCACTTTGGAACGCCGCATCCACTTTGCCGCACCAGCCTGGGAGAGGACGTAGGGTTAGCGTTTTGCATGTGTTGATGTCAACGATTTCATCTCAGAAAATCAATATCCACGAGTGGCATTCTGAAAGACCATTACTAGTACAGGGAGAAATCCCTTTGGATCCGGAAAAATGACGACAAACAATTTCTTGATTCTAGTAAGCTGTTTGCAGCTGATAGAAAGTCGAGGTTGTGTGAGAAACATGCAACGGAGTGTGACCGAGTGCGACGGACCGATCGGCCCCTACCTTTCAAGCGCGCTGCTAGCATGCCGTTGTCAAGTCTCCCGCGGCCAATGAGTGCCTTTGCAAGACGATCCCAGAAGTCGTCTACTGACGTCAGGTTGTCGATATAGATGACCCCGTCCATCTCCCCGGTCGCTTTCAGATCCAGCAGCGCCTGCCGAAGGAGTGTCGTCTTCCCGGCACCCTCCGCCCCGACCACAAACGAGAGGCGCCGCCCATGATTGTACAGGGGTGCCACGGCCCGCACGAGGTCCGCGGCTTCCTTCTTTAGCTCGACACGTGGCATTCGGAGCTGTTCTTCTTGGAAAGGCGCGACCTGGCTGCCGCGATCGAAGGTCTTGTCGATCTGCACGTGGCGTCACAAGCGTCCGCCCCGTCGAAGGAGCCCGAAGAAGGAGAGAATGAAGAATCTAGTGCGTGTATAGGTTGAGCGGTGCTTCAGCGCGTTTGAGAGAAACTTCTAGCGAACTGCTGGGCTTCTAAATTGCAAACGAGCGGCCCCGAGAGTTTGCTCGTGATGGACTGAGACTGTCAGCTCATTGGATCAGGGACAAATTGAGCGCTGTTCTGTATTCATTGTGGTCCTCAACCACTTCGGCTTTAGGTAGAAAAAGCCTCCTCGGCGCTTGTTTAAGTGGGTCCAGGTGAGAATAGATACTGTCGTAACACCTGAGTCAGTCTTGGATTCGAGATCCTCATTGCTGAAACCTACCTTTTGGCCGCTTCCTAAGCGGTCCGCAAACAGATAGATAGTACAGTGGGCTGTAGGAACCACTCACATCATAGCACTTAGAATCGAAACTAAGTCCGGAGCTTACCTCCTTGGGCAATTGATCGCTGACATACGCTTCGGTCAGCTGTATGAAGCCGAACAAGACGCCCCCCGCCACACCACACCATACCACATAGGCCACGAGCAACTGCATTCCACAGGAGTAAGACATGAAGGTGAAAAGCTTGAATTTGAAAGCGCTCAATAAAGTGAATGGATTATTATGCGTCCTCTGTCTCTTTTTCACTGGTTGGTATTTGAACAAAGACGGCTTGAAGAGCAACGAAATTGGCAGGAAACAGCGACCGGCAGAGATGGAAGACTGGACACTAGAATTCCCCAGTTGTTTTGTCGGCTGAGACCAAGACGGACTTAAACCCCAGTGGTTCTTCCCTGTCGGTTTAAGGCCGGTCGGAGAGCTCCCATTCAAGACCGCTTTGGTCTCAAAGCAGGGGCCTGTGCCCGAAACGGCCTTAAACTCCGCGGGTTTAAGAACGCCTTGGCCTTGAAGTTTGATCTCCAACACCTTAACTTTTTTTGTAAAGCGGGCTGTGGTTTATAGTGTGGATCTCACTTTTCACTGTACATATTCAAGACCTTAGAGGGACTGACCACATTTTAAGCCTACCAAAAGTCGGCTTGAAATCGACGAATCATCCTTTTTAGCACCGCTATATTCTCCGAGAACCTGCTTTTCGAAGCTGCGTATTTTTCCAAACCGATCTCGACTTCTTTCAAGCACAGTTTTGGACACCAATTTAACAAGCTAGAACCCTGTGGCCAAGATTAAAAGAGCAAAAGCTCCACGAAAAAACCCTGTGGGACGGCCACCCGTGTATGACTTTACCTTTAGTATCTCCCACCCGCTTGCCATCCACTTAGGGGAAGGTTTTTCGCAATTCTGTTGAAATTCCCTGGGGCCCGGCCGGTTTGCTGCTTCTTTCACTTTCTCAACCCCAGAGCTGTCTTGAAGAAGACCGCTGCGCTGGTGGATCAGCCTGATCGTGCTGAGGCTATTGTCTGCCCGTGCTGAAAGCAGGATGTTGCGTGCTGCAAAGCTACCCGCGAAGATACTGTTCGATGAGATTTTGCTCACTTCACATACGAGCGCTGGCGAAGGCGCTGCGGTTGAGCTTGTTGCAAGATTTCTCATGACTTGCTTATCTAAGTGCTTGCTTGCGCTGAAGAATCGTGCCTGTGCAAGTTGTCGAAGCAGGCGAGGGGCTGCGTTCGGGCGGAGGGCCATGCTGATGAAGAGTTTGTTCAGATGCGAAAGCGCGAAATGTTCTTGGAAGAGCTTGAACGAGAGCCAGCCAGCTTGACCTGAATATAAGATGCGTCAGCTACTCACTTCGACATTCTTAATCCAGCTCTAGTACCTGTTCGGTCAAGGTACTGCAAAGTGCGCGCCAGCGGATGACGTTGGCCGCGGCTCGGTATGCCCGCCGCGCGGCCGCAAACTTGAGTCACGCACTGCCGAGGGTTTGGCCCAGGGTTTGGCGACACTGGTACGCGGCCGCGCGCGACGGTAACGACACGAACTGTCTGGCAACCGCTCGGCCTGTGCTGATTCATATATTGATTGCGCCGAAATGGTGTCTCAAAAGAATTTCATGACAAGGAAGCACATTCCTGGAACGCCGCAGGTCTTGACTGTACGAATAGCCTAGCCGCCACTCAATTGAAGAGATCTTTCCAGGGCAGGTATTGTGATCTCTCGAGATTGCCCAAGCGTGCGGCACTCTATAGACGTCACCATGACGCTCTGGAGCGCCATCCTGAGAGCGCGCTCGCGCGCTTCTAATCGCCACGCATCTTACGAGCCGCCTGCAAGTGGTTGGTGGACCTGCGAACGTCGGCTGCACCTGACGGCCGCCACCTGTACCGCTTCCGCCGGCGCCAAGGTGCCTCCCCGGAACCGGAACCGGAGGTCGGCGGACCTCTTGGCGGAGATGCCGCTCTGCGAGCTCCAAGTTGCAGACCCGCAGAATCTCGAAAAGAAGACCGGCAAGAGCTCTCAAAAGGACCATGTTTTATCTACCGAGCCAGAGGACGAGTTTCTGACGGTGTGTCTCTTGGGGGAAGGGCGGACTTCCTGCCAGCCGAACCTGTTCTGCGGACCCGGAAGCAAGTTCCGCGTCGTTTCGTCGGACGATCAGGACCCGGTTCAAGATTACGACGTCCATATAGTCGGACATGAGCTCGCAGTTAGCCACGTGAAGTATAACAGCGCCCCGCTCTAAGAAAGAGCGTTTCACACGAAAGGCAGGTATCAGAAAATTTATCCATCCATTCTTGGAGTTTCCTTTTGGGGGTTTGAAGGTGCTCAAAGCGCGGTAGTTGTAGGGAGGCACAGAACTTCGTCACGACCGTGCATCAAGGCGGGCTGACGCACCGTCAAAAGTAGGTCAAAGGCAGAAGATTTCTGGGCTGTCCTCAAGTTTCAGGCAAAGGGAGGCTCAACGAGGTATCCAAGGACAGCGCTTTTTGAAAAAGTGTTACGCAGGGCGAGATCGCAAGGCCAATGACAAATGGAACGTCGTGCCTATTGCTAACCTGACGTGTGCTTCTTATGCAGGCGGATCTAGAGGGGATATGAAAGGCTAGAGCTCACAGGATGTCTCGATCTTCATTTGATCTGCTACTATCATGTAATGAGTTTTTGCAGCTAAACTTGGAGGCTTGCCGGCGGATGCCACTTGCCAATGCGCGGCGGCATCAAGTCATGCTCCGCAGAGAGTTTAGGTTTTGGCCGGCACGAACCGGCGGCCGTTTACGCTTTGGCCTTGTGACAAAGCGGTATCTCGGATGGGAGTTATAAGTGGTCGTGATTCCAGGTCCATTTGCCAGCTTGCCAGATATTTGAAAGTGCCCGGGAAACGGGTGGGAATGTGTTGGGGTTTGATGACAGTCTGCATGAGATACAAAAGTTACGTTGTTGTCCCGCGATTCGTTTCTAGTCACATCGTTGACACGTGACAGGCCTAGAAAGACAGTCCTTCGAAGTTTTGTGCTTCGACTCCTGGTCACATCTTCCAAACTTGACAGACAGCTCTCATTCTTTTCGCGTCCCACTCTAGTCACATCACCAAAAGTTAGACACTATTGGACAGACAGCCTCCAACAACTACGGATCGCAGTTTTCAGCGACGTTCAAAGGAGTTGTGCTTAAAGGGCTGACGTCTGCAAAAGGGTTCGTTACCTAGCTGCCACCCGACTGCAGCCAACTCTCCAGGGCAGGTTGCTATTCTTCATCATTCTTACTCTTTCATTGTACTCAAAGAACCATGACGCTCTGGGGCGCCATTCTAAAAGCGCGCTCTCGCGCCTCAAACCGCCATACTTCTTATGCGCCTGGATGGTTTAACCCGGGCCGGCGACTGCACCTGACGGCCGCCACCTGTACTGTTTCCGCCGGCGCCAAGGCGTCTTCCCGGAACCGGAACATGGCGGAACTCTTGGCGGAGATGCCGCTCTGCGAGCTCCAGGTTGCAAAGCCGCAGAAGAATAAGGCCAACAGTGTCGCTCCCAAGGACCGATTTTCATCTACAGAGCCAGAGGACGAGTTTCTGACGGTGTGTCTCTTGGGCGAAGGGCGGACTTCCTGCCAGCCGAACCTGATTTGCGGACCGGGGAGCATGTTCCGGGTGGCTTGGTTGGACGAGCAGGAGACGGGGCAAGATTACGATGTCCATATTGTGGGACACGAGCTCCAGATTAGCACCGTGAAACACAAAAGCGTTGGGCCGCTTTGAACGAGCGTTACAGGAAAGAAAGGTGGGTACTGACACACGTAGCCGTTTGATCTGGTGCTCCGGATTCCTGAAGATGCGCGTTGCTGTTGCAAGAAATACAGAGCGGAAAAGTCTTTGACATTAAGACTGGCTGATCCACCTTAGAGCTTTTTTTTAGGGTGGAGTGAGTTTCTCAAACGTCGATTGAAAGCAGGATATGCTGGGCTGTTTCAATTTGCCCCTTGGGAAACGCTGACGCAAATAGCGCTAAACAACAGAACACTTTGTAACGTCCGGGCCGTGCCTGGGTCGAAGTGCAAGCCGACGACGTCAAGAGTCCTGCCTTTTGCTGACGTGTTGTGTTCTTCATGCAGGCAGCCCTTGAGTTGCTGGAGCGCACCGAATGCCTCAATTCGCGTATGCCCATAAACAGAAATGCCAAAGGGCGATAATTGTCATGGTGACACGCTGCTCTGCTGTGGGCGATAAAGCAAAGATCTTAAATAACACTATCTCAATGTTTGATCTGCGAGTTTCCTGTGATGTTGAAGAAAGAGAACAAGCTGGTCTCTGAAGGGATGCCTTGTCTTTACGTCCACAATACATTCAGCTGGCCGCCTTCTTCCACCACTGGCAGTCCCCCGGCTTTTACCGTCGTAGATTATTGCGTTGTGATGCCATACTGAATTTGAAATCATGATCGATTGCCACGCGTCGCCTATGCAACCTCGAGTATCTGCATGACCGCTGCATGCGTGATTGAATCGGGCGACTGTCGGCCCGTGCTGAAAGCAGGATATTGCGTGCCGCGAAGCTCCTAGCAGGAATTCGGTCTCATGGAAATTTGCTCACTTCACATACGAGCGCCGTCGACTGCGCGGTGGTCGCGCTTGTTGCAAGAGTTCTGAATATTTGCTTGTCTACGTGCTTAATTGCGCCGGAGAATCGTGTTGCCGAAGCAGGCGAGGGGCTGAGCTCGCGCGGAGGGCCATGCTGATGAAGAGTTTGTTCAGATGCGAAAGCGCGAAATGTTCTTGGAAGAGCTTGAACGAGAGTCCAGCTTGAGCTGAATATGAGGTGCGTCAGCTACTGACTTCGACATTCTTGATACGTCAAACCGCAAAGTGCGCGCCGGCGGATGTTGGCCGCGGCTCGGTGCGCCGGCCGCGCGGCCGCAATCAAGTCACGTACCGCCGAGGGTTTACAAGTTCAGGGTTTGGCCAGACTGGTACGCGGCCGCGCGCGACGGTAACGACACGAACTGTCTGGCAACTCGGCCTGTGCTGATCCGAATTGGGCCAGGATGGTGTCTCTGAGAGTCTCAAACAACTTTCATGACACATTCTTGAACGCCGCAGGTCTTGATTGTACGAATAGCCTAGTCCCCACTCAACTGAAGAGATCTTTCCAGGGCAAGCGAAAGCTTTTGAGATTTCGCAAGCGTCCGGCGCGGTATAGACGTCACCATGACGCTCTGGGGCGCCATCCTGAAAGCGCGCTCACGCGCTTCCAAGCCCCACGCATCTTACGAGCCGCCTGCAAGGCCTTGGTGGGCTGACGAGCGTCGGCTGCACCTGACGGCCGCCACCTGTACCGCTTCCGCCGGCGCCAAGGTATTTGGCCGGAACCGGAACCGGACCCGGACCACGGCGGAACTCTTGGCGGAGATGCCGCTCTGCGAGCTCCAAGTTGCAGACCCGCAGAAGAAGAAGGCGGAAAGCGTCCCTCCCAAGGACGACATTTCATCTTCTGAGCCGGAGGACCAGTTCTTTCCGGTGTGTCTCTTGGGTGAAGGGCGCACTTCCTGCCAGCCGAACCTGGTCTGCAAACCCGGTAGCAAGTTCCGGGTGGTTTGGTTGGACGATCATGAGGAGCCGGGTCCAGATTACGGTGTCCAAATCGTTGGACAAGAGGTCACGATTAGCAAGTACGCATTCGTCCCGCTCTGAGATTTACGAATTGTCGAACGAAAGGTGGGTATCAGAATCTGGAATGTAATTCTTTTGAATGACTCGGTTTTGAAGCGGTGTTGAAGCGCGTTTCTGTTGCAGAAAGAGACACAAACCGGAAAGAAGTCTGTTAAGATTGGATGATGCACCATCAAGCTCTCCTTTTGCATTATTTGAAATCACCTGATTCCCGTTGAGAGCAGATTAACCTGAGCTGATGATTACATTTTGAAAAGTCCGAAAGAGATACCACCAAGACAGAGGCTTGTTGAGACGACGGTGTTATGTCAGGGCCGGAATGCAAGCCCAAGACGTCAAAAGAAGCTGCCTTTGGCTGTATGACGTCCTGTCCACCGTATGCAGGCGGCCCTAGAGGTGAACTGACTGGAGCCCATTGAACGGGATGTCTCAATCTCGTATGAGCAGAAAGTGGCACGTCGAAGATAGTAGCAACGAGTAGATGTGCAACGAGCAGCGAAGCCAAAAACTTTGACACTTGGCATTTGACGATGGTCTCACTCTCGTGCTTTTCCTTGAAATTGCGCGGGGACGGAAGCGAGTTTATGATGCTATGGCCTTCACATACATTCGCTATCTAGCATGGATCCCTGGTCGGGGATGTCGCAGGACCGGAATTGGAAATTCTGTACATGGAGCAGTTGAATGGTCCTCGTAAAATGGGGCACGGAATCGATACACGTGCACAGTCTTAATCTGCTTTCGTACTGATCCCGAACTCGTCAACATTGCCAACGCGTGGCTATCGAAGTCAGCTGCAGCGTAGGGAAGCGCGGCTTCAGATCAATGCAGTTCGGTTCAAAATCAGGGAAGGGAGACAAAAAACGACAAGAACAATGATGTTGGGGTATCACCATCTTCTTAAGCTTTTTCGGTTTATTTGCTGTTCATGATTGAGGAAGCAAACTTCAGCAGCTACAATCCCAGGAGCGGGCCAGCGGATGCTGGCTTCGGCTTGGGGGCGGCCGTCGCATAGAGTCACGTACCGCTTGAGGGGTTGGGTTTTGACCGGCACGAACCGGCAGCCGTGTACGGGAGACAAAGCGGAGTGTTCGGATTTCCAGGGCCAGCCAGATGTAGATGCACTTCCTATCGAAATTCAGTGCCCGGGAGACGGGTGGGAATTGGTCTGGGGTTTTATAGATGTCATAAGTTGCATAAGGTTCGGTGTTGCCTGCGGTCCATTTTTCTAGTCACATCATTGAAACCTGACAGGACTAGAATACAGACAGCCTGTTCTGCTTCGATCCCAGCTAGTCACTTGACAGACCTGGACAGACAACCCTCATTCTCCGCCAAATTCAGTCACATCATCAAGAGTTAGACAAGTGCTAGACAGACAGCCCCCCTTCACTCTCGCCGTCCTGGATCGGGCTCGCAGTCCTTGTCAGCGTTTAAAGGATTTGTGCACGAAGGGCTGACATATCTGCAGAAGGGTTCGTTACCTAGCTGCCACTCAACGCCACTCAACTGCAGCCATCTTTCCAGCGCAGGTTGTCAATCTTCTCATTCTTACTCTTTCCTCGTACTCAAAGAACCATGACAGTCTGGGGCGCCCTTCTAAAAGTCCCCTCTCGCTACGCATCTTACGAGCCGCCAGGGGGGTGGTGGAATGACGAGCGTCGGTTGCACCTGACGTCCGTCACTTGTACTGCTTCCGCCGGCGCCAAGGCGTCTCCCCGGAACCGGAACATGGCGGAACTGTTGGCGGAGATGCCGCTTTGCGAGCTCCAAGTTGCAGATCCGGGGTTTGGCAAAGAAAAGGCCGCCACGAGCTATCCCAGGGACCGTCCATTTGCTGAGCCGGAGGAGCTGTTTCAGACGGTGTGTCTACTAGGCAAAGGGCGCACTTCCTGCCAGCCGAACCTGATCTGCGGACCGGGGAGCATGTTCCAAGTGGTCTGGTCGGACGATAATGAGAAGCCTGGTCATGATTACAAAGTCCACGTTGTGGGACACGAGCTCACAATCAAAAAGTACGGAAAGTACGGATCCGCATGCGTCCCCCTCTGAAAGAGAGCCTTCCACGCGAAAGGTGGGCATCACAAAATGTATCCATTGCCATTTTCCTCCTGTTTTTTAAACGTGCTTAAGCTCGTTGCTGTTGCAGGAGAGACAGAACGGACAAGACTGTGACAAGACTTGCAGATCCGCGGCGGAACATTCTTCTAGGGTGATCTGAGTTTCTTGAACGCCAGCCAAGAGCAGGAATTACTGGGCTATTTGCACATTTACTGACGTATAACATTATCGTGATCGAGTGTATTGGAATGTTTGTGACAGAGCCGTGCGGCCGGGTCAAAGTGCAAGCCCGACGACATCAAGGATCCTGCCTTCTGTTGATGTGACGTGTTCTTCATGCAGGAATACGGCACATGCAAAACGGCCCTGGAATCGCTGGAGCCCACAGGATATCTCAAGTCGGGTATGCTCATCGACAAAGTGGTCGGAAAGTGGCCGGTAGTAAAAATTCCCTTCATAGCGGCGGACGATTTCGGAGTGTTCCGGTTTAATTCCAGTTTAGCTAGTTTCCTGTACCTTGCGGAAAGACAGCAACCTTGTCTTTGGACATTTCAAAACCACAATACATACATCCGCCGTCTTGCATTGTCGCTCCGGCTATTTCCGTTGCCGATATGCTCGCAAATCACCTGGCGGTGCAGGCTTAAGACACTCATGCACTCAAGAATGGAGCGTCGGACGGACATAAGAATCCAACTTCCGTGATCAGGATGTCGTACTGATTCAGTCGACGACCGGTACTGATTCATGCAATAATTTGGAACTAAGTTCGTCAGCGTCGCTTATATAATTACGCATAGGTGTCCATGCATAGATTTGCTGCGTGGCTGGCATCGCGGCAACATCGCGCGACTCTTGTGGACGTACAAGGGAATCGGTCTCGCTTACGATCCTTATACGCCGGCGGCGGGCTGGACAAAGATGTCTCAAGTTGGTCTCATGTGTCACGCATCATTCATTACATGGCTGGATCGCGCTTTTTGGCCTAGCAGTGACCAGCGCAATGAGTGACTGGACTGACATTCCAAGCGCAGCCATGCACCATGAGAGTAACTTTCAGAAACAACGCAGCCGGCCGCTCTGACCACTTTATATTGAGCTTGATCGAGTGCGCCAAAAAGCTGAAAATGATGTTGTCAAACCAATTGGACATTTTCGAAGGCACCCTGTGACATGCGGTGTTATCGAAGCTTCATGCAAAGCTCCGTGACTTGGACTTTTACCGGATCCTAAATGATCAAACACTGGACTGGACTTTGCGGATGGACTGCATGCTACAGCTGAGCTGTATAAGAAGACCTTAAATACAACACCCAAATAACAAAGTCTCGTGGCAGTGTCTCTACGACTGTATCGCTGCTCTACGCAACAACATCCCCTCTCAACGACGTGCCCTTTTGCCCACCCTTCCTACCAAGAGACGCCTCCTCGGAACTGTCCTCAACCTTTGAAAACTTGATTTTCAGCGGGTGCGCTTCCGTGTTAAATACCCACTTGTCGAGAGACATAATGTCATCGGGCGAAAACAGCAGGTACAGATACTTCAGCGTCTCCGCCAAAAAGAAGCTCTGCATCATGTCGTCCTGCTGTGGGGGATCCCTCGAGACCTGCGGACAAGAGAGGGACCGCTCGGTAAGCAATTGTTTGAAGTATTTTGCCCTCAATTTCGGTCCTTCAGAGCACCTGGCAGCAGCTTTCGTATCCTTTGTGCAAGGGTTGCTACTCGTCGTCCTGAGAGTCGAGACGTCGCTCTGAGAGGAAAGCCGACCCAACAGCTTTGAGCAAGCCAAGCCTCGGCGCAAGTCGCTCGCTTAAACCACAAAGCTCAGAGACATCTTAAGGCCTGTTGACCAAAACTCATGCGAGCTCATCGACCTGAGAGGAAAGCGGATGGATGCAGAAGACATGAAGGCCGAACGAAGCAGTAGAATTTCTGCAACAGGGTTGCAAGAGAGACGGGCAACAGAACGCCCTCACAGACCCTGCCCATCGTTACCAGTTCTGGCTAACAACAACGAATCACAAGTTACTCGCGCTCACGTCTTGCAGGCCGGTGTAGCCGGATGGCGTGCGGCACTGGCGCTGGAAGGCCTGGAAGATGTTCCAGCCCCACTCGCGGTAGATGGGGTCCTTAGTCTTGCGCCACAGGTAGAAGAGCGTCTCCACCGTCTCGGGCCGCCCGATGTTGTACGCGTGGCCGACCTGCAGGTCGCGCCCCTCGTAAAAGTAGTAGTGCTCGCCGCTCAGCTTGCTGGGCTGGCTCTGGTAAAACTCGTAGCACGTGCGCCCAATCTGGAAAATGAGACCAATAACTAATCTCAGCACAGAGCGCTTTTAGCACCCCCCCGTCTTCTGAAGAAAGAGAACGATATCAAAATCAGCGCAGCGCATATGTAGCACGTGCGCCCGATCTGTGAAACAGACCGGTGTTTGAGGGCAGTTCGGATGGCATTAGAGCTTTTTTCGAAGTTCGCCGGCCGACTGGGCGGCGAGAGAATAGTGTTGCAATTAGCTTCTGGTTCTGAAGTTGCACGACAAGATATCAGCACAGCGCCTATGGAGCATCTCCTCGTTTCCGCTGCTCTTAGAAGGGGTTTGGGTTGTCCGGGTGGGGTTTTTGCAAAATTCAAGAGCACCCCATTAAGGACGCAACAGTTATTTGTGGTTGAATGTGGAGGGTGGTAAGATGCACGGACTTTGTCTCCCGTGGTTCGAATTGAGATTATTGAAGATCCAGCTCGCTGCGAGCAAACAGAGCGGACGTTCAGAGAGCGTCAGAAGGTCTAAACGAGTGAGCCTCCAGTCCGAGAGCTGCTCGTGATTGTCGAGAGAAACTTTGGCCTTGCGACTGACGCTTCTGCTGGAAACCCAGAGCGAGAATCGTATGGAAGCGGGCTTACCCCTTTGGCCACTTCCAAGAACTCGTCGGCCCGTGGATTGCCATCTGAACCCAACACGAGCATCCCCCCCAAGAAGCACGCAAGGTGGTCCATCTGCAGAGTGGGCAGAGCTGTGAGCAAGAGTGGAAAAGGAAGGGGGGTTGCAGTCAAACGGCTCCGCTTCATAACGTGGGCTAAAAAGAAGCAGGCCAGGCGGTCCATCTGCAGAGTGGACAGAGGCGTGAGCAAGAGGAAAGAGGAAGGCGGATGGAGACTGATTGGCTCCGCTTTACAAACTGTGCTGGTATGGGGAACGCAGGGAATGTCTCGCGGGCAGAGGAAACGGGATATAGGATGGGAAGGGAGACGGAACCGAGGAAGACAGAATGGAGGGGGAAGGGAAAGACGAAGCCCCCGGTTGAGGGGCCAGGCGAGGGGAAGGAAGAGGCCTCCGGGGGGTTGGGCTCGCTTGAGCAGACGGAGACGTGCGAGGGCACTTATTGGTAAACAAGCATGCCGCCTCAGAACTTTTTGAACTAGGAAACGAAAACATCAAAAGAGACGGGGATGTCATGGCTGCGTTTATCAGGGGTGTTTTGCATGAGACCGTTTGAATGGTTGCCCGAGTTTGACGTGGTAAAATCGAACGCTTTAGGCATGGACAGATCCCACTTCTCCAGTCGCTGAACATACACACTGGTGATCGACAGATGTCAACCATCCAATGAAGGCCGACCATGTAGGATAACAATCAAGAAAAGAAGAGGGAATACGACAATATGGTGCAACCAGACGCACTTTTAGAACAACAAGAATAGGAGCACCACAAACCCCCGGCAGTGTCAGCTGGAGCTCACTTTGTGGATGAGCGCGCCTCCCTGCTTCTCCGCCACGTACACGTACTTGCTGGGCGTCGACTTTTGGATCAGCTCCGACAGCATGGTGCCGATGGAGCGGTCCCACATGGTCTTGTACCGCTGCATGCTGGGCGCCCGCCCGCTCTGGACCCACACCTTGAGCAGGTACTCGTAGAAGCTGGGAACGGGAACCAGGGAACTTTAGAATCTGGTTGTTATGGCTTTACCAGGATCTGGACGAGACAAGGCAAAAGGAGTAGTAGTGCTGGCGGCTTAAACAAAAAGCACTGCTTGGAGCCGGATCTTGACTGGGTGTCTTCACGGAGTGGAAAATGGACCGTGGGGGAACAGCTCTGACATGCAATAGGCGCTCCTTTGTATACTCTGCCGCTGCACAAGAGGGAGGCCAGGTTCTGGCACCGCCGCCAGTCATTGGAATGAGACCCAAAAGGTGCAAAGCGGAGCAGCTCTTCTGGGGCTTCGAAGGATGCTCGAAGTGCTGCCTGACCTAAACGCTGGCTATTACGCAACTACAAAAGGATGCAATTTGACAGCTTCTCACACTCGGTGTCAAGGGCGTCGCGGGCTTGACTTCACTGTGCTCGGAACCCCTTCCTCATAGACACGCAGGGGCGAGGTCACCACAACCCTCGTGATCGCTTCTCTGCCCTGGACATCTTGGGACTACGGCCGACGGCTCTCACCTGTCCCCCATCGCTCCAAACGAGACCTTGTCCATCGTGGCATGCCCGGTGTTGGGGTCGTGGTACAGGGGCACCAAGCCGTCCTCGGGAAAGTTTTCCTCGACAACATCGATGGTCTTCTCAACCTGAAGGCAAGTCGACGAGGTGTCTTTGGAACCTCAAGATTCTCAATCTGCGATGAAATAGGTCTCCTTGGCGTCTTTGAAGAAAAACCAAGGCGTTTTGATGCCTTTAACGCAGTGCCCAATATCAATCACTAATCGAGTACGGCGTCTTGACACGGGACGCCCGACCACTGGGCAAAAGTGTTTTCGATTTGACTTTGGTCGTAGCTGGTAACCAACGCACATGTTCCTCTCCGCACTCAACGCAGAAAACAGAGGCAGAAGCACGTGTTCCGTTGAGCAGTTTAGTACGAAGCAGAAAACATACCGAACTTGCAAGCCCGACTTCCATCGCAAATGAAACCAGGAGACCGTTCCGATGGCATCATCAAAAGGCCTACCTTTTGCCTGTACTTCTGGTCCCCCGTCCTCTCCGACAACCCAATAAACTCCATCTGCTCCGTCCCAAAATCTGCCAACGTGCTTGCCTGTCCCGTCCACCCCGGATTATACGCCTGTCCCGACTGAAGGTTGATCGTATTGTAAGGGATACCGGTTGGGGTGTTGAACGCAGGAAGCAACCGGTCCGCAAGGTCGGTGGCCTTGTTCAAAAACATGCTGTCGCCCGATAGGTCGTACGCACTGAGCAACCCGCCAACGCAGCGAATCGTGGTCTCGAAGACACTGGCGTCGTAGTTGACGTCGAAGTTCATGGACGTTTTGACCCACCTGGAGCATTCGAGAAACGGGATCAGCCACGATTCTGACGTGATTGGCCTGGATACGGTGTTCTACAATTTGCCAATTCTCCCCGCAGTCTAGGTGAAGTTGGAGAAATCAAGTCAACCGGACAACCAACTTCCGAGGTCTCAACTGAAGAGCCGTATCCTTTCACAGACTGCTGGTGGCGATTTTCATTTCCCCAATGTCCTGGCACAAGTCTGGAATCCCATGTACCACGTTCTCAAGTGGTAGAAAGGAATGGCTTCCAGCACACCCGCGCAACACCAAGTGTAAATACGCAAGCTGCGACTACTCAAAGTTGGCATACTGAGTTTGATCACCGGAAGTGTTCCGGGTCCCCTGAAGCCCTCCTAGAAGCGAGCAGGGAGGAAAAGTTGGGAGTTTGGGAGGGCTTGCAGCCCTTCTCGGTTGGATCGGAAGCAAAAACGAAGGGAACAAAGAGCTGGCTGAGCTCATCGATGACATGGAACGACTAAGGCGGTGGAAGAAAAGCTCACTCTTTGGCCTTCTCGAACTGTGGCTTTAGGCCCATGATGAACAAGGTGTCCAGTGAATCCACAATTGTCGCCCCCAGGCCGCCAAATTGGTTTACTCCCCTCTTTGACTGGGGCTGCGTACACATCAAAGAGCGTCAGCGAGGCGCACTCTATAAATTGGATGCTTGCCGCAGGAGCTTCGAGTCTGTTTGAAAGGGAACTCCTTTCGCAAAATACGACTGTGGAAAGGGAACTCCTTTCGCAAAATACGACTGTGGAAGCTGCAATAAGCGCAAGTGTCGTTGCACAGAAAAGTCCCTCTTCGTCACTTCCGACTTCTACAGACCACGTGCACTTGCCTGTACTCCCCTAGCCAGCCAGACCCGCCAGACCCTTCCAATTTGTGCACCATATGCAGAGGGGGACGTCCCTGTTTTCAATCTGCAGGTCATGTTCAAGCAAGACCAGGTCCCTCAAGTTTACTCCTCGTCCCCTACCTGCAGCTCATCGAAGCCCCAGGCATACTTTTCGTATGCACTCCACGAATGTTCCATGGCTTCTCGGATCTCATCCCGCTTCTTCTTTGTATCTGGATCTAGTGCATCGTCATCACTCCCCACCGTCTTCCCCCATGGTGACACTGGCTCTGCTGGCTTACTTTTCACAAGCTTGTCTACTTTCCCTGCACAGATATAGAACCATCTTTCAATCGAGTATTACAGCTGATAGTTCAGAGGATTCCATTGAGAAGAGGAGAATCCAGGAGGAGAAACTGCATCAGTTAGGGTTTCAGGCGCAGACATAATTGATTGCTTGCTCGAGAGCATCTTCATGGTGGCAGGTGCCAATCTCATAGCGTCTCGTAGCTGTCGAACAAGAGCTTGGATAAGCAGAGAAAGAGCACGTTCAGCTTACCCATCTCGACCATCACATCAGACGGCGTCCCACCCACATTCTGCATTACACAAAGATCATGGCAATCAGGACCTCATTGAGCTCTCACTTCAGCTCAAAGCAGCTCAACATTGATTGTGGCACCTCCATTTGGAGAGAGAGCAGTGCAGTGAACATTTCAGAGGTGGACAGCATGTAGATGCATGAACATAGAGGTGACAGTACTTAACCTCTACAAGAAAATAAAGCTGCAAATTGCATGTCCTTACCATGTCAAGGGCGTTCAGCTTTTCAACTTCAAGTGCACGAAGTTTCTTCTGCAAATGCTGCACAAAGCAGAAGATAGAAAGCATCAGACTGCATCTACTTCTCAAGAAGCATTCATTTTGACACATTGAGTAGAGCCACTGACTCTTTGTCCAATTGCTGAAAGAGAAACTCTTCAGCAAAAGTTCCTCAGTGGCGCAGCAACATCAACATCAGGCTACCACCAGCAGGGCCCCTGATATCGACTGATAGACTATAAGCATTTCAGCAGCATCCTGCTCACCTGAATCTCAGTGCGTTGGCTGTGATGATCCATGACGACGTAGATTGAGAGAACAAAGATGATTGTGACGACAGCAAGCCGCCGCGGTTTTCGGAGGTAGTATGCAGGATGAATGTAGCTCCTCCATGACCTCCGGCTAGAGGAGGAGTGACTCGGCTTTCTCCCCATCTTGCACGGCAGAGATCTGGCTTTCGAACTTCGATGGGGCAGGCCCTGTGTCTACAATCAAGCTCTCATAGTTTGTGATACATGCATGCTAAAGTGGGTGCTCCCCCTGTGGTGTACATAATCAAGGGCCACTGTGAAGATAACCAACCCAACCTTTCTTTTCTGATTGAAAAAGCTGTGCCTTGCAAAACCTGGCATTCATAAGCACGCACTTTCACGCACGTCCTTCTATCGTCCTTACAATCAAGACTTCATGGAGATTGTACTGGCAGAACTCAGATCGAAGTAGCTCCCCATAGCAGCGCCTCATCGACCTTCGAACCACTTGCCAACCGTTCTCTGGCTGGCCTTCTCCAAAAAAGTTCCAACACATCTGTCGAGATGGTCGCCTGAACAGCAATGGCATAAATCTGCAAAATCTTAGGTATGTTAGCTCAATATTCAGCGCCGTTCATGTTCAATTCCTAATTTCAGTGGTCAGCAGGCTGCAGCCCTTACAGCGGCGACCTGGGTGACCCCTTAAACATGTTCATGTCGCCAGCTTTGGCTCCATATCTGACCGGCTGACAAGAGTCGTATCATTTATTTGAGGGAATTGTGAAAAAGTCCAGCGAAATTTTAAGCCTGCTGACACATAATGTTGCTGACGTTGAAAGTGGTGGCAAAGAAACGGAGAAGCAAATTGGGTCCACATTGGCGTTGCAGTTTCACCAAGTCGCATTGGATTGAGGGCTGGTTGGACGAGTGGCGGCTTTCAACATGTCTGCGGTGGCGAGGGGCATTCGTGTGGGGCTGAGTGGCCTGCGATGTGCACCTACGAGACTTGGGGGCTCGATTCAAAACTCCCCAACCGGCAGATGGGCCCTTCCACGCAGCCGGATCAGGCTCTCAGCTCCGCTCAAGTACAGAGTTCGCTGGTCTCGCAGAATTGCAGCACCCCCACCAAACCCCTGCCTTGCCCTCCCCCGCCGGCATGAATCAGTTCTCCCTACTCAATTCGAGTCGGTCACCTTCAAAGGCACCCAAACGAAGAGGTCTCGGCCAAAGGTCGCCAGCCCTCAACAGTATGCGAGCACTAGCTGCGCCAGCGACTCGGAAACACATAGAAAAACGAAGAGGGAGACAAGCGTCCTGCTGCCAGGGCTGCCTCTGTTTGGAAACGCCTTAGATGATCCCTCCGGGCCTGGAAACGGCGTGGACTCCCTGGTCGGGGGTGCATGGCTGGAATTCTTCAGGCCGTGCGGGTGCTGGTTAGAAAGGGCATGCTTATGCATCATTCCAGCAGGTCCCGTGCGAGACCTTCCCCTCAATGGGGATGACGAGGATGAGAACCTGGGGGATGCGCTGCCTCTGGGGGAGACTGTCATAACGTGTGCCACGCATGGGGATTTGGCACCATATGGTGAGTGGACAATCATCCTATGGTGTTTTAAGAATGCTTCTGAGGAGGCCCCAGGATTTTTGGTAATGGTTTCAGTCCAAGCAGGCAATTGTGTGATCAAAATTTGACAGCGGCGATCTCCGGAAGTGTCGGGCAATGCTGTGAGTGGGAGACCGTGTTTACCTTCACGCGTCTTGTTTTTGTTGAAGGCACTGCTTGGCAAAGTAAGAAGTGGTTGAAGCATAGGTGCTGAATAAACTTTTGCGATGGCGGCGTCATTTGCACCTGAAGTCAAGAGGAACAAGCATTTGGTAAAAGATCACCACCCCAGAGGTTTTTATGCTGATGGTATGCCTTTTTCAGCCAGGAAGAATGTTATACGTCACGCAGTCTGCTGCTTGTTCTTTCTTTCAATGATTACTCGCAAATGTGGTCTTCTGACTTGCGTAATGGAGAGATTGAAGGGTGGTATATGTAGATTGAAAGCGTATCTTCACGTTCTGGTGCTTGACTACTTCATTGCTATGGTTGGCCAAGACGCTGGTTTCTGCATGCCAGCATATTAGAAATTATATTGTTCAATTTTGTTATCGTCTTGTGATGAAACGGAGCTAGAGGATTCAAACGTCGAAAGAGGTTCCATGTCTTCAAACGTCGAAAGAGGTTCCTTGTCCTGAAAGGCAGAGCATGCTTTACGAAGTAATGTAGAGGGTACTCGTCCTTCTTACCGTGTAAATTCTACTTCAAAAGCATCATATGGTCATCGAGGTCGCTCGTGAGTCGGTCATGTAAATTTGCCTCCAGATTGCCGTCCAAGTGCCTCTCTAATATGACAGGCAGCATATCTTGATTGAGTCTTGGAAAAGGTACCTTCTACGATGTGAGATAACGTGTTTGGAAAGCATCTATTTGTGGACTACATAGAAGAAAGCCGTTGACTATCTTCTAGCAGAGAGTCTTGGCTTGGCTGGATCCCCCTTGAGTCGCTGTTGGTTTTCACATTTGCGTGTTCCCAGAAGGATACTGGATACTGAAAAATACCAGTAAGTAATTCCTCCCAGTTACAGGAATCTTGAACCAGTTTCTGTCGAAGAGTTGGGTTTCTTCGAACGAGTCAATTGGTTTCTGGCTTTTCCTTATACTTTTGTGTATCAGTAGACATGAAGTTCCTATCTTCGTGCCTTGTTTGCAGCTTGCTGTGCCACAGGAGCCTGATGCTCATGCCGGTGTCACATGTCAAACAAAATGAGAGCGAGGAAGTGTACATCGTAGTGAGTATAAACGAAAGCAACGGTCAAGAGTTTAGTCACCTGCAAGTAGCGAGGAAAGGTTACACTCTTGCTTCCTAGAAAACCGGCTTGAGAAACAAGAGCACAATAGATGGTGAAACCTCAAAAGGCAGCACCTAGTCCTGGTCATGCTCAGTTCAATGCTCGCTTTTTCATGGTCCGTGGCAAACCTCCTCTTTGGAGTTTGTCACATGTACATAGGGTACGTCACTAACACTGTCACGACTTGGGGTCAATGCTTAAACATAAATAAGGGCAAATAAGTATTTCCAGGCTTCATGGACTTCCTGGTTTGGACGTCACGTATCCATCTTTAGACAGCTTGTCCATCTTGCACATGCGCTGCACAATGAATGACAAATCTAGGCAGAAACGACGACTTATGATGAGAATAATATGTTGTAACGCTCGTCCAACGTATGCCAGCACACGATCGCCAACCCAGTCCTTCCATCAACCACGCTTCGTCAATCATGGGTTTCCCAATTTGTACATGGACGGCCATGGATAAGCCGTTGCCTCGGTTTGAACTCGATATACCTAAAACTTGCATCATACTGCATGTTGATCTATATGCAGCCGCCAGTGCGCGGCTGGCACGTACATCAGTACAGTTATTGAATGACATTCAGCACCTGGTCAGATCTCACGCATTAGACAATCACGTCACTGGCTGGACGAGTTTAGTAGCTCACGCGAACTATGATACTACGTACCACTTTATGGAGCAGTGCATTGCAGTTAGTCATGGGTATGTATGTCTATACTCTAGAGGCGCAGATATCTCGATCATTTGAAATTATCCAGAAACAAGTGCACGTGCATGTCGCGATCCTCTGGTCGGATCGATTCCAATCACAAATTTTGAGAACTTATACGGGGCACAATTGGCGGTGCCAGGCAGAATTAAACAAGAACACTTCGCAATGACGGTATCTTCGTACAGATTCAAGGGAGCTGTTTGCGGGCCAATATGTCTCATTGAAACAATCGATCATTAACGATGTCAGGGTCTTTTGAAACACCAACCTACTCAGTAACAGCTAAACACTTGTTGTAACAACTACGCGTGAAAGACTCGGAGTTCCTTACTTATCTTGAAAATAAACCAAATCGCAATGTTTGGAAGTACCTTCGTGGAGGGCCGCGAACATTCGAAATTAAGCCTAGCATACAACTCCAACTGATTCCCGTGAGCTTTTCAGTCGTTGCTTTTTGTCAGTGATTATTAGCCATTCTCCTCTGATCGAAACACTCTAGCTAGACCCATTGCCCCAATAGCGCCATACTCTGACGCAAAAAAGCCCAAGTGCCAGGCGACTTGCGAACTGGCCAAAGCCAAATGAAGTGAACCATTTACATTTTGGACTCTCGTGGAACCATGTAATGACATCAACGTCTATGATCTCTGCCCGTCATCAATTTTGTATCTCAAATTCGAAGACCCTCTTTTGACTGCGGTTTCTTATCCGTCACAATTGCAAGCAGATGGTCTCCCAATGACTGTCTTTCGAATCCATTATACCGCCGTGTCGCCTCGAAACGGCCTCCCATTGCGGCTCCCCCCCAAGAGAAGCAGCACCGTGAATCCTTCGTCCGCCATTTTCCCCCTCAGAATCTTCCGATTGCTCCAAATTAGAGCCGTCTCGAGTGCCCCCGGTTAGGCCAAACCACCGCTTCCAAAACCCGGAACCTGCGCTTTGCGCGCCCTTTCTTTCCGTCTCACACCCGGAGCTTTTAACCGTGCCTGCCTGGCTTTCCTCCAAGCTTTCCAACGTCGCCCCAGACTCTGCTTTCCCGACTGCACCCAATTGCACCGCTTCTTTACGCGCCCCTTGACACTTGGGTGCTCTCTTCACAGGGAACGTTTCCCCCAACGTACGACCCCCGTCCTGTGCCGTTTCCTCTTCCCAGCGCTCAGTCGACGCCGCGGGGGCAAGTCTCGTTTCGTCCCTTAACCCCGAAACTTTCCTTCTCAGCGGCTTCGACGGCATCACTCTGCCACAATTCGCTTCAGGCACTTCCGCTATCTCGACCGGGTAGGAAATATCCTCCCAGATCGCCTTCATATCCCGTTCTGCTCCTTTTCTCGATAACCTCCGATCCGTCGTTCCCAGTACACTGGCCTGTTTCCTTTCCGCTGACTGCACCATTCTGTTCCGTTCGCTCCTCCCGTTCCGTTCGTCCCCGTAGTCCTTCCCCTCAATCTCTCCGTCTCTTTCGTCCGCACCTTCCCTTTCAAGGCCGTTCATTCCGTTCCATCCCTCCCTGCTTTTTGTCACATCCAACCCGTCATTCCCGTTCCGCTCGACCGTTCCGTTCCGCTCGCCCCTCCGCTCCTCCTCCCCCTCCTCGCTCCCGATGCTCGCCGTCTCCTCCGCGTACCGCTCCACGTTACTGCTCGTCCCCTCTAGCGTGATCTCGTAGCTCTTGCGCGGTCTGAGCTTTCCGCGAAGATCTCTAGCCTTCCCTTCGTCCTCGACGCGCATTCCCTCCCGGTCGATGCTGTGCGCGCGCGCCAGGCGCTGCGCGACCGGGGCCGCGAGCTGCGTCTCCGCGGCCGGCCCCTCAAACCCTAAACCCTGTAGCGCCTGGTAGAGAAACTTGTTGTAGCTTCGGATGTGGTGATCGCTCGTTGCGGTCAGGGACAGAATCAGCTTCTCGAACCGGCCGCCGGTCGGGGTGGAGGTGAGCACCCGAGGCCCCACCTTGCCGCAACTGCGAGGAAGGGTTAGAATGAGATTTGCGTTGCCCGAAAGACTGGAAGAAAAAGATGCAGAGGGGGGCTGAAAAATATTGGCGGTAAGACGACGGATGGCGAAAACAGATTGACTCCTTGGCTCGTATCTTCCGTCGACCGCGTAAAAGGTGGCCTGTGCCAAGTATAGTTGAAGACCGTCTTTTTTCATGAGTCACTCCTTCTCGTCAGAATTATGTGAACAGGACAACCTGCTTAGGATTATGCTAAAATCACGCAAAAAAAAACAGGCTAAAATAAAGTCTCCTCTGCAGGGACAGAAACTTTACAAGATGGACGACTTGACTGAATCCTAACTAGAGAAGATAACATCGACTAGCGAGCACTTTGAAGCTTGTTGGTTACTGGTTCCCCTTTCCTTCGCTCATCAACGAAGTAGGACTGCAATCCTTGTTAACATCGTTTGCAAGAGAGGCCGTCAGAATTTTCTTTGTAAGGCTAGTGTAAATCGGAACGCTCACTGCCAGGGCTCCTTGTATACAATATGGTACAGTTTCCCCGGTGGGTAGAGCCGCGCGGGGTCCCGGAGACGCCGCCCCGACGGCACGAAGAAGTCGGACAAGCACGCCTGGGTGAGAATACCGGCCAGCCTGCAAGACATCCGACGTCTTAAGAACGTAAATTTGCAACACATGCAGATTCTCAATCTTCGGGTTTTTAAGACCGACCCGACAGCAAGCTGGGAGCAGTTCTCGTCTTCTCTCTCTTCATGGCTCTACTAATGAGAATTCAATCGCGCTTTGACCATATTAGAAGTTACCTCCGCCAAAGATGACAACTGCTGACATCATCGGTCCCAACGGCCAAGACCTTCTACAGTTACCAAGGAAACCGGCTCACCAGACGCCGGTGAAGCCGAGGAAGATGTGCTGTACGACGGAGGTTGAAACACGCGAGAAGAAGTCGTCCTGTAGGACCACGCCGCAGATCGCGTGGCTGTAGTTGGCCACGTGGTTGCGCGAGATGACACGTGGCGGCGCGAAGCAGACGGCGCGGATGCGGTCCTTGTCGCGGGGATCGATGCCGACCTGGATAGATTGAAGAGACTTTTGGACGGGTTGAGTGCCCATAGAGGGTGGTTTAAAGATAGAGACGGGGCTAGTTTGATAACGAGGTTAAGCTAAGAGCAGGGTTCTCTGAACAAGTTCACAACAGATTCAGCACGAAGCAAGGTTGTCTTCAGACGGGATTGTAACGCGGAGGATTTTGATGCAGAGGAAATTGGAGTGAGTCACAACTACGTCCGCAACAGGGTTTGTTTACCGCAACATCTTTTCGTCGAAGCAAGCCTCGCTTGAGGCGTTGCCTCGCCAACAACAGTAAATTGAAGACCTTCTTTATTCCAACACCGCATCATTTGCATCTCTCAACCAGTCAAAGAGTCTTCCAAATATACCAGGCCTTCAATCACACCGACCTTAGTAGGTTTGTCATGCAGCAGGACGCAGAGCAGGGACGCGACGCCCGCGCCGAGGGAGTGACCGACGATGGTGAGCGTATATTCGGGGTGCTTCGTGCAGTGCTTCTTCAAGATGCGCTCCTCTTGGCGGAGCGCCCACTGGGCGGCCTTCAACATGCCGCTGTGAACGAACCTGGCACAGAGGGCGAAACGCTGAGTGTAAGCATAGACTGGGGCGTTACAAGCTTTGTGAACCATCTGTCACGACGAGGCGAATAATGAGGGGTTAGCGCCTAGACCATCGAAGGATGTCGACGATCGTCTTTGTTACCTCCGAAGACAATTGGCAGACTCCTCCTTTCTGCGGAGCCTTCGTTTTGAACGTGACCGTGGCGGCACCGTAAGCTTTCGGCAACGTCAAGAAGAGACCGATTTTTATCTCCTCACGTAGCAATCCTGTGTGGACTTATTGTGGACTGTTCTCTGTACCGCATGTAACGTCTGCAAGGAACAGTACACAAGGTTGCAGAGAATCCCCAAATTTTCTGATTGCACAGCTGCAAATGGAGTATCTTCGAATGCAACTTCTTTCCGAAACCACGCATCCGGAAAGCCCACGCCCACGTGCAGTGGAAACACCGAATAGCACTTCGCCCAATGATGCACTGCCACGTATCTCCTCACCCGTGGTTGTACGCCTTGTGCTTCTTCCGCATGAGCACCGCGAAGTCCTTCTTGGACGCCATGTTGAGCCCCCGGAAAACAAGCGCAATGTCCTTCTTCTCGTGGTTGATGTACAGGAAGTAGGGGGGTGCCCTCCGGTTCTCGTCGTCCCCCACGAAGTTGAGAACGTTCTCGGACACGACCAACGAGGTGCGTTCGTCCATTGCTGCGACGCTCTCCGCGTAGGCAGCGAGGTTCAGCTGTGCGTAGTACATCAGGTCTTTGAGCTGTAAGGTTGGGAATTTGAGTAAGCAAGAATTGATGTCGTACATTGTTTTGCTGGATTCCTGTTCACCTGATGTTGGATTCTGCTTTTAGTCTTGGATATGGAGGACCCTTGAAGTGGTCCCAGCTTGGAAAATGTCAGCTGCATTTGTGCCTGCGGGGCCTGCTGTATGGACTCATCGGAGCTTACATAGACTGTGGTATTGGTCCCAATCCTGGTCAGGTCCTGGCTTGATACCCGGTCTCCCAACTCAGAAGTCTTTGGTACCCGGCCTGGACTCAATGGTACCTGGTCTTTCAACTCACAACGCACAATTTCCAAACTCCCCGGGACTTGCAGCAACTTTCGCTCTAACTTTTTCTAACTTAAGCATCTACTTCAACCTGGGGGTGAGTGGTGAACTCGAACCCACGAAACGCTGGTCGGATGTGCCTCGCAATCAAGGAAAGACCCCCTTCCTTACAAGCCCTTCTTTTCTTTTCTCCTCTCCTACAGCATAAGGAAAGAGATTGAACCACCATCTGACTGCCTCTTCTGTTGAATTTCAATGAACGATCTGAGAAACGATCTGAGAGAAAACACGCTTTTGGAAGGCCAACCTTTGTATGTGATTGACTACAAGACGAGCTTGCAAACCAATTGTGAACTCCCAAGTTTATGCAAACATGTGTTTCACCCGAGTGGTGGCGCTCTCGAACAAGCAAGGAGCTCTAGAGCCAGCTGGCACTTCCATTCACGAAGTGGCAGTTGCAATACCAGAACAGGGACAGCAATGCTAGATCGTGCATTTGGCATAATCTCGACAGGTGTGCTTAGAAGCATTCCAGCCTGACAGATCTGATCTCTGAACCCGTGAATAACAATCCGCAACAGAGCAAATGCCGGGTTTGTCCAGAACCTGCGGCCCTCAATCCTGGACGCCATCCGCAGTAGTCTGAGACTTGTGAACCAGTCGCAAGAAGAATTTCAGCTGAAGTGTCTTGGACGGTCACGTCCTACTTTCAAGAAAGAAAACCGACACGAGAGGCTGACACAAAGTGCAATCCTACTCAGAAGGTCTTACAAGGGTTTGAGGGGCCCTCGGGACAGCTCATTCCAGCGCATCAAGAAAGGGCAGCAATACGAGAGGCTGAAACAGAAGTGCATTTTCCAGCGATCCTACTGAAAAGGTCTCACAAGGGTTCGAGGGACCCCTTTGCTGCTTACTGCTTGTTCTTCATCTTAAGGACCCGTGCACTACCGCACAAGCAGAGTCATTGCATTGCCAAAACTTGGCTGAAATTGGCAGGAAAGTACTGCCCTTGCATGCACTTTTCATAGACATCCCACTTCCTATGCAACCCACAAAAAAGATTCACCGCACTAATTGTTTGTTCACAAGCTCTTTCAGGCCTGACCGCTGCACATTATAGCCAAGACTTCTTAGCTATCGGGTTCATCTGTTTTTCCTAACATAGACCTCCCGTGACAAGAACTCCCTCAGAAGTAACCACAGCTCAATGCTGCCTTCTCAGCTGCAAACCAATGTAATAAGAAACAAAGCCAAGTGCCCCCCACCTCTCCCGGCCCTGCCTCCAGCCATCCCTTGCTGTCGTTCGCGCCAAACTTGAGGCAGCGATAGCACTGCCAGCAGCAGCAGCCCAGGCCCACCGCGACCCCGCACCAGTCAAGACCTCCCAGCGTCGTCATCCTGGTTGTTCCTTTTGTAGGTTTCAGATTTCATCTCAGCACTCCTTCCCTCCCCCTCGGACACTCCCATGCATAAAGCATCACCCTAATGCAGTTTGTAAGCAGCTTTACAACAATCCAAGACCACTTATTCAAGCCCATTTGTACACATCTGATCGGGCGTAGCAGCCAGCAACGGAGTAATCTTTCGCTGCTGTTTTTTTTTCTCAAACAAGCGTCTTCCCAGCTTGAAGGGCTTAACGATTGCGTGGTCAAATGGAGGGTGGACTGAGGTCTTGTTCATAAGCTGGCCAATCCTACTGTAGAGGCTGAAAGGGTTGCACAAAGTAGCATCAATACGGATGGAGGGGAACGATGCAAACCTCAGCCCTGGATCGCTTTGCACCAGAAAGGCGAAACATGATAATGCGAGCTGACGTTGGCTTTTCGGAGCATCCAATCGCCGTGCATGAAGCAAAGACTCCGACTTGAAAGAGCTTCACCAAGTCTGATCACGGAGACGACGTTGCTGGATCGGATGCCTTGCAAATCCAAGGAGCTCTGCAGTAGACTCTACCGGTAGTGTAGACCTGGGCCAATTCGTGCTGACAATGCAACATCTTGGCGATGATCGCGAATGGCACAGATGGCAGTCTCTCGTGAGATGCACTTTACAGTGCGAGCGCACTTTTGAGATCTGCGGATCTTGTGCCTGTGTTCTGCGCCTCATTTGTGGATGCCAGCTTGGCAGCTGTGACGTCAAAAGCGGCAAATCAACAACCCTCTTGACAGGTGTCGCACAGTGAACGAGTTTGCAGCAACGTAACGCAATAATCTTGATCATATAGGGGGCGTTACAGTAGTTGTTTTCTGCTATAGGTTAATACGTACCTATGCCCGCCGCGCCATTAAATACCAGATCAGGTTCAATGCCTTTGCCATTGGCCCACTGCTACCGTCAACCACGTTGCCATTGGATTCTGTCCTGTCTAGATGCTCGATCTAGCACTACTCATATACAGCACCTAAGGACACCTTCGTGCAGATTAGCGCTGCAATCAACTTCTTGCCCCTCTCAAATGTCAGTGCTTGAGGTTCCGGAACGCAAGCATGGCATTCTTAGCTCCGAAGCTGCTGAACACAGCATCAACGACACCCCGTCTTTTTCCGAGGCAAGCCCAGTTCCTCCTTGATAATTGTTTCCTCCTCCATCCAAAATTAGGCAAGCACTTATGCGCCCGCACTGTCACATGCCCGTCAAATCCTCATCTACACAGCTCACCGTCAGCAAGCATTTCTGCTTCACATAGCTGCCTTCCAATCCATTCCGCAGCTCCGAAGCCCTTTTCAAAAACAGTCTCCAAAGCAACATGTTCCTCCCCGCACCAACGGAATGTCACTAGCCGTGCAGGGCGGCCGCTTCTCCTGCCGGTGTCAGAATTGGAGAATGCTGACATCATCTATGCAACAGCGGCATCCCTGGGTCATGACGACGAGGGTCATCCGGAGTGCGCGCTGCGAGTGCCCGCCATCATGGCGGCCCTCGAGAAAGCGGAGCTAGACGCTCAGGTGAGGACCCGGTGCCATTTCTTCTACTCTCCATCTTTTGGGTTCTTCTCCGGAAGAAAGTGGAGCTCCTCAGGCAAGGGCCTGGTTCCACTTCTTCTTGTCTTGGTCTGCTTTCGTGTGCTTTCATGAGGGTGTTTGCTATCTGCTCCCTGCGCTAAAGAAGGGCAGAAATAAGCCTTCTCTTTCTTCGCGTTGATGTCTGGACTGGCATTCTGGCGGCTCTAGAGAAAGCGGAGCTGGAAGCTCAGGTGCAGACCCGGTTTGGCTTCTTCGTTTGTTGGTCCGTTTGCCTGTTTATGGGGTTTGGCCCCCTTCCTATCTGGAGGGGCAAGAAAGGAGATTTTTTCTTACATTGCGTTGATGTCTGGACTAGCATTCTGGCGGCTATGGCGATAAGCGGAGCTTGACGCTCAGGTAAGCCGTGTTTTCTGCCCTTTCTGTTCAAGTCAACGGCAAGACGAACTCTCAAAAGACATCAGGAGTGATGTTCTTCCTGAGACACCACACCAATCGTTCGTACGTTGTATTGATGTGGATAACAGAAGCGGAGCGCAACGCCCCAGTAAGAAGCCCCATCTTCGACTCTGCCCTCTTCCCGCTGTGGAAGGTCAACCGGGGCTTCCAGTACAGCTTAGGCACAAGGCAGTCCTTGGGCGCACGGCTTTGACACCACCCCCTGTACCATGGCACGTAGTGAACGAGGATCCGTTGGTCAAGTGGGCACCTGCTTTCATTTGACACTGACTGCAAGTCTGGATAGTCTCTTGACCTTTTTTGATCACGCCATAGAAGTCGATGGATGCGGAGGGGACTACAGCGCGCAATCCATGAGGACAATGAGACGAATCAACTCCTGACCTTGAAATTCAATCCCAAAGTGGTTCGATGACGGCAACCAGGTTCTTTAAGCTTGTACCTTAAGTGGGCATGGTTCAACTTTCAGTCCCAGTCTTCTGGTGAAGCATTGACGACGGCCGCTGAGGAGACAGAGGACTTGAAACTTGATTGTTCCAGCAACTGTCAGGTCTCAACCGGATACTATTTTCCAAGCCTTTATTGAGAACCGTTATAATACCTTTCAACGTGAAAGCCTTTAAAAAGCTCCATCCCTGGCTATCTGGCTTGATCTAAGCCAGAACAAGGGCGGAATGGCGTCTGTGTTCAGGTACGATCAAAAGCGAGCTGCTTCTTCTCCGAGGTCCTCGTCCTTTGCCACAGAATAGTTGATTCCGAGGTGCAGAAACAAGCACGGACATTTCGATTTAGCCTCAGCAACCTGTGTCTCAATCAGGTTCATATAGCTTGGCTCCGCTCTTGGTGTGTCTTCTGGTTTGCCAAACGTGGCCGCTCAAAACAACTTCGACTTGGTGCGCGGCAGAGAAGTGGATAGCTCTTGAGTTTTGGGGGCGAGAGGAAGATTTCGACCATCACAAATGTACTCCTGAGCCCTCGATTCTGCGATACTGATTGCTCCAGATCTAAAGTTGGGCAAGACGCACAGGATGGAAGCATTCGGCACCATTTGGCCTGCACCGCTAGTGTTGACAACCCGACCAGCTTCGAAAACAAGTTCGGTGAGCGTCAGCTTAGGATGGAAGAACCTTCAACGAGTTTTCTCGGATGTCACAACACTATAAATACAAGGCAAACAGACGCGTGTCAGCAAACAGATGAAGCTCCACAAGCTCTTGCGCACTTACTCAAAATTCTACGAAAAATTCGAATCTTTCTCCGCAGAGCCGCCCGAAAAGCGTCCTCGAGCTGCGCGACTTCTCCCCTGCGACCGCGTCTGACATCGCGGCCGTGCACACTCCAAACTACGTGCAAGGCCTGCAGAAGCTGATGGAGCAGGCGCCGCTGATCGTCGACGGAACGGGACCCACGTACGCAACGGAAAAGACGTTCGAGGATGCGTCGCTCGCGGCGGGGGCGGGAATCGCGCTGGTCGATGCCGTGGTAGCAGCGTCGAAAGGTGAGCACCCAATAATAAGTACTGTTCATCCGAATGTGGGTCAAAAGGCCCGCACCATTCAAGACTGCTCTTCAGAACGAGTGCTTGGCGAGCTCGTTGCCGCCATTCGGCTTATCACAAGCCCATCAAGTTTCTCAAGACAACGCGCTCAAATACAAGGAGTCTCGACTCTCCACTGCATGGTTGAGCAGCCACGTCAGTATGTCAACATTTCATCCGCATGATCCGAGGGTGCGTTCCGAGTGTCTGGCTTGCAGACCATCAACATCTGTCTGTGAAAGTCGTGAAGTAATCTGAGCCCAACGAGGTGTCGTGACTGAGGAGATGAAGGCTCGATCAAGAACAGGGATCCCCCGAGCGTCACCGGCTTTAAGCAACTCGAAATCTCTGGCATTCGTTCCGGATAATTTTGTTGTTGAAAGTAGCGACCAGGTCACCACGCTACTGTTGCTGAGCTTGGGGAATGATTCTGAATAGACGACCATCCGAATTTCTCTGAAGAAACCTCAGTAGTCCACTGACGCGGCTCCTGTACTTCCCTACATCAGCGGTCTAAGTCCGCCGCCTGAGCGAGCTCTTGCCGGTGCTGAAAAGCGTGCACTATGCAATGCTTGAACATAACTTCAATTCCGACGTTCGAAGCATTTGTGTTCATAGGCGGCTAAGCAGTTCCGTCCCCGAATTTCGCAGGCAGCCGACCCCCCCCCTCCGGGTTCGCCATCATACGCCCCCCCGGCCACCACGCGGTGCCGATCGGTCCGATGGGCTTCTGCCTCTTCGGCAACATCGCCGTCGCGGCCCGGCACGCGCAAAACGCGCACGGGTTAAGGCGGGTTATGATCGTTGACTACGACGTGCATCACGGGAACGGCACGAACGACACCTTCTATGAAGATCCTGACGTGCTCTTCTTGTCGACGCATCAGCAGTACAGCTATCCCGGGACGGGTAAGGCCTGCTGACGTCATCGTGCATCCGTTGGGTCCTGTTGACGTCATGTTTGCGGGCTATAGGTTTTGCGAGGGTTATTTTGTCGGGTCAGCTCACTGAACGACGTCGGTTGTTGCGTCGAAGATACGATCTAGAAGGAAACGTAGGGAATAGCGACCAAAAAGCGGTTGACAGACTTTCAACCCGATGTCATCGTTTCGCGACCGGTTTTGTGCTGATTGTTGGGCCTTTGATAGACGATTAATTACTTCGTCTGCTGGAATCTAGCAATTAGGGCTTTCCAAATGAAGACTGCGCAGGGCCCCTGAGAGTCGGACGATCACGCACTGGAAGAGAAGATCTGAATCAAAGACCTCCTTTGACGCCTATTTAGTATAACCTTATACTCCGAGCACCGTCTCACGCATTTAAACGACGTTTTCCATGACCTCTCTTATGAACTGTTTCCTGATCTTTACGCAGGCAAGCCCGACGAGGTGGGAAAAGGCGCCGGCGAGGGCGCGACCGTGAACCTGCCCCTCCCCTGGGGCTCCGGAGAACAGGCAATGGCTTACGTCACGGATGAGGTCATCGCCCCTGCCGCGCAAAAGTTCAAGCCCGACATCATCCTAGTTTCCGCGGGCTTCGACGCGCACTACCAAGAAACGATAGCGGGCCTCCAGTTTACGAATAGAACGTACCATAAGCTAGCAAAAGACATGCGCACGTTAGCGGACGAGTTGTGTGGGGGGAGGATTGTGTATTTTTTGGAGGGGGGTTACGATTTGCGGTCCTTGTCGGCGAGTGTAGCGGATTCCTTCCGGGCGCTGCTCGGGGAGAAAAGTGCGGATAAAGTAGACCCCAGTTTGGCGCTCGAGTTCGAACCAATTGGATTAGTGGAGCAGGCGGTGAACGAACTACGAGCCATTCATTCGGATTTCCGGTAACGAATTCCAAGGTTTATTGAGGATACTGTACATATATGAACGAGTTGCGCATACGGGTCTTTATTTCGGAATCATCAAGGGGTGCGGATCAGACTCTGCGTCGAGGCGCGGGCACGCCCCGAAATCAACGTCCGAGCGATTATGGTCAGCGTCCCATAGGGTGCCCTCGTTCAGCCTCACTATTGCGCCTGGTCAGTGAGCTTGGCCTGCGGCCCGGGAAGGTCCGCCTTCGGCCCGACGTTTTCCGCCCGGGGCAAGCACGAACGTTTAAAGGGGATGCGATAAGTTCTCTGGATGTTGCTTGGGCAAATGTCAATGTTGCAAGATTTTGCAAGTGCCATGCAGTTCTTTGATCGAATTGCACTCGATCATCGGATCGACTCGGTGGTCCGTTGACCAGAGGCAAAGCCAAGAGTGCTAGGGTAGGAATCGTACATCACCTGCATGGAATGCTAAATCGCGATCGGATCGTCGATCTGGGCACATGAAAAGCTATTGAGCGAGAAAAGTAATTAAGTAGGTGTCTACATATTGTTAGAAGGACTGTTGGGGCAAAAAGTCTTCACGTGACGACCCCCTACCTTTGACAGCTAGTCCGTAGCAACTAGGAAAATGTTGAGACTGCCCCCTGTAGGTGATCATACCGAAGATCTGGCGGTATGCGGGTCTTGTTCGGAGCGCCGTCGTAGTCCTTTTCCGCCATACTCTAAGTAGCATTTGATCGCTATTAAGATCTTGAGATGAACCCCCCTCAAAATCTGGGTGTGCAAAGAAGTCCCACCGTCAGCGCCGGTCATGTGTAGCCAGGCGAGTCAACTCCGTAAGACCATTGAGCCAGAGAACCTCTCGAGGGCATGCAAAGACGTTGATTTGTCCAAAAGGGAATCATTTTGAGGCTCGAAACGTAACCCAAGCTTCTAGCTTCTGTTGGGTCAGGCTGCCCTACGTCACGCACGCGGCCGCATAACCCGCCCGGCGCCGGTTAACACAAGTAGCTGCGCCGCAACTCAAATGATTTTGGATGGGGTTCAATTTGGACAGGAACCGGGGCCTCTGCAGCCTGCTGCAGATTTCCCCGGAGGTCCCGTACCGGTCAGGTCTTTAGTTCACGGATTCACTAACCCCGTCTTGATGACCGTCCGTTAGTGCATCATGATCTCGCGGCCGGCCCCTGACACGTGCGCATATTGTGGGGGACCCCCCAAATGTTTCTTCTGACTATTCCCGAAGGAATGGTCTGGCAGGCATTCCGCTCATTGTTCTGTGAAATGTCCAACGTTAGATGGATGGATGGTTTGGGGCAAAGACGGTCAGGATTCGCTCCCCTGAGGCCGCACTTCTCGGGTTGCGGCATAGGGGCGCTTATATGCAGGCAGTGCGTATAAGCTGGAAATTGGTAAGCGAACCGTGACGTCACCGTTGGACATCTCAAGAGGTTATGATTGCCGTCGATTTGGCCGAGAATTGGACTGCCAGGATGAAGTTGTAACTAAGAACCGTGGCCGTCGATCGGTAGGTTTTGAAGTGATCGATCGAGACTGAATCGTAGATTCAGATAGCGTTTCTGGCTTGAACAAAGGCCAAAAGGCAGCATTCGTTCAGAGTTGAGAGGCAAACACAAACATGATGGCGCATGCCGGGAGTGCTTTTCAGCCCTGGAATCAGCCAGAACTTTGTTCACGTGGAGCGCCTTTCGCTGTGGCGGTTGTTCCGGCTCCTTTTGGAGAGGGTGCCGAGCGGAGGTGAG